TGGTTTGTCCTGGAAGATGGTGTTTTAAGCTACTATAAACACCAAGGTATGTGTGATCTTCCACCAGTTTAAATACATCATGTGATGGTGGGATAGTGCTGATGATATAATTTTATATTCTCAGACGATGCTGGCTCTGCGTGTCGTGGGGCGATTAACATGCGTATTGCACAGCTAAATATGGATGCGCAGGATAAGACTCGCTTTGAAATCTTGGGGAAATCCTCGGTCAAATATCATCTCAAGGCAAACCATGTCGTTGAAGCGAAACGTTGGTTCTGGGCACTGAACAATGCCATCCAGTGGGCAAAGGATGAAGCAAAAGAAGGTGACAAACGACGAACCAAAGATGCCGAAGCCCTTCGACAGGCCAGGATAGATCATATCGAGAAGCAAGATCACGATACCATGAGTTTGGCTAGCGGGAAAGCGAATGACAAAACCCTCGCACCACCTCCCGCCTCTTTGGGCGGTGCCACTACTCCCAGCGGGTCAAAGTTGAGTCTGCAGATTTCAAGAGGTGGAACGGATAATGGCTTTGGAGACGATGAAGGCTCTGTCACCGGGTTCAACGAGCCCGGTACTTCACATACTGACATGGCCAGAGTGATTAGCCATGTGACCACGAACACCGCTGAGGTAGATGGCGAGGATGACTATGCAGATTACACAAGCAGCCGCGAGATACGGCCAGCATCAGACAAGGACGCCTTTAGCATCACGGCGCAGTCAGTCCGGCTGCAGCTGGATATCCTTCGCAGTGTTTCGACGGCTATAAAGGCCGAGAAAGCAAAGAACCCAACTGTAACACTATCAGACCCTACCGTTGCTCAGGGCCTAACGACTTATGAGAGGGCGATCGACACGCTGAACCCTCTCATTGTCGATTTACTCAAAATCACTAGAGATAGGGACGCCTATTGGCAATATCGTTTGGACAGGGAGGCAGACGCCCGAAAGATGTGGGAAGACAGCATGGCGCGAGTAGCTCGGGAACACGAGGATCTACAGAACAGAATGGGCGAAAGTGAAGATAAGCGACGTCGAACGAAGCGAGCGCTGAAGGAGGCCTTGGAAAACGCATCGGTGCCAGCGAGTCGACGGCTAAGCCATGCTGCTCCTCCATCGCAGCTCCACATATCAGATGCCGTGGCAGTAATTCAAGAAATCGAAGCAGACAAGAAGGCCGAGCATGCCGAGCAACCCGAAGCGCCCCCGCCCGTCTTATCGCGAAAGAAGACTATATTAGAGGAGATGGATTTGTCGGATAGCGAGTCAAATGACGAAGACGAATTCTTCGATGCCATCGATGCCGGTGACGTTGAAGTTGTCGTCCCACCAAAGGAAGAAAAAGTGGAAACAGAGAAGTCGAGTGCTCGGGCTCAGAAGGAAACTGAAATTGTACCTTCGTTCAAGGGATATGAGGATGGTATTAGGAAACGACTTAAAATGGACGCGGATGATCGTCCAAAGGTCTCTCTCTGGGTAAGAATGCCAACCGGCCTTGCTAGCCTCGAGTCTTCCGGGATATCACTAACATGTTCTACTAATAGGCCATCTTGAAATCTATGATCGGGAAGGATATGACTAAAATGACGCTCCCCGTGTCCTTCAACGAACCAACCTCACTACTGCAACGTGTTGCCGAAGACATGGAATACACTGACCTCATCGATGCTGCTGCGGATCGTTCCGATTCTTTGGAGAGGATGGTTTACGTGGCAGCATTTGCGGCGAGTGAATATGCTTCAACAATTGGACGTGTTGCGAAACCATTCAACCCTCTCCTTGGTGAAACGTACGAGTATGCTCGACCTGACAAGGGCTATCGCTTCTTTATCGAGCAGGTCAGCCATCATCCACCTATCGGCGCTGCCTACGCCGAGTCGCCAAGATGGGATTATTATGTGAGTTCATTCCTCCCGTCCTTCATTTGTATCCTAACTTCTAGAATGCTGACTGTTTCTCAGGGTGAATCTGCTGTGAAGTCTAAATTCTACGGTAAATCGTTTGATATCAACCCGCTAGGAACCTGGTTTTTGCGACTGAGACCTGCTTCTGGCGGCGAGGAGCTTTATACGTGGAAGAAGGTCACATCTTCCGTCATCGGTATCATTACTGGCAACCCAACGGTAGACAACTACGGGCCAATGATCATAAAGAATTGGACTACCGGAGACGAGTGCAAGCTTGACTTTAAACCCAGAGGTTGGACCGTTGCCTCTGCTTATCAGGTATCCGGGAAGGTCCTGGATCGGGATGGTGTACCACACTGGAGCGTCGGAGGGCGATGGAATGACAAGATCTATGCACGAAAGATTAGCGGACACCCCATGGAGGCTTCCGAAGCCCCTGACGGCAACTCTCCACATGCCATGCTGATATGGCAGAGTAACGCCAGACCAACTGGTATACCTTTCAACTTGACGCCATTCGTCGTCACCTTGAATGCTATCCCTGACACCCTCAAGCCACACCTCCCACCCACCGATACTAGGCTGCGACCCGACCAAAGGGCCATGGAAGACGGAGAGTACGATTTTGCTGCCACAGAAAAACACCGCGTTGAGGAACAACAGCGAGCAAAGAGAAGGGATCGAGAGGAAAAGGGCGAAGAATACCAGCCAAAATGGTTTACCAAGGGCACCTGTGAGACTACTGGTGAAGAGTACTGGGTACATAATGGTAACTATTGGAAGTCGAGAGCTGCAAAGGACTGGAGCGTTTGCGAAGAGATTTTCTAAAAAAAAAACAACTGTACTTTGTACCTTATATTATACCTAATACTTGCATTGCTTAGCCAACTATAGCATAGCTAAGCATAGTTTATATTCAAGCCACCACCAAATCGTACAAATCATAATATATATACTCCGAATATTCCTCTATGCTAAATGTTTGCGATTCTCGAAGTTGATACTCACGTGACGAATGTTCCTGGAGCTTTATTTCCAGAGTTCGTGAAATCAGACGAACTGCTCAACCTCAAAGCCTCCATCCAATATCACTGCCGCTGCCAATGGCGACCGAATTTGCTTGCCGGAGGTGTGTGCAAGCACTCGGGCTAGGAATCCGCCGCCATGCGGTGACCCCGACGCCCAAGCTGAGGCAGATCGCGCGGCTCAGTCAAGGATACCGATCATATTCCACACCCTCCCGACAGAGCAATCAGGCACATTCGGAATTGAAGGGTTGTAAGAGCCAGATAAGAGGAACTGCCTCTTTGGCTACTTCACAGACAGCCTCCGCTAGCGAAGGATCGGAAACGAAACGACCACTCCTACGTCGAGATAACCTCTTCCATTCATATAGCGATTCCCCTTCGCCGCAGATCAGGAAACGAGCGGCATTCATCAAGGAACATGCCTTCTGTCCGCACCCAGATCATCAGCAAACTCGCGCCTCAGTAACCCCTCTTGACGCCGAAGCCAATGAGTTGGCTACTCCCAACGAGCAGAAGCAGCCGCCTGCACATGCTCAACATGAATGCCCAGATTGTGGAGTTCCGATATATTGCTCTGAAGAACATTGGATGGATGACTTTGAGGCGCATCTACAGGTTTGCGAGACCATTCGGCAAATCAACGAAGACGACCATGATTTGCAATCAGGACGGTTCTTTACGGAATTTGACTATCCCGGATACCAGGCGGACGAGTTTGTTGTGAACATGACGAATTGGGACACCTTCCTGTACACTAGGGAATTCGAGGCTGTCAATGATGACAGGAGCATGCGGCAGGTCACTAGACTACTCACGTACCCGGTCACGATTGCGAGCGTGTTACATGAACTCAGTCCGTACAATGTATCGAGTGGGGGGAGGTTGACATCCGAGGGATTGAAGAGTTTGAGTGGTGAGTTGCTAGCCAATATAAACTGCCCCGAGGCACGAGATTTGATCTAACTAAGCTGACATTTGTTCCTCAGCCTTACGTTACACTCTTCATCCGCCAAGGTCCGGTGAGGGAAGCACTATGAAGGGATTACGCCTAAAAGCACCCCCAGTCCGTATCTTCATCCTCGGCGCGCGTGCAGAATCATCTCTGCCGCGTGAAGTCTGGATGCAGATTTCACACCTATTCCCCCGCGCGACTATCAATTTAATCTTCATTGGACCCGAGAGCATGGCGAATCGTGACGAAGAGTTCCCACTCCCAGAGCGCACAGCTAGCAATCCGTTCGGCGGCATTGTCGAGGATCGTCTCGGTGCTCAGATGAAAATCACCACTTTCGTTGATTACTTCCATACCATGCACAAGGCCAAAATGTTCGCTCCTTACGATCCTTACTTTGACTGCTTTATGCTTTTCCACCCTGGCTTGGGACATCCGGCTAGCTCGCATGAGTGGGAGGAGACTCTTCCGTGTCTACTGGAGACGAAGGTGCCGATAATATGCACGGGCTACACGCAGAGTGATATGGAGAGAGATATGAACTGGGTAAAGGAGAAGTGCGGTGGTGAGGCAGACATTCTCCTCGAGCAGGGAGAGAATCGATTCCGAAGCTTAAGATGGGACTTGAACGACTTGGACCCACAAGACGTGTCGTGCGGGAATTGGGGTGTGTGGGCATTCAGAGGAAAGAGATACGAAGCTACGTTCAAAGACTCTTGATTCTTGTATGATATTTAGCACTTCGTTCTGTATAGGATCTTCACTCATCTAATATCCTACACTATTTCATATTTGTATGCTTAAAAAAAAATATAGCCAATTGTATATCAGGGATCAATTCCGTCGTCTAAACTCAGTGTACTGTACAGTGTGACATTCAGCCGACTATAAGACAATAGTAATAACCATGATCGAACTCTAAGGAGGAACAAAAAACAAACACCCTACCCAATATAAAAGAAAGTAACAGGGTATCAAAGTCATCACAAAAATGCGTAAGGAAGGAAAGAAGTCATTAAAAAGGGGCCATAGTGGCTCGGGATGGTAGTATCCCGTCCAGGCATTCTGACAGGAAAAGAGGAAGGATGAATCATGTTAGGCGATCTATAGCAATAGAACGGCCGAGAGAACCATGAAAGCCATAGGCCAGTAGCCACTGATCCTCAGTAGCCTGGGTGGTGCCATACTTAAATCTGGGGCGTTTGGATCTGGAGCAGTTGTACCATTCTCTAGGGTGCCGTTGATGAATATGGTGGTGGTGCCATTGACATCTGCAACTCTGACGATGGGCGATGCGCTTGTGAGGTTGTTTGGATCGCTCGTGTTTAGCAATGACTCGATATAGGTGTTGTTGTTGTTGTCTTCGCATCCGCAGACGGAGTATTCTTGACATAGACAAGTTACGGGGAAAGACTGGTTCATCATGGAGGTTCGGTTGTGCCATCTGTACGGGTCTGAGTGGGCGTAGGCGTAGACACCAAAGAGCCAGAGTCCAGGGAAGAATGCGAGTGCAGCAAGAGGCAGGAAGAATGGCAGGCGACGACCTAGAGGCGACTTGCTACCGGCGCGGAATGGCACACTGGCGCCTCCGCCGTAAACTCTCCCTCCGCCAAAGTTGCGAGGAGTACCTGATCCCGAGCGTGAAGTACCTCCAGCGTTGCTATGTAGAAGGTACATGTTAGTGACGAAACCTTACTGTCCCGATGAAAGATGGTACGTACGCTGGCCTGGGAGTTCCGCCGCCGCGACCTCCTCCGCTACTTCCGCCGGGTCTGCCACCGCCTCCCGCTCGACCACCACTTCCACCTCCGCTCCGCCCTCCGCCTCCACGACTTCCACCGCCTCCGCCGCGGCCACCTCCTCCTCCGCCTTTCCGCTTCTCCAGGTCGACAACATGTTTCGGTCCATCTATAAAGACGGGCGCATTCTCAGCATGCTTCACTTCGTCGACTGTTGCCACATCTGTTGTCTGGAGGATGCTTCTCGACACGGCACTTGAAGATAGCAGCAGCAATGGAAGCGCGACATTCAATGAGAATTTCATGGTGATCTCTAACGCTTGTCGGATAAAAAAAGAATAACTGTATGGAGTACTTCGTAGTTATGTAAGTCTATGATGGGAACTTATGAGCGAGAAACAGGGGGATATATAAGCAGAAAACACAAAGCTGGGCACTCCTTTCCGTCCCAAGCGGACTTGATGAACCAAGCACTGCCTCCCTGAACTCTACCTTGCCGTGACCTCATAGCAGATTACCTCATTTTACTTTCCCTAACGGACCGGAGTTGTTCCTTGCGCTTGGCTTTTGCATCGCCACCTCTGACAGGCTAAAACTACCGACGACTTTTGACTCGAGCGTGTTCCAGCGGTGAGATAGACGGACAAGGCGGCAATGAATGAGGCTCAGAAGCGGTCTACGGTTTTAACTCACGCCAGAGCCTCCGGTATAGCTAAACGGGACTTTGGGGCTTTGCTGCTGCCATGCGGGCCCTGACAACGGGCGTCGAACGGAGAACACAGCAGACCCCGGCTTCTCTCCCATGCGTTTTCTCCTCTCTTGCATGGATCAACGCAGAACCGGGAAACGAGAAGGCGAAGAAGGCGAAACACGAGGCGAAAAGGAAGAGAAACAAGAACAAGAACAAGCCAGGATCGCAGGAGCAGATACTCACGTGATGAACATGACTAAGCGGGTTCGGCAAAATCTCGCCAAAAAACAAAAAACTTCAGACAACTCAACAACTTCAGGATAACTTCACTCTTCACGATAGGATAACCTCACGCGATGACTGCGGTGAACAGACGCCATGCCTGTCCGCTGGCATAGCCCAACCCTCGAGACTATACCTCTAGGCCAGAGATGCCACTGACCGTCTAGGATAAGCGAACGCTCGACAGTCAGGTCGTAAACTGACTAACACACTTCGGCAAGGCGTTTTGATGCTCCATCTATATTCCTTCGCCTCGATCCCATTTGATACTCTGTACGGATACTACTATATTTCGCAATCCTCGAGCCTAACTGTCCACCCAATATGGAAGACCCACGGACTTTCGTTACGAAGACAGCCCGCATCTGTTCACGTCTTGTGTCAATGCATGGCTGGAGTTGGACTTCAGAGATGACTCGGGGAGACTCTTCATGTCTCGTCGAGGAATCTCAGATTGCAAGAACAAGTCTTAAAGGGCCTTCATAGTTCATGCTGTTCTCTGTTCCCGTCTGGGAGTTTTCCACAGAGAGCATGACTCCTTACGCACCTACATACTTTTTTTGTGTACATACAAACTTCATAGAGATCGTCATTATATCTGCCCGACATCGAGCCTAAATATTATTATGCATTTATACATTGGTGGATCATAGCTTACTATCTTTACCGGGACTTTTGTCGTCGGGAATCTGCACCACAACCTTACCCCAGGTCTCCCTCCCTCCGAGCGCCTTCAACGCCCTGGGAATAGACTCTAAGCCCACAAACGTCTCATCCGTGAAGCTAGTGCCCCTGAACTTGCCTTGCCTGATCAGATCGAATATCCCGTTCCAAACGGACACCGTCGTCTCCTTCTCAAAGGTAGCATACTGTCCCCAGTGAAGACCCACGATACTCACGTTTTTCAACAACACCCGGTTGAGCGCTACCTTCTCGATCTTCCCCGCCGCGAAACCAATCACCAACAACCGAGCATTCCATGCCACGCATTTCAGGCTCTGTTCAATCATGCCAACTGGGTCATATACGATATCCACGCCAGCCTTGCCGTTACCGGACCTGTTCTCGGCACACAGCTTCTTCACTGCCTCCGGCCACTTTGCATCCGTGTAGTCGATCGTATAATCAGCCCCGAAATCCCGCGCAACTTGTCTCTTCCTATCAGTGCCCGCTGTAGCAATGACCGTAGCACCCTTAGCCTTGGCAATTTGGACAGCTGCGAGCCCGACTCCGCCCGCCGCGGCATGCACAAGAACCCAATCTCCCTGCTGCACGTTTGCTCTATGGACTAGACCGCCATATGATGTGGGAGCCGTAACGAAGAGTCCTGCAGCGTCGTCAAAACTCCAGCCATGAGGCAGTGGGAATAGTGAGGCCTCGGCGGATAAGATATGGGTGGCATACGCGCCTTGCGTGGCCCCGAATACACGGTCTCCAACGGCAAACCTTGGATTCTTGCTGGCGCTAGGGGTGCTGAGGACAATTCCAGCAAATTCCATGCCAGAGATCCATGGGAGTGGTGGTTGATGCTGGTATTTCCCTTGTATTTGGAGTAGGTCGAAGAAGTTGGTCCCCGCGGCGTGGATTCTGATCAGGTATTTATCCGCGCATGGAGACGGGGTAGGCAACTCTGATACTGTCAGGTCAAGAGGGTCCTATTCAATGTTTCTGGCATCAGCAAGTTATATTCTCTATCACCAGGTGGTCGTGTTCATTTATCCGTACCTTGACATATTCCGTAACCTGAATTGCGCGCATCTTGATCAAAGCTTGATCGAGGGATATATCGACTTTAGAACACAAGTATCGTCCGTTACATGTATCTGTCAACAAATGATACTAGATATGAACCGTAGAAAGCACACAGCATGGTTGTCGAAGATATTAGTGTAACTGAAGCCGGGGTAACTAGCCAGCCTTGTGCCGAGGTTCACGGCTCTAGCTATAATAACATCTCGGTATAATCGGTTCTCGGGCTCACTCCTCCGAAATTGAGGTACAAACTTGAGGGGATATACCGACACGGCATAATGCTGTAAGACGGCCATGGATGGTTTGAGAAATGGTGAATGAACAACGCAAGTGATACCTAGTACAATATGACAAGCTCGACCAGCTCGGTCGGTCCCTGTGGGACAACATAAGCCTGTATATGCTCATTTGTTGCAAGGAACCCCTCGCCGTGTTATGGAGAGCGAAATTGCTGGTGAATGTGTGAATATGGTGTGTATGCACGGTATCCAGGGGCAGATTGAGTTGAAGTGAAGAAAAGGGCCTATACCCAGTATTTATATAAAGAGTAGGCAAGTTCGTATATATGTATTGAATTACGCAATCGAATAAATCTCATAGTAACAGAGAGCAGAGAATTAACCGGCTACTTGACTGCTACCCAGAAAATCATACAAAATCAGTAAACGGCGAGTTAACCAGGCCAGCAAAGGGTTTTTTTGAGGAGTATCCAGCTCCTGAGATATCATTTCGTACAGATAACCATCCACCATGATAGGTCATAATCGCCAAAAAAAAAAATTTAACGACATCAAATAGGCCAGATAGGCAGACATTAGGGAAAGATAGAACACCCCATTTAGACAAGCAGATTAACCCTATTAATATCCCTGTTTAGTTTCCTCCCAGTTGTTCGCCTTGTACCTTTTTTCTTATGCCTGTTTTGTGCCATCCAGAAGAAGTGAAATTATTGGAAAACCCGTACTCCGCGATGAACGCTATAGATGTATCGTAGGAGATGAAACAATGAAATAGAGTGCGCCGCTTCCCAGAATTGGCGCTGATTGTTGAGGAAACGACAGAGTTATGAACAGATTATAATAGGGGGTTATTATGATTAGAGTGAGCGTGATATGAATCAGACATGAGGGAGAGACAGAAATGGGTATCCATAAGAATGCTGTGCAGTGGAGGGAAAAAAAAAACTTTTCAAGATAAAATGGTGGAAGGAAGAAGGTATTCGTTGTTTATGGCATCGGTGTGGTATGCCTGATGAGCTGCGAGACCGATGGAGCCCGGGGACCCTCCAACGGTAGAAAGGTCCAGTGGTCCTGGAGACTCCATTTTCGGGTACGGTAAACTGCTCGTAATCGTGGCCAGAGTCGATGGCGTTGTTACTGCAGTACACGGCCCTGATGTCCCAGTTGCCTTGGCTTTGAGAATTCGACGCTCCCTAGATGGAGAAAGACCACCTAGCCGCGAGAATTCGGCGGTACCCTCGCTGCTAGAGCAAGGCCTTTTCCAGTTTTTCATGGAGTGTGAGTCAAGAATTTCTGCATCGTTTAATGGGAAATCCATGAGGGAGGGGTATGATAGACTATCGTCACTGTCTAGATATTCCTTCACATAGTTCACTTGTTGCTCTATGGTGGAATCATCAAGGGGACAGATAGTGGGTGAGCATTTTTGACACATATCCGGAGTAGGATAGTTCCATGGGCTTGTTGGCTGGATTGCAGGAGAAGGAAGGGTAGACCCAGGAGTGCGACCTGCTTGATGAGTGCTATCAGGCGACTGCCACTCTGCTGGCAGTCCGCTCGACGCAACATCACTCGTCGGAGTCACATCGCCGGAGGAAGTAGTGAGATTTGGGTTAATTCCAGTAAAGACTGTTATTGGGCAGCCTTCGGTACTGGTGGATGCATCTTGAGCGTGACTTGCAGTGGGGTATTGGCGATCGAACGGGTGAGCTGGGTGATGATGATGGTGATAACCCGTGGAAGGTGGAGAAGGGCCCTCGGTTGGAGAAACATTAGAGGTGGTGCTCGCTCGGCGGCTATCATAGGATGGGACGATCTTCGGTAGATTTGAATGGTCGTGTGGAGGTGCTATTATCCAGCGCATTCGGGGATCCCAGATATTTGGGTGAGCGGAAGACCCGCAAGAGGGAGGGTATGGAATGAATTGGGGAATATAGTGTTCGTTGACCCGGCCTCGTAATTCTATATCCTGTGCCTGTGACAACGATGCTGCTCCGTGGTCGGCTGGACGGGAAGCAGGTCTCTTCCGTCGTTGCCGTGATGGTTTAGTGACCCCCCATTTCTTGAGTCTGCTGCGTAGCTGTGTTTCACTATTGATGGTTCAAACCCAGGTCAATATCGCCAGTTTTTAGTCGTTGCTGGTAGATGGGGAGCATAACTCACGTGGGATTGAAGTTTTCAGTGCGGATCTTCTTCATCACTTGCTTGAGAGGCCATTCTTCCTCTGTATATAAATTGGATATCTGGGAGCGTTTGGTTTCCCAAACGTCGGACGGGATTGTGGTCTTCATTATTGGAGATAGGATACAACAACAAAAATGAAGTCGTAGTGGGAAGATGGAATTGGACGACGGGGCCTATCTCGAGTTATATCTTGCATCAAGAGAAACAATGATGCAACAGAAGGCGGAAAAAGAAAAGTGGTGGAAACGGCCTAGCTATGGAGTACTTGCATAGTAGTACTCCACGGTAAAGTAGGAGCATGCCCAAGTAGGAAAGAAGTAAGCTTGTACGGGAGGACGGAGTACTGCGTACCAAGTTTACACTCCGTAACAACCTTCGTATCATGGACTCTCCGACGCTACGCCAGCCGCAGCAGCGGTGCCAGCGATGGGGCTAGTTTCCTCCGAACGAAGCCAGCCTGCAACATATGTACCATCACATCGTAGGGTACATCGACGTAAGCAGTGAAAAAGAGGAGTGCAGAAGGTCAGTAAGTATCATTCGCCACTAGCAAATGACAGGGAAGAGTCCAGCGTCCATGGCTTGCACCAAGAAATGTGACAGGTCAGATTCCCTTGCGTGTGGCTCGCTGTCGGACCCATCGTAGTTCTATAAATTGCCCATGGCTCACCACATTTGTGTCAGTTCTCTTCAAGGACGCCACAACCTCACCTGAACCCCTCCACCATTTCCCTCCCCCCATTCTGGGATTCGCTACGTCTCTGGCGTAACGCGACTGGGTAAACTGCATACAACAGCCGAGAGAACCCTTGCCACTTGCATATACGCGGGTATTGCTTCATACATGGTTGGGAGCAAATAATACGGGGACCCTCTCAGAGCTTCCCACCAGAGTTTAGGGGCTCCGGGCGATGCGATTCCAGACGATTGGTCGGCGATTTGTTTATGGTTCCTTTGATCTCTCCACCATCGGTAGGGATCTGGCATGTTGATATTCGTGAAGGAGGAGCTCCTACGTATGCATTTAGTAATATCGATCCAGTACGGAGAGTCGACAGACCTGTCACTCGAACAGGGCTTGAACAAAGCTCGAATTGGAATCCTACCTCGCATTGTCTTCGTCAATTCGTTTGAATTATTTATTATTGATCTTCCTCTTTGCCTTTTGCCCTCAGCCAGCCCACGATGGTTCCTCAGCTTTGCTGTAAACTCTGACATCCATAACAGGTACTCTGCAGGGGACGATCTGCGAGCCACAGGAAAGCCGTGATGTCGTGCCTTGATCATATCGTGGATCCTCCTCTGGTTTGGGATTTTTGCAGGTTTAGTAACGTCGTACATACCTTCCGTCGTAGTAACGCGTCGAAGCTTGCAAAAATCCTAAGGGAAAGAAAGAGAGCGAAAAAGCAAAGGTGGTCTGTAAGTAAGATGTGAAAACAGATCTGCAAGTTAAATTCGGGTGGGACTTGAAGGTTCTAAAGCTTAAACCCTCGCATGAGTGATCTTCATGCTCCTTTTTTCATGTTCGAAGAGCTCTAGAGGCCTCTCGACTAGAGATAGGCATGGCGTGTTGATTATCTCCCTGGTAAGCTTCCGGCTACGTCTGGCAATGCCAATTCACCAAGGAGTGACGTCGATTCGCCCAGCGACCGAGATGGCTTGCTCATCGAGCTTATAGCGTGAGAATAGTCTGTCGGGAAAGCCGCTAGGCCGAGCTACCGGACGGGAACGAAAAGCCCCCTTTCTCGCCCTGAGCTCTTATGGAACTGTGCTCTTGGTGGGTACCATGGCCGTGGCTTGCGGGATTGCCTGGTGACCTGTTTCCACCGTACGGCGTGAATAATACGCTTCCTGCAGATGCAAAGTGCCAATCCGTAGTTACGGAGTACATACGCAGTCTCCGTGCTGAGGATATCCTCCGGCGGAGGGATGTCGTGTTGGTTCTGGTACACTGCGCGGCTCGCGATGCATTCCGGAGGCCTGGGAACCGGGGTCGAATAGCCGAATGGTAGACTTCTGGGGGACATGTCTGGATAAAGTAGCTATTACGGAGTACGTTCCACTATGGATACTCGTGGTCACGGAGACTCTCCTCCTCTCTCCGTGATGTGCTGCCGAGATGTGCGATTGGTGAAAACACCTTTCGACTATGCATCCTTGGCTTGACAAACTTCCGCTTGTAAGTGTTTGAAGGTTTTTTTGTCACCCAACGGACGAGAGCCAAGCGGGGGGGAAGCAAGGTCGGGGATACATGCTTAGCTCGCGTCTCGAAATCTAATGCGGTGAGAATGTGGCTAGTCGAGTTTTATCTCTAGTAACGAGCAATGCGCCGAACACGAAGATAAATACGTTCGGGAGCATTAGCCGAAGGCTCGTTGGCCAACCAAGGTATGCTAGCTCGGTAAATGCGGTTTCAATTGTCAGTTGGATGAAAACCGCAGACGTCAAGCAGCAGCTTGCCCTGTAAAGTACGGAGTAGCAGAAACACAAAGTAAGTTGTTATACGGTGACGTCTGTACCAAGGTTGCACGATCAGTCTTCCTCGCTAGGACTTGATGAGATAGAGATTCGCGGGTCTGCGGGGTTCAACCAATTTGATCGTTAAATCATCTTCTTCACTCTGTCCGCCTGACGGCCGTTGAAAAGACGGGCATTGATAGCTACTCTGACGGCCGAAAGGGCGCAACGCTTCCTCATCGTGGCAGCCGTGATTTCCGGGGAGATAGTCCTATACTAGTTACGGGGATCGGCCGGCTTTGATGTGCGGGTCGAATCAATCAATCAGTCGAGGGGCAGCAGTTAAGGTAAAATGATTCCATACGATGGTGTGGTCCCCTGGGAAGCTTTCCATGCATAGTGCCCGAGGAATTCTCTTGATGTAGTCAATGCTAGGAATGATGGATATGACACCGCCTGTTTCCATTCGACACTACTCCGTATACTCCGTAGACTTGAGTGTTGGCCGATAGAATGCTGCGGCTAGTATGGAAGCAGCTAATGCTGTAAATCGTCGATTGAGTTCTATCCTCGACGGGTGATATGGCAGACCCCTTGCCGAATAACTAGTTAGTGGTGTATAAGAGCGCTCTAATATAATATCCGAGCATCATATGACGGGGGTCGACAGAGCCAAATTCCACGCCATCGAATCCGGAGAGCTATCAGAAACTCAGCAATACCATAATTTCGCGCAGTCCTGAGGCCATACTAGCATTGTGCCTGCATGTATGACGAAGTTTGTGATAGATCGTCATTCTCAGGCATTCTTCCTGGGGATCTCGCGGCTACTGCTGCCCCTCGCGCGTTCGCTGGGGGAGGACAGTGAGATGCAACCACACCTGACGGAATAAGATCTGTAGACGTGGATGGCTGTGCAATCGTGACGGTGATATTTGGAACACGCCTGATGTGCTGCAAGGTCGCGTTCATGTCCGCACGTCAAGGACTTCCGTACTATATCTCCCGCCAATAATGGCTGCCAGCGACCTCGCCCTGCCCGATAGCGAGAATGAGCTGTCACGGACGCATCCGTCAGGCCCCATAAAGTGAGGAGGCCATGAGGTGCGGCGTCCTGCGGTTGTGTTTTGTTTTGTTTTGTTTTGTTTTGCTGGTCAGACATGGCAGAGAGGAGGTTTGAAGCCACCGACTGACGTTGTTTTTCTCAAAACGGTAACTCGACTTGGCTTCGCGGAGATATCAACACACCCTCCGCCCTCCTCCCGTCCTACGTCCTACCACCGCGCGCATCATTTGGGCAACGCAGAAAAGAAGTACGATTAAGCGCCACCGTCCACATGGCGTTTGGTGGTGCCAATGAAAGACAGATCTTGTGGCACAGAGTTTCTGCTAGCTCAGAGTGCTTCGAGGGAGCGACGCCGCAGTTCGACCGTAGAAACGCATTATTGATATTTAGCCCATGCGGAGTATTATCTTCAGGCAGACCTGGCAGATCATTTCATCGCCTCCCGCGACGACCCCGTTTTTCTTCATCAGGTTTGCAAAACGGCCGGTACCAGCATTCTCCAGCCTCAATGGTGGCGCATATTGGCGATTTCATGATTCAGGATGCAGCTGCTTTGGCCCCGGCTATCTTACTCGTCTGGCAGTCAAGGAACACCTGCTCGGTCGTATCCCGTTCCTCAGTTATCTCGCTGGACCGAGATGACGCTGCAGGATTTGCCACCACAAGGAGAGCTCAGGTTCCTCGCTTGATGGCGCGGCATCCAATAATAGGGGGTTCCCCCGAAACCGGTCAGCTCGCCATGTTGGCTGCGTTCATGCAGGGGAACGAGCCATAACGACGCTGTAGAGCAGCCGAGGAGAGGCAGAAAACCTGAGGAGGGCCTGATGGAGGGAGGGGACAGAGCGCTGGTTTCCGATATCGCTACCCTTGCTCTACGCCTTCACCGTCTGATGGCTGCGTTGGATCATGCAGAATACGCAGCCACGCGCTCACCTGCTGCTTCACTAGCCACCTGTGGCAGGCTGAGAGGATCTCTAGACCCATGATATCCATTCCATGTACTCCATACAAGGCTGCTTGAGTGCCATGGTACAGTACGCCTCGGCACGGGGCCAACTCCCGCCTTACGGATTGCCCGGACAAAATATGATATCACTACGACTCCGTACAGGTCGACCGTCAGCAGCGTATCGATGATCCAAGAGTCCTCCATACATCGATATGCACTTTTTCTAGCGGCAGTAGTCGGGTGCTCTGAATACTTCCGATGTTGGGTAGCCTGTCATCACTCCGGAATGGAGTTCCGGTCGTTCCATTCGTCCCCAGCGTAACCTTTATGCGATCTACATCACTACTGCATGGCCGGTCATAGTTGTTGTGCAATGCCCATTCACGACATGATTGACAATTCACCTGCCCGGTACTAAGCTTGGAAGCCTATGAGCTGCGAGCTTTACCTACGTGGTGTACGCAAGGGCACGGCTCTTATAGGGCTCGAGGAGGAACGGCCCCCACGACGGGAAGTCAACACTTACAGGGAGATTTGGAGTGGTCATGTCGGGTGCTTCACTCCGTTAGACGTGCCCTGCACTGTACGGAGTACGTGCTCTACATCTGCATCCGGAAAATCGTCTCCGCATGCGAGTTCGCGGCGTTCATATACAACCGCGAATCCGTAGCTGTCGTGCACATTTTATATATCTATGCACGGCGTGATACCGTAGTAAACTGCAGAGATGTCTGTGCACGCTCTCGACGATAGAACAGGTGATGATGATAATAATAATAACAATATTGATATTAATACCTGGCGGGTTATTATCTGGGATCTCTTGCAGGTCTTGCTTCCCAAGGCCTGGAACTCCTGTGGCGTCCTGTTGCCCAACCCCCAATAAGAAACGAAACATTGCTACACCGCGATGCAAAACATCCTGGCGATATCCATGCACATCCCGTCGCGCTGGTGTTATTATGGACTCCGTTGTCTCGCAGAATCTCTGGCACCGTCAACCTGAACTTCCCTGGCGCTATAGTTTCACCCTGGCCTATATCAGCTATGCTTTCCCCAGCCCTCACAACTAGAGCTGTATAGATTATAAGCGCCTAAACTTGCCTCGCTGCGTAGAGTTAGGTCAGGCAGCAGAGACCCACGGCCTATTCACTCCATCGAGGGTCGAAGATGGGATGAGAGACAGTATCCCATTGGATATACAGCGTACATATACAACCTGATGGCATTTGCGATTTACTGCGGTCGGAACTCAAATGTCTCCTCCCCCTTCACGGTTTGTACATACGTACCATCGCCCTAGTTGCTTGGATCCTCCATAATACTAGCATCCACAACCAATCGTCGACGGAATATCTGCGGATAGAAGATTCATTCGATGCGGAGGCCAATCGATGCCATCCCCTCGCTAAGATTATTATGCATAAAAGCATGCTAGCGGAGGTTACTAGGTATACCTCTTACGTATGTGAAATGATTCCATAACGTCTGAGGGCTCGCTAATTCGCCTTGAAGGTAGAACCCCGGTTTCTTGCCAATCAATTGTGCACAGAGTTAGGTACAGCTTAGAGACGATAAAGCGGGGTGGAAGGGGGGGAAGTGAAAATCGATTATATTACTCCGCATATGGTTCATCGTGCAAAGTACGAAGGTACTCTGTGCAGGAGTTGCTCCCGAGTCCTACTCTATATCCCCGTACCTTTCTGTCCAGGGCCTATCAACAGAGCTCCCCGCCTCGCCTGTAAGGCCCGGCATCGAATGAAAAATAGATGGCAGTATAGCCATACATACGCCGGCGGCGATTGGCCAAGCCAGTTGAATCTTGCCTGTTGATCCTTCCTGGCTCTGCGTATGCTGTGCAACTGGGCTCATGTGAAACTTTCCACATATCTGGAAGTCGACACAGTAAGGGCCAGCGGTGGTCAATCGTGTAACCATACAATATAGTCCACATTGGCTCGTGGAGCGGAGAATAAAAAGACGAACAAGCAGAGTGGTGGTTTGGAGTGAAAAATCAAGTATAACTAAATAAAAATAACGTTACTGTTAAGACATTTGTGGAGAATCAAGGGGGAGGAGGAGCAGGAAGAGGTCGAAAGCAAAATTATCAAAATACAAAAATATAAATAAAAAAGTAAAATTGCATAAAAAACGCTCAAATGCACCTCACGATGTGTCAATGCCTCGACCTCGCTGCATATAAGTGTATGGGAAACGGAAACAAAAAACAAAAAGCAACGCCCCGCATAGATATGCGCTGTAAATATGCTGATGGCCAAGATAATGTGATGAGGGATATTTTCTCCCCCCCCGTTGATTTTAGGTCTCTAGCAGGTTTTTTTGTTTTGCTGTCACTAAGGCCATCGGAGGGCGGAAACCGGACAGGCGACCGCAGGGTGTACTCCTCCGCACTGTATGGCGGCAGACGGTCTTCTACCTCTTTCTCCGGATGCGATGTTCTCTTCCCTTTTTAGATTTCTTTCTCTGCTTATCGGCCGGGAGAATGAGCGGCTCATCTTTGAGGTTCCACTCCATAAAGCGAAGTAGGTAGTCATCGATATGGCCGACGGGAGCTTTATCATCATCAATGTCGTCAAGACCGTCGTCGGGGCCCGCGGAGGGTGAAGCCGGTTGTGTGCTGCCGTTCGCGTGTGATACAGAGGGCTCGCATTCGCCTGGTTCAGTGGGCGCAGGGGTCCCCAGTAGGCTTTGACCAGGTGGTTGCTGTCCTGGTGCAGGTGTCTGGGGAGTGCTGGCGTCATCAAAGTTACTATCGTCGACAACCTGCTCAAGCTCCTTTTCAGCCGTCTTAGCAGCGTCGATGTCTTCTTTATCTTCGGCTTGCTCGAATATGCGTGACGTTCCGTGAACTTTGGTATCGAGGACCCTGTCCATGGCTGCTCCCGCTTCATCATGGCCCTCGGCCAACTCCTCGTTGCCCAGTATGCCATCCACGTCAAGTCTATTCAAATAATCGGTAGTGAACTCCCCTTCTTGTATCACAACATCATCTAACATTCTCTTCTGATTTGCTTTACGTAGAATATTGGATTCGATTGTGTACTCCGAAACAAACCTGTAGATATGCACATCTCGGGTCTGGCCAATTCGGTGACAGCGATCCTGGCACTGCTTGTCCATCGCAGGATTCCAATCCAGGTCGTAAAATATGACGGTGTCTGCTCCTGTTAAATTAATGCCTAGACCACCTGAGCGACTGGAAAGGATGAATGCCAAGATACGTGTATCGTTGTTAAACCGTTCCGTTAATAGCTGACGCTGTTCGATTTTCGTAGACCCATCTAATCGGAGGTACCGATGGCCATGAATATTCAAGAATTGCTCTAAAATATCCAACATCTTGGTCATTTGCGTGAAAATCAATGCACGGTGGCCTCCGGCTTGCAGAGTTCGGAGTAGTTTATCAAGCTGCTGGAGTTTCCCACAGTCATATTGCAGCAATCGCTTGTCCGGAAAGGCAATTGATAGTCGCATTTGGGCTTCATGGAACGGGTCATAAGCAGGAACTCGCTGCGAGGGGGTAAAATATCGCGATGTGATCGGTGTGAGTGTGGCAGCTGTAACTCCATGGGCGATAGCAGCTGGTGTAAGACATGCGAACTTTTGCACCAAGGGTTCCACCATGAGGGAGGTTGATTCCATGGATCGGACCATAGAACTGAGCACCAACGACTTACTCGAGAGCCAGTCAAGGAGGAATCTTCGTGGGGGTGGCCGGCGAGCATCTGGCTGAATTGCAGTGACTATGGTAAGCCTATCGATAAGACTCTGACCATATATCGGACGCTGACTATGACGCTTGGATTCGAAGTAGAGGCATCTTTCCAACTCTCTCATTCGGGCTTTTCGAGCATCATTATCCATGGAGCGTAGGGTTGACTGTACAGTGGATCCGTCGAAATTCATGTCCCAGTTCGTTCGATTGTATTGTCGTTGTCGGAGCGATTTTAAGGGATTATACGCCATGATTCTGGTGCAGTCGTCAACGAGTACCTTCGAGCTCTGCTCCCGGGAGATTGGAGCGAGGTTCAAAAAATCCAGATCGAGCTTCTCCAGCACATCTTCTTTCAGCAGCCGTCGACGAATAAGGAGATTCTTTATTTCGAAATCAGCCGCTGCGGAGGTAGGCATCGCGAAAGAGGTAGTAATTGGTCGAGTCTCGAACAAGTCAGGATGGTTGCACACTTTGCGCAGCTGCATCAAACAGTTAATGATGGAAAGATAGTTCCCGGAAGCTAACGTCTCTTTCGTCTGAGTTCGAGACATAAATCCGTCATAGAGATACCTTTGACGCTTCGATAGGCGGCAAGCAACAACGTGCTCGTATTTGGCAGGCATCTGTTTTTCCACGTCCACTTTGAGACGGCGGAGGATGTAGGGTCGTAAGATTGTATGCAACTTTGAAACGACTGCTTTCGCCTCATCATCCATTGTCTCTCTGCCATGCTCCAAGATCTGTTCGACAGGACGACGGAACCACTCTGAGAAATTTCGGAGATCCGCAAACCCTTCGATACCATTGCCGTCCTCATCCGATGGCATGAGGAAGAATAGAAGCGACCATAGTTCCGTCAGATTGTTCTGGAGTGGTGTTCCTGTCAGAAGTAACCTTGCCTGAGTCTTGAAAGTAAGCAATGTTTGCCATCGCTGAGACCGAAAATTCTTGATATTATGGGCTTCGTCTAGGACCATGTAGTGCCAATTTCGCCGTCTGAATATTTGCTGATCTTGAAGGACAAGCTGGTATGAAGTGATGCACACATGCCAACGGTCATCGTCCATCCACCCTTTTCTCTTCTGCTTTCGTTCTTCCTGGGTGCCATAATAGGTAAGTATTTTAAAGCCTGGACACCATTTCTTGAATTCCATTTCCCAGTTTAACATGACGCTGGTTGGAACAATAACGAGATGAGGACCCCAGACTTCGTGCTTGACGGCTAAATGAGCTACGAGAGCTATTGTCTGGATAGTCTTTCCCAAACCCATCTCATCTGCAAGTATGCCGTTTATATTGCTTGCGTATAAACCGGCCAACCAGTCGAGACCGAAATGTTGGTATTCACGTAGTGTCCCTCGAAGAAGATGTGGAATTGGCGTTTTTATGCCTGTTGCTTGTTCTGTGGCGACAGCTGTCTCGGCCTCGTTTCCAGGCTTGGGACTACTAGCTTTGGGTAGCGAGCTGGCTTCATTAACCTCAGTATTAGCCTTAACCAGTTCATCGTTGTTCGCCGCTTCGTCCTTGTCGATTGACATCAGAGACATGGCTTCTGGTTGACCATTCTCTTGCATAATCGTATCTGCATCAGGAGCCTTGTCTGGACTCTTTGGTACAAGATGAACTTGTTCATCATTGTTCTCTTCATCATCTTCGGGTTCATGAGGTTCAATGCCATTGACACCCTTGGTGACCGCATCGTCAGCACCTTGCATGCCATGATTTAAATCTCTAGTATGGTCAACGCCGTTCGGACGAGCAGTCTCCCTTTTAGAGAAGAACCCTAGTAACCCCCCTCCTTCGTCACTTTCGTCACTCTCATCACTGTCATCAGCATCACTATGGTCATCTTCGTCGTCTTCGTCGCTATCTCCCATATCATCATCCATGTCCGTAGACTCGTCAGATTCGTCGAGGAGTAGTGGGTCGACCTCCTCTAGTTCGGCAACAACTTGGCCTTTTTCCATAGTTGGTGATGTCTCGCCTTTTAATATATGTTCTTCAGAATAGGCCATCTCAACGGGTATATCCTCTTCATCTTCTCCCTCATCTTCATCCTCATCTTCATCGTCATCATCGCTGGATGGCATAGAGGAGTCCATCGATGCAAGATTTGCATACTTTGCTCGAAGTGCCTCTGGGCTTAGTTGTTCGTCGTCGTTAGCATCCCGATCTTCATCACTCTCAGTTTCCGAGTCAGAGGAAGACATGTTGCTGTCATCCCCCGACTCCCCGGTTCCCCCAGACGAGCTGTCTTCCCCATCATCCGTCTCATCTTCCTCGTCCTCTAGTTCACCAGTTCCGATTCGCTCGGACCTCCTTCTCTCGAAAAGAGCAGTAGATTTCTTCAAAGCGTTGTTCAAAGCCAGCTGTTCTTCTACCTTCCGCTCCTGTTCCCAGATAGCCAACCTGGCCTTGTAGACCTCGGCGCGAACTAGATCGAACTGTCGCTGTAAATCCTTGACCAGCTGCCGCCGTTTCTGACGTAGCTCATTGTTTTGTTCTTTGAGGATATCTTCCGGAGCTTTATTACGTTTCCGCCATGCATCGGCGCACCAGTGGGCAAATAACCTCGCGATATTCCGGTGGTGTTTGCGCTCTTTGTCCAGGAGCTTTTTGAAGTATAATGCGTGGGCAATGAAATGATCTTGATGTGAATATTGACGCGGGGGTGCCTCCTCGGGATCAGTCAGATAAAACGAGCAGCGCTCTTTGCTTAGAACCTGATTTGGCTCGCCGGCCTCTTTAAGTCTTAACCGAACCCGGGCCTCTTCTAATGCATCCTTTGGAGAGGAGAAATGAGTCTCCTCTTCACCCGGGGTGTTCTTGTATAGCCATTCGTGGAATGACGTGCATTGCTTTGGAGGAAGGACATGCGACGGATGCTGGATCCCCAACGATGGCATCTTCACACGGAATCGTAGTCTCGGCAGCTTCTGGCTTGTCCCTTCATCTTTATTTTCAGTCCGATTCCAGCGCTGTTGGCCAGTCGAGGGAGTTCCATTCTCTAACTTGACTATGGCTGCACCGTCACTCTGTCTTCGACGTGGTCTTCCAGGCTTGCGCTTCGGCGGCGGATCTATGGGGGAGTTCGGGTCGGCGAAGGTAGTAGTAGTAGAGGTCGTTCGCGGGATATCAGAGACGCGCCGTTGAGACAAAGGCTGAGGTTGAGTGGAGTTCTTAGCGAATCCTGCTGCTGCCTTTGATATCGTCGCGCGCCCGGAGCTATCTCTGGGAGACGTGGATGGATCCACGCCGTTATTCTGGTTGCTGCCACCGAGTATGCGTCTCCCGTTCGACTCCGGCCTTGCCGCCCCGGAAGGTGAAGAAGCAGAGCCTCCGCGACCCTGTGTCCAGCTCTGTATGGCCTTGCTCATGGGCCCCTTCTGCACAGGCACAGGTCGTGTGCGTCTTGGATCTCCGTCAGGCAGCATCTCGGGGGGCATCGCGTTCGTCCTCGTCGACCGCCGCTTGCCATCTGCCACAAAGGAGGTCGGCCCATCGAACCCGGCGCGTTTCCATGGCGGCGAAGGTGGTCGTGGTGTGGTTCGTCCCGACGTTCCTGCAAGCTTCCGCCTCTTGGATGGTGGTCCGTTAATCCCATTAATTCCATTAATTCCATTAAGCTGTTCGTGTTTCGCGACGGCGTTGGTATCCTCGAGAACGGCCGGTTTTGGCTGCTCGGAGGGCGTATCGGTGGGCGTCGAAGGTCTAGCTATGCGCTGAAGCTCGCCATCATGTTCAGGCGTCGAGATATCGCGACTGTGTCCCCGGCCGTTCGACGTGCCGTTTTGCATTTCTTGTCCCTAAAATTGGATGGGGGGGATAAGCTAAAAACGATCCTAGCCGTAGTATCTGGACGAAAACGCGGTGAAATGTGCCAAATGTCCCATCAATCGATAGATCTATTTCTACCCAGGCCACATACGAAATCTGGCATCGTTATCGGCAAGGGTGCGCGGCGGGAGGGCAAAAGTTGTGTCTGTCAAGGGATTTCGCGGGAGTCGTTAATTTTCGCCTGCAGCTTTCAAGTTACTAGCATGCTGACTAAGCCCTAGCGACGACGAGACACGACAAGAAACAGCAAAGAGAAGACAAGACAAGACAAGCGAGAGAAGGACACGGCAGCTGCAATTGTGAGTCCCATATATATCTATGTCTGTCTGTCTATAGAGCGCTGACGAGATAGATGCTGTCGAGACGAATCCTGTCGCGGGTGCCGGCTCGCATTCCAACTGCCAGAATCACGACGCAAGTCAGATATGCCTCCCAGGCCGAGATACAGGACCCGGGCATGGTTCGTCACTGCTGCCGACTTCCTCCCGGCCAATTCACTTAGCTGACTGTCTTTGAACCTGCAGAATGGCGGATATGAGAACCCTCCGGCCGTGAAGCGACAGTTCCGTGACCCCAACGCCGACTGGTGGGATGCACAGGATAAACGAAACTTCGGAGAGCCAGTCCACGAAGACAACGATATCCTGACCACCTTCAGCGCCGAGGAGTACACCCACTTCAAAGCCCCCAAGGCCTTTTTCCTGCTTGGATGCTCTGTCGTTTCCGTCTTTGCCTTCTCCGGCGTCGTCAGCCTCTTCTATCCAGACAAGCCCAGCGCCCCCCGAACATTCCCAGACGGGCTCGAGGCAGAGCTTGGTGGCCCCAATGCCGTAGTCGTGAGTGTGCCGGTTATATTTTCTAGACTACGATGATTTACTGACCACTTCTTTCACATTTCTAGGCGAGGAAGCCCCATGAGGACAGCTGGTGAGAGAATATTGTACTGTATATAACCTAGAGATCCAATCACATTCTGTTCGAACCAAATCAGGTCATATCGATCGTGCATTAATCCGTTTCAGAAGGGCGCTTATGGCCGTCACCAGTGGTTTGCCATCACTGCAGGCACAAACCAAGATAGCCGCCGTGTTTGTATGGTGAATGAGTAAACATCTACAGAATACTTGACTTAAGATCCAGTCTCAGCCGGACAGTGGTACGGATCCTTGTAAATATAAACAGACCAAGACGGAGGGTTTTGCCATCTGCAGCTGCTATATCACGTATATTCGTATATCTGACTGGCGCAAACCTGCGATTAGATCTGACACACTACGTCAGAGGCCAAAATCCACACTCTTCCCCTAGTTGCTTCACCTCCACGCCAGGCCCCTGGACGGCGATAAACATCTTTTTTTTTTATAAGTCTCCGGCTCAGGATAGAATACCAGGACTCGATTTGGCCAGAGTGCCACAGATTATTCACTTCTCGTCTTACAGAGCACAGGATACTACGGCTGTTGTTGGCTGCGTTGATCGATACTGTAACGTGACGGACTCTTCTGCACCCACTGCCCCCCTGCACCAGCAGCAGCAGTTGAGCTGTCCGAATATTATCTGACACCGGTCCGCAGGTGAGCTGGATCTCTGTGTCCATGGCAAATACATGCATTATACTGATATCGAACCTCTCCAGATCTATGCGCAACCCCAACCTCCGCTGCCGTCGTCGTCGTCGTCCCCCCGTCGAGTCCCGCCGTTGCGATAGATAAGATTACGCAGCTCTCATGAGCATGAGCATGAGCTCTGAGCGGCATTACATGTCCAGTGCTTCAAGACACTCCGTGGGCGGCATCAGACGCGTGGACAGCCCCAGCAACAATGTCAGGCGTCACTCACGGAACATGTCTGCTGTCCGCCGGCGCCGTGTCAGCAGCAACGAAGCCTACAACTATGCCCTCCGAGTCGCCTTCCTGGCCTACCTGCTCCAGGCGCGCACGAAGAGAGTGCAGGCCGCTCCTCCGCCGCGGCCTCAGTCGCTAAACCGGGCGTCAACCTCGTTCCATGACCTGATGAAGGACTTCAGCCTGGTGCGAGACTCGAAGAGCACCAGGTTCCCGCACGGCTTCATCAGCGAGCTCGAAAAGCGGCTGACGGGCGTGCTGATTGGCAAGGAACATAGAAAAGAGTTTCAGGATGCTACGGTCAAGAGGACGTTTGGGGCCTTTCTGAACGCACTCAAGGAGCAGAGTTTCAAGAAGCGTATGGAAAAGGACCGGCGCGTAGAGGACCTGGTGCTCATCTTCTTCTCAAATGCGACCAAGGAGCTGTCCAAGGGGAGGGCGCCGGAGGATACCAGCTGGAAACTGATGGTGGATCGACATGTTGCTCTTTTCGTACGGCTTATTACATTTATCCTCAAGGACCATGACTGGATCAGGGACAAGCCGGAGCTAGGGAGCAGGCTGTTAACGCTGGAAAGTAAACTGCTAGCACACGACCAGGATCTGACGGAGGGTTCGCAGAAGGATGGCCCTACGGTCGAGGTCGTTGCGCCTCTGAGCTACGATGTCAAGGATATGCCCCTGGTACAGACCGTTGCGAAGGCGTTTGGCCTCCGGGACTCCCAGGTGCAATCGGATATCAATAAGAACAAAGACTCCTGGACTGGAAAGGAGGCATTACAGGATTTGAAGCTGTACCAGGCACACCTTAATCTTAATACTGGTGGCACGTTGTCCGTCAAGGACTTCGAGGTTGAAGAGGGCTACGAGGCGTGGAAGAAGGCAGAGGGGCCGGACCTCTCACAGATGATGTTGGCGATAGTTCAGTCGAATCCGGAACTTGCGAAGAGTACAGGCGGGACGCTGCCGCAGTTCAACGCCCAGTTGGCGGATGCTCCGTACGGCGAGGATGCGTACACGGATGCATACGGGACTATGTCTGAAAACTCGTCTTATGTGATTGACCAGCCAGTAGATATGAGCTCGTTATCGCTGGACGATCAGACTTATGAGCAGCCGGATACAAATTTCTACACTTTTATACCCCCTGATCCAAGGTCATACTATCGATTCATACTGAACCAGCTGCTTACCCACGACCTACGTGATCAGTCACTTGAAGCGTCAGAGGCGACATCTGAGACGCCTGCATCGAAGTTATTATCAAAACAGTCTACAGAACTGCTTAATGAGATATGTCTACGCTGGCGAATACCCAACTTCACGCGGCTTATACTCTTTCTAGACGTGTTCCGAGAAAAATACGTGGACCAGGAGATTGATCTAGACACACTTGATTCGGCATTCACATTCGTCAAGGATCCTCCAGCCGCCAAAAACAAGCGTGCCAGTATCGTCATGGCGCCTATCCTGTACGATAGAAACAAATGGACCCAAGCAGATATATTCTGTATGCATCGCGTTATCACCTCTATCAAAGAAGGTCTTCATCGACAGCTATATGAAACCATGATGTCCTGCTATGATGTCAAGATCCCACCCATCGGACCGGTCATGTATGTTCTGGAAACTCACATCGAGCCCGACCCATATTTTACCGAGAGCCCAGAGGAGCGGGAGCAGTTTCGTGAATATGCTTCCAATGGGCTGTTGGAGAAAGCCAAGTCAATTTACCAGGAGTATCTGAATAAAGAGATTCCGCCAGAGCAAGATGTGTGGGAGTTTCATCATGTTATTCAGCTTGGTAAGGCTGTGATGAAAGTTTGCCAGCGGATACAGAAGCGCTATAGGAAGAATCCAGAAATCCTAGGGTAAGCAAGTTCCTTATCGGTATTTAATTAGAACAACGTTTGCTAATATGGGTATAGTGTAAACCCCTTTACCGTGTTAATTAACTATATACTCCCTGTATACGCTGAGGATGCCCGAGATATGATTATCCGAATAATGGAACAAGCCCAGGAGAAGAACGAACAAATCGAAATGCAAGAGGGATTCGACCTATACGCTGAACTCTCTGGTATCCGAAAATTCTTCCTCGAGGTCCTGCCCGGCGAACCGTTCCCCTTCCCTATCGAAGAGCTGCTAGCAGACTTCGTCTGGCGCTGGATTCAGACTACAGACGCCAAGGTGAATGACTGGGTAAATCAGGCTGTTAAGCAGGATAACTTTAAAGTTCAGACTGATGCTCCAGGAGACATACCTACCGAGGACCAGCGACATAGTGTTTCGGTGACAGACGTGTTCCGATCGTTTAACCAGGTCGTGGACCAGATAGTACAGCTGAATTGGGATGACGATGTCGGGTACGCAAAGTTCATGACTGCTATTTCGCGATCGATTGGGAATGGGATGGCGAGATATTGTGAAATCTTGGAAGGCCTGTTTAGTCGGGAGATGGACAGGTTGACGCCAGAGCAGGAGGCCGCGGCTAGACAGACGAAGCAGGAGAAGTGGGTGCAGATGGCAAAGGATGCATGGACTAGTAAGGAGAAGGTTGAACCGTTTCAATTTTTTCCAGAGGTACATCACGCCCTTCTTGACCTATCCCTATCCTTTGTGGATAAAATGCTTGTGATATGGTGAGGGCTGACCATAAACATTGTTAGTCCTTTGTGAAACTCAACAACATTGAGTATGCCCTGCAGAAATTCGACCAGCTAGAGCGTGACATCAACATCGATGCATGTGCCGAAGTACTGGCTAAGAATGCTCCACCCCTAGCGAAACGACAGCGGAAAATAACCAACTACGTTTTCACCGTCAAGATCGTCGAAGCCGAAGACCTAAAGGGCTGCGATCTCGACGGCTTCAGCGACCCTTATGTTGTACTGACTGATGAATACCAGAAACGAATCTCGAAATCACGAATTATCTATAACAACCTTAATCCACGATGGGACGACACGGTAGATATCATGACGAGGGGTCCACTAAACATCATTGCAACGATATGGGATTGGGATGCTGTAGGGGACCATGACTATGTTGGTAGGACGTCGATGAAGTTGGATCCAGTGCATTTTGCGGACTTTGCGCCGCGGGACTACTGGCTGGACCTGGATACACAGGGCAGATTGCTGTTAAGGGTGAGCATGGAAGGGGAAAGGGATGATATCCAGTTTTACTTTGGAAAGGCATTCCGCACACTGAAGAGGACGGAGAAGGAGATGACGAGGAAGATTACGGAGAAGGTGAGTCTTTTACCCCCTTTATATAAACTACCTGAGAGCCGCACTTACTAAACGAGTGCATAGCTATCTGCATATATCAACCACTGTCTGTCACGGCGAGCCCTCAAAGCGCTCTTATCCCGCGGTATCAGCATGTCGACTGTATCCAGCTACTTTAACCGCAACCGAACACAGTCCAACCAAGCACCTACGCAAGTGGAGATTGAAAACGCCCTCGCACCTCTCTTCACTTACTTTGACGACAATTTCTCCATCATGAACCAAACCCTTACGGGCCCAGCAATGCGCACCGTCATGGCTCGACTATGGAAAGAAGTCCTCTCCACCGTCGAATCTCTCCTCGTCCCGCCACTATCAGACAAACCATCAAACCAAAAACCGCTCACCCAGCTAGAACTCGATATAATCCTGGCCTGGCTCGGACTACTGCTTGCCTTCTTCAACGCCGTCGACGAAGAAACAGGCGAAGCCAACGGGGTGCCCATGGATGTCCTCAAGAGCCCCAAGTACCATGAGATACAGACCCTGTTCTATTTCTACTTTGAACCGACGGAACAGCTGATCCGTACCTCGGAACGCATGGCCAGCGCTACGGCCGCCAGACAGCAGGCAAATCGTAACCGTCTGTCTACCTCGTCTGCAACGCTGGGCGTGCCAGGCTTCGCGGGCGTGTTATCCGCTCGAAGAGGCAAGAGTATTCTTCTCTCCCGCAACTTGGGCACCATGAAGAAAGCGAAAGAGGAGAAACGCCGTGAGGCGCAGGCTGAGCCCAACGATGATATGATATTGAGGATCCTGAGGATGCGAGTTGAAGCCGCCGGGTATCTGCGAGACCGGAGCAGGCAGAAGGAGCGGTTGGCCACGGCGGCGGCGGCAGATCTGATTGTTAAGCAGAGCCTGATGGCTGGCACTGGAGGGCGCATGACGGGCACATTGCCTCGATACTAGATATTACGAATGATCTCCTTGTTTTTTTTTGTTTCCTTTTTTCTTATTGGGCGTCGGTATTACTACGTTATGACTTTGTTCGGGTGCGGGATGGTTGCATGGTTACGATGCAGGACGGGGAACGGGGATGGGATACCAATCTGTCGTTAATTGTACGGGCATACTTAATAGTCAATAGTATTATAGAGGTTCTGCATCTTTAACCCGTCTGAGGATCATACTTTATTTGATCGTACTTGAATGTCCTATGTACAACTGCATGCTATCTACTGGAGAGCAATGCACTCAAGCTCGACAGGCACACCCTTGGGCAGCTGGTGCACGGCAACACAGCTGCGAGCAGGCTTGTGAGCAAAGTACTTCTCGAACACGCCGTTCATCTCGGCGAAGTCGGCCATGTCGACGAGGAAGACCTGTGGATAAGATATCAGTATACCCCTGATACGTACGGCATCTATAGATCTGGACGTAGACATACGTTGACCTTGACGACCTTCTCGATCGAGGAGCCAGCAGCAGCCAGCACGGCGGTGATGTTGCGGCAGCAGAGATCAGTCTTGTCAGCGATGCTTCCCTCGAGGAGCTTGCCGGTGTTGTCGGCGGGAATCTGGCCGGAGACGAAGACCTGGCCGGCGGCCTTGATGGCTTGGCTCTGTAGACAATTAGATCAATGCACTCGGCATATTGATATCTAGACGTAGAGAAGACGGCAGACATACGTATGGGCCAGCAGCTAGAAAGAAACAGTCAGTCAGTTCGTTTGTTCGTCAGATAGTGAAATAGCCGGCGGGGCAATGGCGTGGAGCTTCGACTTACGGGGACAGGCGTCCTTGGTGAAGACGGGGGTCATTTCAGACATGATGGCGGATCTGGAGAGCGGGCGTGTATGGGACGGTGGAATTGATGTTTGATATGAGAGTCGAAGGGCGGGGAGAAGAAGCTTGGAGCGTGAGGAAGTTATACGGCGTAACATGGAGGATGTTTTGGCTTATATCAGAACTGCAAGGGAAGTTCCCCGCGGTCTTAAGTTGCCCGTGGAGGATTACTAAGCCCGTAACCTTCTCCTTCTCCTTTCTCCTTTTCTTCTTCTCTTCAATATATATTCTAGCATCTATGAAGACAGTCTTCCTCTGGGTACTTACTACACAATCTATCCTGTAGATTGGCCAACCTGGCACCTGCTTTGACTTCTTCCTACACGCCGAACTGCCAGTCGAACGAGACAATGTAGTCCCAACAAAGCCATACATAAGGAGTGTATGATAAATTAACAGTATCTGTTGATTATAGCACTCTAAGGCGGATGGGTAAATATTCATTTGTCAACTATTTTACTAGAAACTCTAGATAGGTTGATGTACTGCCCTGTTCTAAACGATCCAACGATCCCATAAGGGGCCCAGGCAAAACATGCCCTAATCATTTCCCTCAGCCTATTCTCAAAGAAAGGTGCTATGTTCAATCAAGGCTTCCAGGCTTTGGTCAAGAACTCCTTCATCGAGACTGGCTGAATTTCGGGGAACATATTGTTGAGGCGATTCTCCTTGGGCATTTTGAATCCGTCGATGACAGCAACTTGGCTCATATAAGAAACAACCCACTGAGTGATTTCAGGGCCATAGCCCACTCCTTCCGATTGTGGGAGGGGAGTGGCTTCATTCTTCTTGATCTTCTCTAGGGGATCATAAGAGACTTCGAACTTGGTGCCTATGGAATGAGGGAAGAGTTAATAGAGCAGACGTTAAGCACAGTTGATGATAAACGTACCAACAATCTCCTCCGCTAAGCTCAGCAACTGGTTGAATGTAAGGTCGTCTCCTCCTACATAGCTTGACTCAGGCCATTCCGCTCGGTCGAGCAACTTTACAATGAACTTGGCCATGTCATATGAGTATGTCATGGTGATGACATTGTTTCCATCACCTGGGATGAGGGCTCGACGGTTGGGGATGTCAACCGCATAGGCGAGCGGTTTGAGGTGGGTACGGGCATTTGGCATTCCCCAGTAGTCCATGAAGTAGCCAGGATAGACCCGAGTATATTGCAACTGAGATTTCTTAAGGGCGTTGGTTCCGTCAATAAAGAGTTGAACTCCGGGGGAGATGTGGAGGATACTGCATTTTGGAATCAGCAGGAAGCGCTTTAACAGAAAACCTCAGGGGAAGATTGCATTTACTCTTCGGATTGAACGAATGAGTATTCGCTGGGAATGAATCGTTTGGTGGTAGCGGACTTGTCTGCGGCTTGGATGAGGTTCACCTGCGCCTGGCCTGCCTCTGGAGAGATCAGGCCAATAGTGCAGATGACTGTGTCCACATCATGTTTCTCGAGCTCGGCGGCTATGGAAGAAACATTGTTGTAATCTATCTGCACTTGTTTGACTTGGTCTAACAATGGAGTGGATTTGGATTCCTTGATGCCGTCAGAAGTGATTGATGACAGTGATAAGGTGCATATCTTACACGCGTCAGAACGACAATCTGTTTCTGGAATTTGGGGGTTTCCAGCAACGTTTCAAGGATGGTCTTTCCAACCGGTCCTAAACCTGCAATTGCAATGGCCATTTTGTATGTTTTTGAAGATTTAGTTGATGAATTATGGTGATTTCAGGTGTTATCAGACGAAATTATTCGAGTTTAAACCCTGAGGTGGCAGTATCATGGCATTTATACCCTAGGTATGGCCATAAAGATCATTCTCATATTTAAGTATTGAGATGTGGCACATACTTACAGGTCATATTTCGACTCGACCGGCATTGCTTCTGTATCCACCCTCCGAGAGCACTCCAGGAAGCAACAGAACCATGTATGTACGTGAAGCATCATGCAGCCACAGGATAGCTTCATCCCACCTTGTGTAATTTATCATTTGCCCAATGGCAGGTAATAACTGCCCCAAGTGAAAGCTAAACCGGTCCCAATTATAATCTTCCAGGCTGCAGAGTTAGTAGTTGCGCCGGAATCCTGATAGAGTCCGCAGTTGATTTGTCGTTTCTGCATCCATGCCATACACCAAACATCAGACATGCAGTGGAGAGCCTGAAAATATGACTTTTCATAGCTATATTTTGATGCTCACTAAAAGACTCCGCAGTCATTACTTTACTTGACCTTTTACTATAAGCACCCTGCAGATCCTTTTGCGTGGTCAATACTATGATGCCACTGAAATTATGCACCAATCTGCCAGAAAGTAGTCTTGCTATTTCTGCCTAAATATTCTTTATGGCTTATGTATTCGCCAAGTTTAATAGCCGCAGGATTGATAATGATTCAAATCAGGCAGAATTTTCTGGTTATGGATGTATGGAATATAATCCTAGATGTGGAGTCTAGGACCAAACATGCTAGGTTAGTTCAGTTCAGGTACCATGAAGACAAAGTGTTGCATTCGTGGCCATTTAATCGTCTCAACATGTTGTAACCCCGCCTTTTTCGCGACCTGGATCAATTCCTCAGTGCGCCAGATTCGAAACCGGTGACTGTAATGGCAGACCTCGAGAAGTGTCTCCTTTCCCTGCTTATCAGTCTCTATAATCTCAGTGTCGAGCTGCGCTAAATGATGTCCATCCTCCACGTATTCGCGGTGGACGACAACTTTGAAGGTCAATGCTGTATCTTTGCTAGCTTCGTCCATAGATTCCATAGATTCATCGTAAATGCTCGGGGTCGTACCATTGTCGTATGCTTCGGCTACCTGAAACTCTAGCAGAGAGATATGAGCTCTGCCACTCCCGGGACGTAGTAACTGCGCGACATGCAAGAAGAAGGCGTCTATGTCTTTTGCCAAATCGAGATATCCAATGCCCCCATCAGCACAGAGGACAAGGCTCACCTGTCGTCTGGCTTCACGGAGAGTGGGCTGAGCAAGGAGGTTTTTGGCGTCACCCACAAGCCATGAGACAGTGCCGACACCTGAAAGCTCAAAGGCCCGTTTTTTGGCTCGTTCCAACATGGCTGATGACTTGTCCAGCCCGATAAATGTTGCATCGCTCAGGTCATCACCTGATTTGGTGGCCTTTTGAGCTATTTTGCGGAAAATGCGCCCCGATCCCGCGCCCACATCCAAGACAATAGTGCGATATGAGTGTGGCAGTTGGGACCGATTCACGCGGAGGAGCTCCTGGAGCATGTCCCAGTACAAGGTTCCATCGTCGAACCCATCGTGCTCGATATCAAATGCCGAATCGAGTGTCTCAGCCATGTAGGCAGAATCGTAATACTGCGTATGAGGGACATCCTTCTTAGAGATAATGTTGATCGTCATATTGGTTAAGAAGTGCCTGGAAGGACTGGGTATCGGATGAAGAGGAAGAAACGAAGATTTTGATATTCAGGAGTTTTGGCCAAATGTTTGAATGTCATATGGCATATCAGATTGTCCATTCGGGGCCTCGTATATATACTATATAGGCATCTAGTACGGAATTCTTCTCTAATCAGCGTTTAAGCACGTAGCCACAATCAGTTCACCTGATCTGCCTGTTTATGAGCCATAGCGCCATATTTTTACTCCGTATGTAAACGGGTCGATGGTTTGGCAAAGCTACTGCACTTCATTTCTCAGTGTGTGGAGGCGGTGACCCGCGGGAAGTTTTTTGAGACCTCTGCTTCTTCCCCTTTCCTTTTTCCAGGTCGATCGTATTATGGAGCCTAATATCAGAAAGCACCTTAGGCTAATGCTAGCTCGCCTCCCAAATCTGAGCTGCTTTGTCTGCATGCTTGGCTATTTCTAGCACAGACCGAAGCTGAAAACATTTCGTGACGGTCTCCGTGTTCTAAATACGAGATATACCCCTATGCAAAGGGCCAGTTTTAGGTCTTGAAAAGAAATAAGCAGCTCACAGGCATATCATATCGTAAGGGGCAGTTTTCTCTGGTCGTTGTTGTTTGAGGTTTTTACCAAGTGCATCTCAAGAAATTATATTGATATGCACGTGATCTGATGCTGATTAATACTATCACGTGATAAATCAACTTTCTTCCAAACGCCGACAATCTTCACGGAATACCGTAGGTCGTATGGAAAACAACAGAAACTCCCTTTAGCTAAAAGATGATATCTATTGACGGTATTTATAACGCATCCTAATCTCCGGGTTTGGCGCCGCAACAGCATCGATATGGATGTTGAAGTCCGGCAGCTTTCCTTCATGCCCGAATTCCATATCATACGCCATGAGTATCTTCGCGGCCACCACCTGGCACAGCCTGGTTCCCAATAGACGTGCTGGACAGGCCGAGATGCCTATGCCAAAGACCATCCACCTATCACTGGGCGAGATGGTGTCACGGATGATGTCGCTGGCGGTTGTCGAAGAGCCCGGGCTATAAAAGCGGTTTCCATCGAATTTGGTAGGGTTTGGATAAAATTCAGGGTCCAAGTGGGTGAATTGGCCCGACATGGTGATATTCGTTCCAGGAGCGAAGGTCATACCCAGTGAATGGATGGTCAATGGCTTGCCGACGACCTGGCGACTGCCAGCAACTACACAACCAGCAGTTAGCCCTGAATCATATGGAGACAAACACCCAAGGACTACTCACCTAGGGCAATCCCGTCTAAGCGGAGGGTCTCTCTGGTAAAACTCTCAAACTGGGGGGTATGGTTGAACATATCGAAGCTCCACTCGCCATTGTTGAGCTTCAAGGCTTCGGTGATCTCTTTCCGGATTGGCTCAACGTACTCTGGATGGCGCAACATCCTGACGAGGAGAGCACTCAGAATCATGACGGACGGCTCGACCGTTTCAAAGAACATGAACATAGTCTCATCGGCCATCATGTCGATATGATGATCGTCATCCTTTCCAGTTTTCGTTCGACTCAAGGGACCCTTTTTCAATGCGAGCTCGACCATCGAGCTGGTATAGAAGTAATCCTCGCTAGTCGGCTCGCTCTTGCGTTTCTCTTCTATCAGACGGTTGACTTCTGGTAGGATAGTCTTCTTCATGGACTTCATGCTGGACCTGATCTGACGGCACTCTTTTGAAAACTGCCAGATAAGAGGTGCCAATATCCGGGGGTATTCCGCGTACAAGTGTGTCATTTGTTCAACTTCGCCCACGTACCGCTGCATCTTCTTTGAAAGCCCTGCTTCTCGCCCAAACCCAGGCCGGAAGACAAGGAGAACGCCTATGTCACCAAGAATGTCCAACGCGGTCTCGAAGATACTGCTTTCACGCCAGCCTTATCTTGCAGTTAGCGATCTGCATTGGTCTTCTAATTCACCTAGGTCGGGGAATGCTTACTCTTTGACTCGCCAACATACTGCGCTATACCACGATCTGCCTCTTTCATGATAAGGGGATCCAGTTTTTCTAGAAATTCCCAACGTGTTAGTAGTCGAGCTAAAAACCAGAAGATTTAGGAAGACTTTCTCAAAGCACTCAACCTGTTGCATGCTTGCATGGCCTCCACGGGTACCTTCCAAGCTACATCCAAGACATGGTTGAAGTTGATTTCCTATGGCAAAGCAATTGTTAGAATCGGGGTCAATCCTGGTCCACGCAAGAATAACGCTCACATCGCCCATCATGTGTCTCATGCTCATATGGTCTTTGGGTAAGTTGTAGTATTCTTTACCACAATGAGGTGGCAGCACGATCATGTCGCCTGTGCCGCCAGGCAATGGTACAGCCCAAAGTTTGCCCTTTTTGCTATACTACTAACAGTGAGTACTCTAGAAGCTTGAAGATATCTCGTTCGGGGACCTACCTCCTTGTATCCACGTGCAAACCCTTCAAGGTAGTTAAAGCTACTGCGCCATAATCGCAACCGCGGACTGAAGTAACTCTCATCGTCCATGAGGGTAATGCCCCCTAGGAATCTTCTCCTTTTCCAACCATGGTAATAGTCCGAAGCAACAACGACAAGAGCTGTGGTGACCACGAGAACAAACACGCTCCCAAGCAGAGGAACGACCACCTCCTGGGGCCCGAACAGCCCGCTGGAGAACAATGAGTTCATTTTCTGGCGGTGTTTTCTTGGAAATGCGGATAGAAAAATCCAGAGTCTACAGACACTGGGCAAGCTAGGAAATTGACCCCATTATTAAATAGCCACCAAAGAGACGCATCTTATGAAGGCAATAGCTTTAGTATGACATCAACAAGCTAAGTTCTCAGTCCACTCAGTACGCCCGAATTCCATGAATGGATTAGGACCCGGGAAGAACTAGCTCATCGTTTTGGGCGGAGTCCCTGTTCGCTATCTTGGCATTCCTAAATTACGAAGCGAAGATCTAGCGCCCGGTACAAGCATGGCTGGCGGAGGCCGCGGGACTCCATTTTCGAAATATTTTCTCAAGATCTCCTAGCTGTATATTATTATAGCTTACTACCAGTGGAGCCAACATGCATGATGCGCGAAAATGGCGTGGCTGGAGCGGGAAGGATACAATCTGCCCAACATACGCCCCCGATTGGTACTTTTGGGAGAAAGGTTTCTTTTCCATCCTGGCTGTAATGGCCGTCTTTTTCTGACGAGGTGATAATGAAGGACAGATCCCTTGCATGAGCCGTGTTTGAAACGCTACTGGTGGAGCATCTTCGCTCAATTCTGAGGCATACCTTGTGCAACATTCCCCTCAATGCTGCAGGAGATATAACATTCGAATTTACACCATATCACTGAGTATGAGTGGAGCTGTGCATTGGTCAACATGGTAATCATCTCGGTCACATACTATGTACACCTTAGACGGAGACCCTTGAACAATTTTTGGTTATTGCGGGAAGACTACATAAGGGAAGAAGATATCCTGTAATGCCCCCGGTAGGAAAAGTCAACACCAACAACAAATCAACCAAATCTATTGCCACCTCTCTGTATAACTGGTTTTTTTTTTATTTTTAGCCGACAGTTACTAGTATGTACGAAGAACATCCCAGGCCTACTAGTTACCATAGCGTTATATTATACGGGGTAGCTAATCTATACACAATACTCCAGTTAATACATCAACGATGACGAAACCCACAGTCTCCAACAACATCAAGCCGACCTCTACCAAAGACAAAGAAGAGGTTCTAAAAGCGGCCCAGTACTATGTGGATGGCCTCAAGACCGGTGACGTCGAGCATAGCCGGCAGGGATTCCATGAGAAAGGCGGCATGTACGGGTGGCTTGGAGACGACTTGAAAACAGTTCCAATCCAGGCCCTCTTTGATTTGATCGTGGAGCGGGGATGTACGCCAGAGCTGATTAGCCATTTGGACATCATTGCCATGACCCCCACCACAGCGATTGTCGAGGTTGATTCGGAGCTGGAGAACGAGGGATTCCGGGACCATCTGGCCATGGTCAAGGTTGATGGGAAGTGGAAGACAGTTGCAAAGCTATTTCACATTTACGATCAGTGAGCTCCCAGAGGAGACGATATCTTATATGCCTGCTAGCAGTCTAGGATATAAATGCATACTCTGTCGAGTAAGAGAGCCTACCATATTAGTTCCATCACAGCTCTATGTCTCCCACGCCGTTCTTATTCACTAGAAGGCACTAGTATTGATATTCCTTGACTGCTTCCAACCCTGGTACGCCGTGTATTCACCCTACGACAATCGTATTCCGTACTACGAGCTGTGGCGCTTACCTGTGCGATCGCCAGGACCCAGGAGCTCTTTTAGAGTCCATGACCCGGTCCGCAGGTTCCACAAGGCTGTGCGGGACCAACCGAAGGAAAAGACCTAAAAAAAGGAACAGCCTAGTTCTGGATGGGATAGGCGTTTCGGCTTGCCCCTGGCTTAGGCAAGGTTATGCAAATATTGCGTCCCTCCATTCCATAGGCTCAATCCATTTTTGGAAGAATGGTCAGGCTGGCTGATAATTACGCCAGAGACGCCTATCGCAACTGGAGGACGGTTCAATTTGAAATCCGCTGATGACCAAGGGACCTTCTCACCAGCCAGCGCATGCATGAGTTTCCAATCACTCCCATTGCTTTTTAAAATACAAAATAGCCTTTTTTAAGGTTTCCCGTATACATATATCCTCCTCCTCTGCGCATACACACACGTAGGTGGCTAGCGGTCCTCCCGGGCAATTTTTGTATTCCGCGGAATACGTTCGTCATCATTGGAGAGGGCAATGAGGGCGATGCCGGATATTTTACCCCTACTTGAATGGTGAGTTGATTGAAAGGAATTGGTCCGCATTTACTCCGTCCTTGATGTATAGTACGGAAGAGGCAGCGCTGATAACTATTCACGGTAGGTATCTACGGAGTACGAGAGTAGCGATCAAGCTCAAACTTGGGTAACAACGAAAATCAGTCCTATTGTTCTTAACTATCTCGCTTCTATTGAATTAAACTACGACGAACTGCTTCTACAACCTCAATTGCCCAGGCTGGGCCCGTTCAGGCCGAATTCTGTCGGCCACAATCTTCTCCGCTCCTTCGCGAACACGGCTAGAAAGCTCTAGGGAGGCAAGCCGGAGCGTCTCGTAGACTCTGCCTCTGAGTTCCTCGGATCCGTGAGCTACGGACTGGGACATGTTGTCAACCATCCTGTCTTGGAACTCTTGGCTTCGGAATTCAGGCAGAACTTCGTAGTATTCCCTGGCAAACTTGTAGTCGTCTTCAATCGGGTGCGACCATGCCTCTGAAGAGGCCTGGGCAACCCATTTAGCAAACTCCGGTCCTAGGTCTTGCTCGTGTGAGGTGCCAACTCGGCGGACAGGCGGCTTCATATTACCGGCCCCAAGTCGGTAACGTTGGGCATCGGGGTAGGCAAACATGCGAGCCTGGAGGATAGGGTCTTCGGAAGGCTCAACGCCAGGGACAAGGTTCGAGGGTGAGAAGGCCAGTTTCTCGACCTCAGTGAAGTAGTCCTTCACGTTGCGGTTCAGAGTGAGCTTGCCGAATGTACGGGACGGGATAGTCTCCAGGCCCTTGGGGTATGTGCCCAAGTTCCAGTGCTTAGTGACGTCGAGGATGTTGAATCCCAATGTGGGAGCGTCCTTGGGATCAATAACCTGGACATTAGCAGTCCACGACGGATAGTCGCCGCGCTCGATAGCCTCGTACAGATCTTTAGTGGCAGCGTCAGGGTCATTAGGATCAACCTTGGCCGATGTTCCATCTGTGAAGTTGGGGCCGCGATCAGACGCCAGGAAGAAGTGCACATATTTGAAAGACCCATCAGGCATGACCCATTTAAACGCATGGCCCACGTAGCTGCTCAGCGTCCGCCAGGTGAACATGGTGCCAAAATCACTGTGCTGCAAGAGCGTCATGTGTAGTGCTTCGGGGTTCTTGGTCACGAAATCCCAGATCATACTTGGGTTCATGAGGTTCGTCTGGGGGTCCCGTCGCTGCGCGTGTATCAAGTCGGGGAACTTGGAGGGATCGCGGATGAAGAAGAAGGGGAAATTGAGGCTGACCCAGTCCCAGTCTCCCTGGTCCGTGAAGAATTTAACGGCCATGCCTTTCAGGTCTCGAACTCCATCGGACGACCCGCGCTCCAGGCCAGTTGTTGAAAAGCGAGTCACACATGGCGTCTTTTTGCCAACACCGAGCAGCATATCAATGTTGCAGATGTCTGAGATGTCTTCGGTCACCTATTTTTAAACTCGTCAGGGCTGTTCAGAGGTTCAAAGATGGATAGAAAAGTTGCGGGCTATTCTTACCTCGAATTCTCCGTATGCTCCAGCACCTTTGGCATGGACAGCTCGCTCCGGGATCTTCTCCCGGTTGAAATGGGATAGAGCCTCGAGAGTGTAGATGTCCTTGGGGCCCTGGCTTTGTCTAGATGGTGAAAATCCATTGGGATTCATAACGGGGCATTTGTCCGCAGCATTGGAAGCCATAACGGGGCATTTGTCTGCGGCATTGGGAGCCATGTTTGGTGACCTGGCTTGATGGACTATGGAAAGATGATGGTAGAGTCTGTTGAGCACTCCGTACTTTCACAGAGAGAGGGATGTGGTAGTAGACGAGGGAGTGTGTGAGGTAGAGATGATATCGGTGAATGATGTTGAACCAACTCCAATCCAGGGAGATTTTGTATTTTGTAAAGGGGAAGAGGAGACAGGTAGCTCGAGCCATAATTTCAGTCGTCTTGCTCCCTACCCTGTCTCCGTGTCGCCGTAGCAGCTGATCCATTCTGTTCTACCCTCCGGCTGGAAAATGAGACCGGTTGAAATGTAACAGGTCGACTGGACCATGTGGGAAACGGGGTGTTTTGGTGCGTTTCCTCTTACCTCCGCCGACATGCAGTCCGTATGTCTTATTGCATCGATAGACTAGTTGAAGTATATGCAGGCCGTCACTGTCAAGGTTGCAAGTTGCAATATCAGGGCTTGCATAACCTCATATTTGGGAGTCGACTGCATGAATTGCACCTCCAACCAGCACCTCTTTTCTAGCTTCCTCTCCACATTCCCTGGCAAGCCGAGCCTCTCGCTGCCGTCTCATGTATCTATCAAAAGAGGTGCAGGGAATAGATCCAACAAGCCGCTCCGGACTCCGTTATCTCTTCTGGAGATATGCTGGCTCGGGCTGGTTGATGATCGACGTCCTTTTTTTTTGAGGCCCTGGAGATCCGACTTACATTCCCGAGATATTGACAAAATACGCCAATGAATCAAAAATTTGACCTGAAACGGTTTTATTTTCCCGCCAAATGATCATTCGACGTTGGTTTTTGGTTTTGTGGGCTCTCCCGTAACTAAGTAACCAGTTTTGCTTCTTTTGCGAGCTAGTAACAACGATCTCTGTATCTGGTCAATGGGCTGTTTTGATCCTATGTACACGTCTATCAGGGCATACAGGCGCCAACATTGAGATTTGCACCGAACACCGGTCGTGAATCCTCGCTTAGAAGCCACACAATCGTCCGCGCGACATCTTCGGCTTCAATGACACAATATCCTTCTTTCTTGTACGTTTCCTCCACCTCCTCCTGAGACTTCGCGCTTGGCACAAATCGCGGTAACATCGGCGTCCTGGTAATTCCTTTTTTCCAGGATAAACATCAGAATTAGAAAAGAGGGGAATGTTCTCAGTGGCTTACCAGGGGAAACAGCATTTGCTCGTATACCTAGTGGTATCACATCTTGCGCAACACAGGTGGTGAAGTATGCACAGCCAGCTTTGGAGGTACCATAGGCAAAGACGTCTGGCATATGGGAGACAGACGCTATACTGGCCACGTTGACAATGCTGCGGTCGCCAGGTGAAGAAGAAGCAAATTCCTTCATGGCCCGTACCTCCGCCCGGGTGGCATAGAACACACCATCGAGGTTCACCTGAAAGACCTTCTTCCACTGCTCATCCCCCTCTTCGAGAAGCGTTGGGGATTGTCGAATACCAGCACCCTGGGCAATACCTGCGATATTAGCAGCTCCGTGCAGCTCACCAAATGTAGAGGTGATGTCCGCGATCCATTTGTCCACCTCCGATGACGAAGATACGTCAAGGACTGTGCAGTGAACCTTTGTCGCCGGATTGATTTCTCGGATAGACTCTTCCAATTGCTTCAAGTTTTCTTGGGAAAGGTCGCCCACACAGATAGCGGCCGCCCCGCGTTCGGCGAGTAGGCGGCAAGTAGCTGCTCCGATTCCAGATGCACCACCGGTGACGGCGAACGTCCTTGATGCGACTGACGCCATTTATTGGTTGGATGCTTTTATAGGAATGTTGATGTTTGGTTTATAGTTATTCCTGGGGGAACAAAGATGCTAGAAGATGGCAAGGTCGTGAATGAAAGATTTGTTGGTTAATCCTTTACCTGGAAGACTTGGAATGGAAACGGGCCAAAGGCTATAAGCGATATACCATTTCTTGTAAGGAGTAGCTGTGGCATTGATATGTGACCTTATTCCTGTTCTTCAACGGAACTGGAAGTATATTCTCGCACACATAGTCAAGATGACAGGTAATATAAGCCATTAATTCTTTTTTCTCGATACAGTAACTCTTAGGCTCATTGTATGAAGCCACCTAGTATCAGGAATGTGATAGAGACATTATGTGAGAAGGTGGGGAGGTTGTCAGCCGGTCCAAATTTGAGTATCACTCTCAGAATAATGGGAGTGCTGATATTCTTCCCTCCGACTGGAAGGAGGAGCAGCAAGTAGATCACACTCGGACTCTAATTATCGGAAAAAAAAAGACATATAAGGGGGGAACCAAGCAGCAACCGTCATTCCCCATCTACCGAGTAACGCAAAGCAAACGAGAAAAAGGAAAGAAAATCATGGCCAACGCTGGTTCCCCTCAGATTATTGACGTCCGTCGAAGCAAATTTGAAGAATCCATCCCAGAGCAGGTCACTGCTGGCCTGTCATCCAGCCCCAAGACCCTCCCAGCTCTTCTATTTTATAGCACAGAAGGCATTCGGCATTGGAACCGTCATTCTCATGCGTCCGACTTTTATCCAAGACATGAGGAAATCCAAATATTAAAGGAGCAGGCGGGGGAGATGTCTGCATGCATTGCAGATGGCAGTGTGGTCGTTGACCTTGGGAGCGCGTAAGTTCATGTACTTTTTAACCCGCCATTTATCCACCAATTAGCTAACCAGATTATCACACTGCAGGAGCCTTGACAAGGTTATCCATCTCCTAGAAGCCCTCGAAGCAGCACAGAAGAAGGTCACCTACTACGCATTGGACCTGAGCTTCTCGGAGCTCACCTCGACGCTGCAAGCCATCTCACCGGAGAAATTCCACTATGTCCAGTTCGCTGCCCTTCATGGCACCTTTGAAGACGGGTTGCACTGGCTGAAGGAGACACCAGAGATACGGGATCGACCGCATTGTCTGTTGCTGTTCGGACTGACGATCGGCAACTTCTCCCGGCCAAATGCAGCCGCCTTCCTGCGTAACATTGCCTCTCAGGCGCTTATCGGTTCCCCCTCCCAGAGCTCCATTCTTCTCACTCTAGATAGTTGCAAAGTCCCAACCAAGGTTACACGCGCCTATACTGCGGAGGGGGTCGTGCCCTTTGCTCTAGAGTCGTTGAATTATGGAAACACACTCTTTCCACAGCACGAGGGAGAGAAAGTCTTTGATCCGCAGGACTGGTACTTTCTGAGCGAGTGGAATTACGTCCTGGGAAGACATGAGGCTTCGTTGATCCCGCGATCCCGAGACGTCAAGCTCGGTCGCCCGCTGGACAATATCGTCGTGGGTAAGCACGAAAAGGTGCGTTTCGGCTGCAGCTACAAGTACGACAGCGACGAGCGTAAGGAGCTTTTTGATTCTGCGGGACTGTGCGATGCGAGGGTCTGGTCCAAGGAGAGCTGTGATGTGGCATTCTACCAGTTGAAATGTCGTCCGAATTAAGGTGGTACAGGTGGCTGGTTCGTTAGTTAATAGTCAATTAAGCTCCCCTAGCCCGCAGGAACCCAAAAATTAGTCTTTCCGGTTAAGCTTATTATTACCCACTCTATCCTCCGTAATCGACTTGTAACTCGGTCGTACACGGTACAATAACCAGTCCTATTTTGAATGCCGGTTTTTGACTTGAACTTGTGGGGGTGTTTGGCTTTGTACTAGTACCCTCGTACGTATTTATACCGTCTTCTACTTCAACATCGAAGGTTCGCTAGTGTTGTCAGGGGGCAGGGAGGATGCCGTAAAAATAAACAAGTATGCAAAGTATGCCACCTTAAAATGGCCAAGAGCTATAGAATGGACGTATGGCTAGCGGAGAGCGTGACGCATTCAATTCTTAAAAATCCGATGTTATACTAACTAACAGTAACTACGGAGATATTATTCCAGGACCTTCGTAATCAGTGCTAGAATCTCAACTTTCCACTATGGAAGTTGCAAAAGCGACCAGACTATCCACTGCTTGACGTAACATATTCTGGCTCTTCCTACACATGCCCGTAGAATCCCATTCCTCGCTTCCAACGCCAAGCTGGCTGAAAAAAAGGCCTTTGCTATCCCACTTCCGCTTTATCTGGGAAAGACGTCGGTAGTTTGCCCCCCAATAGACATGCTGAAAATTCTTCTCGTTTGGGTCTCCTACATTCCGATAGGAAAGCCGGAACTCAGGATCAATGGAGTAGAGAACTGGCATCTGAACATTAGTCAGCCTCTCTAGAGCGGCCGTTCTACCCTCAATAGACGGCTCAACTGTGTGGATGTAATTTAGCAACTGCGATGAAGCACGCCAGGCAGGATGCATTGACGTCTCAGCCTTATCACCATTGGAAATGACACGGCCGCCAAGGTTGCTTGTAAACAGAAGGTCGCCTGGAGTCATGGGTATATTTGCAAGTCCCTCGGCGACCTTCATAGGTCCCTGGGCCGAGTCAAAGAGTTGATTGGAAATGGCCACCGTCGACCCCACCACGCCGTAGTCATTATCCGAGTGAATATCTGGGACTTGTCGATAGTTGGAGCTAAATTGCGACAACGCCTTGGAGGAATATGCGTATTGAATATCGATACGGTCTAGGTCGGCACGGAAGGCTTGCATGCGCTCATCGATAATGGCCGTCTCGGTCGAATTCAGGAAAAAGTATTTGATACTTGCTTGGACTGCATGTTCGGGCAGCACTGCAATGACTAACTGGCCACCAACGCTTTCGCGATTGAGGGATTGCAGGGCGGTGAGAACCACTGAGAGGCCCTGGGTCCACGATGATGAATTGGCCTTGGGGGCTTGAAGGTTGATCTCAGAGATCACGACGGGAACGTCCGGAAAGACACGCATCGTAGCTCGAGTGACGACGCCAAATGTGCCACCTCCACCGCCTCGTAGTGCCCAGAAAAGCTCCTGATTCTGGAGACCATTGGCCACAACCAGCTCGCCCTAAAAACCAGTATGATTAGCTTGCTTAAAAAAGAAGCCTTATGCAACTGAAAAAAAAAAGATACATGACGCCCTGTACTTACATCAGCTGTCACAACCTCAAATTCCAGCACGTTATCCACGCCTAGCCCTTGGTTCAGGCTTAGAAAGTCTGATATCCCTCCGCCCTGAAGAAAGCCGCCAACTACTCCAACAGTGGGGCAATCACCCCCGAGAACCATGTATCCGTTACGGGCAGCTCGTGCGTACAGGCTCCCCATCATCACGCCGGCGCCGACCGTCACTGCTGGCCCTAGCGAAGTGGTCGACCCATTAAGCCGCAAGTCGGCGTGAAATTGGGTATCCTGCAGACGATGAGTGTGAATTTGCAACGAGTCTGGGCCGCTAGATCTTCCCGCTAGGTCATGCCCGGTATTGCGAATAACCAGGCGGAGATTGTGCCGCTTTGCGAACAGAACTGCCTGTTGGACTTGCTGGGCTGACTCCACCGAAGCGGAGTACAAAGGTATGCGGCCCTGATGACAAGAACTCGCTGAGCTTGCAGTCTGCAGGGATCCTCCCACTGGACAGGTCTCGTTTGCAGTCATCCCGGCTTCCCAAACCCAGTCCTGCAAGACACCTGTTGGAACCATGGTATCAGCTCAAAAACGGGTAAAAGTGACAAATGTTCTCCGCGATCTGACATACCTGGCTGTGAAGCCCTCCACCCACTATCCCTTGATAGGCGTAGTAGATCATCACAGGCTTTCTGGTCGAAGTTGGGCTCATAGCAGACGTGCGCTGCTGGCCTCAGACGATGGAGATTTCCATCGATGGATGTATTGAGAGACTTCCAGAGTTCCTCGGATGGCCAGCAGAGCTCCCAGGGTCGACAACGACAAGAAGCTGACACTGACGGCCGTGTGTAAGCTAGCCAGCTCAGAAAGACAGCTAATCCGGCGGTCACGAGTAAAGATTGCATCATACAAACCTGTACAGCACTCAAAATAAGGATACAAATCGTAGCACAACTTTAGTGGAAGAATGGAAACTTGAGGTCGCTAGATGAGCAAAACGGAATACTCCCTTGATACCGTCACGCTGCTCCTCTAAATACCATAAATCTGTTTGTCATACAAGATAACATGTTTGACGAGCGGGACAAAGTGGCCCAATTTCCAGTAGTTCCACCAGATAATGGGGCGGGTTGTAACCAAATATTTGGTGAAATATGCATGCAGTTCTCTTCCGCCGTCGATCAAATGGAGTTTCTCATCCGGCCCTAATTTTCTTGCAAGGATACCATGCACCACTAGGATGAGAGTACTCCGTACGAGAGGGTGCGAAAAAAAGTGAAGGGGAGACAGTAGCGAGAGCGACGATATCAAGTATGCATACGGAGTAGTATGATCCCTGCTCCATAAACACTGCTGGTTGTAATGCGATAGTATGGCCATGCAATCCAAAAGATGTCTGAAGGCGTAGCTGAGGACCCGAGGCCTAGTTAGTAAAAATTAGAAGATTATGCGTATGATGCGCCAAATAGGAGCATACACCTTCCAGGCCAACCCGTGAGTGGACGATCTTCATGGCCACTCAAGGGCCTTCACCTGCAGGAGTCTGCCTAAATTTTGCACCCAACCGTCCTATCTCGTCCAGGCCAGAGGTATAATTATCCGGGTGTAACCAGGTCTTTCTCCAGTAGACTCTTAACTTCAACATCCCCCTCTCTTCTGCGACAAGTTCAACCAAGTTCAACACCACCACCATGGGCTCCATTGAAACCCCCAATTGCTCCGGCACCATCGTCTACAAGACAATTTCCGACTTCATCGACTTTCCCAATCATGAACAGAAGCTCTGGTGGCATAGTACGGCGCCAATGTTTGCCGAAATGCTAAGGGTCGCCGGATATGACCTTCACTCCCAATACAAAATCCTAGGAATATTCCTCAACCACGTCATCCCTTTCCTGGGTGTTTATCCTACTCGGATCAATGATCGGTGGCTAAGTATCCTGACTCGATATGGCACCCCTTTCGAGCTGAGTCTGAACTGCTCACAGTCGTTGGTACGATACACCTATGAGCCCATCAACGCGACCACCGGCACACCCAAGGATCCTTTCAACACCCATGCCATCTGGGGCGCCCTTGACAGGCTGATTCCCCTGCAGACGGGTATCGACCTGGAGTTTTTCAAGCACCTGAAGCAGGATCTCACCGTCAACGACCAAGATGCGGCCTACCTCTTGGAGAATAACCTCGTCGGAGGCCAGATCCGCACCCAGAACAAATTGGCCCTTGACCTCAAAGGCGGCGATTTTGTGCTGAAGACCTATATTTATCCGGCTCTCAAATCCCTTGCCACGGGAAAGTCAATCAAGACGTTGATGTTCGACTCTGTCTCTCGTTTGTGCAGACAGCATCCATCGCTAGAGGCTCCTCTCCGCTCGCTCGAGGAGTATGTAGATTCCAAAGGTCCCGACAGCACCGCCTCTCCTCGACTGCTCTCCTGCGACCTGATAGATTCAAGAAAGTCCCGCGTCAAAATTTATATCCTAGAGCTCAATGTTACTCTAGAGTCGATGGAGGACCTGTGGACGATGGGCGGCAGGCTGAACGATGCCTCGACCCTCATTGGACTCGAGATGATTCGAGAGCTCTGGGACCTCATCAAGCTCCCCTCCGGCTTACGTGGGTACCCAGAGCCCTTCCTGCCGCTAGGAACTATTCCCGACGAGCAGCTCCCACTCATGGCCAACTATACACTTCACCATAACCAGGCCATGCCGGAACCCCAGGTGTACTTCACCACATTTGGCATGAACGATGGACGGGTAACTGACGGACTCGTCACCTTTTTCGAGCGACGAGGCTGGAATCGTATGGCCCAGACGTACAAGGACAGCTTGCGGGCATACTAGTAAGTTGGCTTCATCTCTGGTATCTCTGACGTACCTGACTAATCCGATTCCATCTGTAGCCCGCACGCGGACCACGAGACTATAAACTACCTGCATGCCTATATATCCTTCTCTTACAGGAAAGGAACTCCATACCTCAGTGTGTACCTTCAATCGTTCGAAACTGGAGATTGGCCCATCTGTAAGTGATTGTCCGTCCAACCAGGAAAATGAAGTTGCGATCTAACGGATCATTCTCAGCCAAATTTGGCATCCCAGTCATCAAGCCGTTCTGTCGGGACATGAGTGCTCAACACCCGATCTCGTTCAGCATTCCCATGAACGCAACGTCATGTGCAGTATTTGAACCGTTTGAGGGATACCAACAGCCGCTGCCAGCTCATATTATCAGTTAAAGTGGCCTCGACTAAGGGTACGCCGGCTAGCGGTGATCCAAAGCGTCGCTTGTTGTCCTTTTTATAGTGCCAAGAGGTACTATCGCATTTAGAAGCCAAGCGCTGTGGTAGTTGATGTTTAATGGGCTTTCTTTATTTTTCATATGTTTTTTTTGGTGTTTATCATTTTCAGCAAATCTGGTCTATTCAAGCGCTGCAATTGACTACCCTTTTCTCAGAGTTCCTGGCTATAGCTATATGGTTGGTAAGCACAGTGAACCGGAAGCTTAGATCAGGAGTGGAAGAAACGGTGGATACAGACCATATATTAGCTTGATATTTCAATCCTAATGAAAGATGAATAAAGGGCATATGATAGTACCAGCTGTTCCAGTCTCCGTGCGGTTGAGCGAGTTTAAAACGCGGGTATATGGACCTAGTCGAGAACCGTGGCATACATGTGGATTGACGTCCTAGAAGTTCTCAGGTAGGAATGCATGTTCATCCTAAATACCCTCACTTAGGTAGTTATATGATGAGTGACATTTATCTGGATAGGAATGTCGGGGTATATCATCGTCGTAGTATTCGTGGCAGAGGTCATTCCACGGCATCCAAGCTCAGCATTTATACCCGTATTGTAGGTGCAGGCTAGTTTTATCTAATATAGTCCGTAGGTAGATCTTGGATGAAGAACGGTAGGCAAGCCAAGACGGTCCAGGTCAGTGGCAGTTGAACGGTCAGGCTGCCATTTGAACTTGGCCAAGGGGGGTATACAGGTAGACAGCCAGTATTATCCGGTAGAGGCAAGATGGAAAACGTGGCTAAGCCATTAAGCTAGCCTAAATGGTGGGTATAGTCCTGGAAATTCGGGTAGGGCTTTCTATAGTGTGTCATATGGCTGTAAGGGACCTTCTTTGGCCTTGGATGTAGTTGAAAAAACAAGGTCAATCCATCTGGGTATGGACAACAGAGGTATCACGTGATGGTATAAAGCTGACTAATCTCGGGTAAATGATATTGCGAGTATCTACCCAAAATGGGATTAGGGCTACGCGGCTTTCGGGAAAAAGATGTTCCATTGCCAAGCCTTATTCGCCGCTTTCGAGCTGGTTTGAGCGCATTATTTTCTGCCAGGGGGCGGAAGCTTCTTTTTCCGCCCACCCCCGCGGGTCTTGGCGTCGTATTCCGGCGGGAAAGACGCAGGAAACACGCAGGAAAGACGCCGGAGAAACGCGCTTTAGTTCAGGATAGCAAGGAGAAGAGAGGGAGAGAGCGCGGGCTGCTCACGCTAAGTATGGGGTCCTCGCTTATCTCGTGGGCGCCGTGTGTGCAGGTGGGGTATATTAATAGATACATACTACTATTGAGCTCATCCATAGTAGCATTGGATATAGGAGTTGGGCGGCAGCTTGCCACTTTCTTGTACGGAGTATAAAGAGTGAATGAAGCCCTGTCTTGATTCACTTTCTCTCCTCTCCTGCGTGATACCCTCAATTCTACAGCATCTCGGAACCTCAACATCTCAGCAGTCAAGATGATCGCGAACCAGCTCCTGATCGTCCTCGCCTTTGGCATGAGTCTCGTCTCTGCCCATTTCCGCGTCGAATACCCTTACTGGCGAGGAGACTCCTTCAAAACCCAGTACACCAGACCATGTCAGTCCTATACCCAGCTTCATGTCTGATATCTCAACTAACCTGACCAGGCGGCGGCGTTAATGTCACCCATAACCGCACCCAGTGGCCCGTCGACGGCGGCTCTATCCTCTTCAAGCCCTCTCACCACTGGGCTCTGACATACGTCAACCTCGGCCTAGGAGACGACGACTCCATCATCTTCAACACCACGCTCGTCCATGGCTTCAACCAGACTGGCAACGGCACGTTCTGCTTCCCTAAGATCTCCATCCCAACCAACCTAGGTATCCAGGACGGCACGAACGCAAGTCTGCAACTTGTGCAGGTATCTGACGGCGGCTCTTCTTTGTACAACGTATGTTTTCAATACTTCATCGAGAGAAAGATGTTGGTGTACTAACGGGCTATAGTGTATGGACATCACCTTCTCCAAGTCGCCCAGCAATCTCCTTGCTCAAAACATGTGTGTCAACTCCACTGGTGTTGGCGGCGTGGCCATCAGCTCTACTCCTACCTCAGGAGGAGGCTCCCCGTCCGCCTCGCCGTCCCATGCTGGTGCTGTCTCCAACGCTGGAGCTATGGGTATGGGGGCTGTGGGTTTGTTTGCCATGGTCATTGCTAGCTTGCTTGCTTAGATCAATGCTATGAGGCAAACAAAGGAATCATCAATGTAGTTTAGCGGAGTAGAATAATTAATGAAACACGAGGAAATGATGATTGCTCCCTTGGATGAAGCTCGACTTCGATTCTTTCTCGCCAGTTAGCAGTATCCCCCGCGCCCAGAATCCAGATCATGCAGTGTAGAATGCATTGACAAGGGGCCCTGAAAATAGCACACGAGCATGGGTTGTTACATGGGTGAACTTGGCTCATCGGGTCACTTCGTATCGGACATGTAGGAACTCTATTAACCTCCCATGTGGACGTAATCGTATATGCATGGGGAGGGGGCAAGGTTAGATATCACGGAAGCATGAGCTGTACGGAGTATAGAAAGAAAATGTGCAGTATAATTAATATGTATAGATGGATAGGCTATCATGCTTACTCGCTTGGTTGGGTATATGAAACAGCAACGATGCGGGGGGCTTTAACAATGTTAAATGAAAGAACGAACGCTCATGATGATAAAACTCCAGTAAAAAGCAAAGAAAACGAATCCAAACACAACGCTCGCTTATAAAGCAGCAAATGAAAATCGAGATATGAAAAAATAAGCAAGTTTAGATACAGGAGGTTAAATGGATAGCCTATTTATGGCCCATTTTCTCCAAGAGTAGAGCAGCTGCCTCGGCCGTGTATCCGAAGAATACAGGGCCGTTAAAGACCATTCTTGGCTGTGGGCTGGAGATATGTGCCATTGGTGCGTCCGGAGACAGATTCGATCGAGGTACAGAATATGTATTCGTTTGGGTATTTGTATGCGGCATCTGATGCGAGTGGGCATGGTGACTGCTCGGTTCGTCTATTTCTGGCTCGGGATGTAGGTCTTCCTCTGCAGTTGCGCCTAGAGTGATGTTGGCATCGGCATCGGCTTCTGCATCGTTGCCGAACGTAGATGCCTGGCCGAGGGGACTGAGTCGGCCCTGGGAGGGTAGTAGCATGGTTGGGTCTTCTTCTACCTCCTGGGGCTTATCATAGTGTGATTCGGGCGGGTGGTATATAGCAGGCTGTTCTGGTGGGACATGGATGCCCCATGGTCGACTTGGGGATTCTCCCACACGAACGTCACGCAGAGGGCGCTCGAAGTGGCCTTCTCGTTCATCGTCGCCGCCGGGGCTGGCGTGCTGGTCGCCCGGAACAGGTGCAGTAACTTCAGCTTCCTCGGGGGAGGGTGAGCCCGTTCGCGGTGGAGTTTTATTGCTCACGTCCTCTGCCCATTTTTCAACTCTGTCGACAGAACTAGACCCTGTGACGGCACCAGCATTTACTTCTCCGGTCTCGTCTAGTTCATGAGGAGTTGACAGGTAAGGCTGGTGGTATTCGCCCAGTCCCTTTACCATGTTAACGACGTCGCCGTATTTGGCATCGATATGGCGGCTGGTCTGTGGGTTGTTTTGGTACCGTCGGATACAGACCGAGTGACTTCTTGGAATCTCGTGTTTGTGATTCTCAAAGTACTCTGCCAGTTCCTCGGGGGAGTGGTCTTCCAGATACCTGATGGGACAACGTGCCGATGAAGAGTGTACAGATCGAGCTGTGGATGGAGCACCCTCTCCCATCTTGTCCAGCTTAATGGGATCTTCATCATTTTCACAGCTTTCTCCATTTATATCCGTCTGTTCTCCGGCGGCGAGTGGTTTGCTGGATTTATTGAACGGGCAGCCGAGGGTACCCTTGATACCATTCGTTGTGAAATCATGTTCCATCGAAGTTCTACGCTTTCCATGGCCAAAGGGGCACGTTCGCAAAGTACTAGGGTCTTGTGTAATTTCTAGCTTGCGTAAGGCAGCAGTCGAGATCTCTAAACTCTCCGTGATGTTCTTTGTTTCCGTGGGGGATATGTAGCCTGCCTTCTCCATACTGGTGACCCATTCGACATTGTCGGTGGCAGCATCGTCAGGGCCAGTAGAGTCAAGGGTAGGGCCTATGGTTATGTCTAGCTTATTATCTGAGCCTTCAGGAAGTTTGCTCGCGAGTTTTTGATACTGTTTAACACGTTAGTCATCGCACTCGACGTATAGAAGTAAAGTCAAAGATAATGAGTATGTGTAGCCATCAGATAATACATGATAAGTCGTTCATCGCTGCATAAGCAACTATTGATCTAGAGCTAAATCGATTTTTCTCATCACTTGGCAGCGGGAATAGGGAAGAGAGAAACACAAGGAAAAAGAATAGTGGTACGTACCTCGTTGAGAGTATACTGCAGCCGACTCTGAAGCTCTTGCTCCTGGCGAGTCAGCTTCTGTGCAGCCTCTAAGAGGGCGACGAACCCTTTCGCCAGGGCCCGTAGCTCATCGTTCCGGCCAGCAGCGTCGGCTACTGCTGGAGACATCATCACTGGACTGACAGATCAAGCCACCCAGTGGCCACTCCCATATTACAGAGCTCGAGGGAGACGCCAGGAGACTTCCACGAAGGATGGAGGGAAGAGAAGTTGACCAAGAAGAAGAAACAAGCGAGATTTCGAAGGTTGAAATACTTTTCGGGACCTGGTCCTAGCGTCTAACGTTGGTTGGCCCCTGCGACGGTCATGTGACTTCACTTTTATCCGAGGTCCATGCTTATGTAATATTTGCTTACTCAGCCAGGCCAATGATTTTATAATACTGCTTATTCAGCTAGGCGACACGAACGTTCTTGCTGCCAACTTTCTAGAGGAAGCGATGACGGAATATAAGAAGCAAGAAGCAGGAAGAAGCAAGGAGTCGGCATCATATAAAGATGTGTTGCCGGTGGTGGTGCTTCCATCAGATACATCTTGCCTTCATTTCTGTTGACTGAACACAAGCCGTCCATCCGCCTCCAACTATATAAATAGTTACTGGTTGAAAGAGCGCCATGCCACCGACTATGGGAACAGTCGACTCGTTCGGCTTTACTGCGGTTGAAGCATCTGCAGAAAAACTCTTCGAGCAGATCGGACTGCGGGATATGCCTCCGCCGCCAGTGGTGCCAGTCTCAGCTACTCCAATCCCGCGGACAATCCTTGCGGAGCGCATAGAAGGCTATGCCAAAGTCCACCTCCCTACGGCTACGTTTAACCACTGCATGAGGGTATACCATTTTGGGATTGCTATAAAGCGCTATGCATTTCCTACCTGGGTCTTCACTGACGAAACCTACTTTATCACCTGCATGTTGCATGATATCGGAACAACAGAAGAAAACCTTCGAGCTTCGCGTATGAGCTTTGAGCTATATGGTGGCTTTCTAGCCATGGACTTGCTTCAATATCCCATCAATGAGCACGCGTCGACCATCATAGACCCTGAGAGACGGGTTACGGCGTCAAACGCGCTTGCTGAAAGTGTTGTTGAAGCAATTATGCGGCACCAGGATATACGCGATACTGGGAAGATAACTGCCGTTGGCCAACTGATTCAATTGGCTACCATCTTCGGTTCGTCTATGCTCCGCCTTCTTTGCATACCTTGATTAGTTTGCTCAATTATGATCTTATGAGATGTTCTCGCTAACGCGAAGGGCGGATACCAACCGGTTAAAGATAACATCGGAGGACATGAGCAGCTCCTCAACTCTGAAACGGTAAAGGACGTCATCGACCACTACCCGCGTCTGCAGTGGAACAGCTGTTTTTCAGCAACAATCCGCAAGGAAATCGCGCTAAAGCCATGGGCCCATTCCACCATGCTTAGAACAGAAGAATTTCCAGCGAAAATTGAGAATAACCCGATCGGTAGGGCATATGAAAGAAGGGAAAGTATTATGCAACATGGAGGGAATGGGGAGAATGGGAGGCTAGATAATCTTAATGGTCATGCATAAATGGCTGTCGTTCTAGCAGGGTTTTTATGAGCTGGGGCTGTCACAGTGCCCAAGCGTTACGCTTATGCTAATGAGCGAATATCCATACCGTCAGATCAATTTGCGCCGCATTCTACTTGTCTACTTCAGTGTTTTGCCGGGTTATGTTTATTATGCCTACCTTCGTTCAATGCTTGACCATTCAGCATAATAGCTGGTTTATAGATATACTTACAGGAAACTCTCTCAGGAGATCACTAACAATTTGAATTCACTATCCTCAACTGATATCCGTTCATAACTCAATCCTTCTCAGGGCACATTGAACGCTAAAGTACTTTCAGCCCAGCCTACATAACGCACCTTCGTATAATAGTATTCTCTTACTATTTCGTTCTTCTCTAGCTTCAATGTTTATAGCATGGACTAGAGGGACTAGATGAACGGGATGGGAGACATTAAAATGTATTAGTATACTAGATGTTAGATGTCTTCTATGATTTGAGGGGAGCTGCAGCAAACCAAGCGTCTTTGCCGTGATGCTTCTTCTATCGTGTGGCATTGATTCCTCGGGGCTGTCAAAAAATATACCTTTGAAATCATTAAATCCGAACCCGAATCTCAACCACCGTACCATTGCCATTGTATCATATCATTATTAGTCCCTAGGATATAGGATGTATTATGGATTGCAGATGGAAAATTTTTGTTTTGGAAAAAAAAGGAGAAAACAGCAAAGAGAAGAAAGTAGATAGGAGAGAAGGTGACAAATGCAACTAATAGCAATAGCAATGGGTTATTTTTTTAAATGATAAGAAGGGGGAAAAAGGGATCTTGTCCAGCATGCCCATGCCTTCCGCTGCTCAAAGGTCCCCAAACAAATAGGTGGCAGAGAGTTGAATCGAGCTCTAGTTGTAAAGTGAAGCATGGCATAATCTTGATCACGGGTGAATGAATTGTTATTCTCCGAAGTGGCGGTGGGTGTAATTAAAATTAGGATCTGGTTTGGTCTGGTTCTGGCAGACGGACAGGCGGGTAAAGCACGGACGAGTCGGAGCGGGAATAATCCCTTCTATAATCGATAGGGAGGCAGTGGCGGAGAGAGTATGGGGTGTATATAATTATTTGCTTTCCTGGGTAGCAAGGAGGGTATAGACGGGAGCAGGGAGCTTGTCACGGCCCTTGAGGAAGTCCAGCTCGAGCATGAAGACGAATCCGAGAAGGTTGCCTCCGAGTTGCTGGACGAGAGAGCCTGCAGCAAATGCAGATCCGCCTGGACAAAAGTTAGCATGTTACTATTTTTCGGTGACTAGTATAAGACGCACCGGTGGCAATGATATCGTCGACCACGAGGACCTTCTGGCCCGGCTTGATGGCGTCCTTTTGCATCTGGAAAAAGTCGCTGCCGTACTCCTTCTGGTACTCCTGGGTGATGACGGGGCCGGGGAGTTTCCCCTGCTTCCTGACGGGCACAAAGGCCGCCCCGAGTCTCAGGGCGAGGGAAGGGCCGAAGAGGAACCCGCGGGCGTCCAGTCCGACGATGACATCGGGTTTCTGGTCAGCGCCATAGGTCTCGAGGAGGTGCAGCTCGAGGCCCCTGATGAGGGACTCGTGGAGGGCGGGGTCGGCAAAGATGGGCAGGATATCCTCGAACAGGATGCCTGGCGAGGGGAAGTCGGGGAACTGGCGCAGAGACGAGCGCAGCTTTACCTTAAGACTGGCGAGTTCGGCGGCGCGGGAGGCAGAGGAGGAGGAGTTCCCGGCGTCTTGGGCGGAGGCATTGGACTTGTCGCGATAAGCCTGCTGGTTATCGGCGGAGGGGGGAAGGCTCATGCTAAACGAGGTCGAGAGATGTTCAGGTAGAGGTGGAAGATGAAGATGTGTAGAGAATGAGAGTGTAGAGAGGGTAGAGAGAGATGGTGTTGAGTAGAGGGTGGTGGTGTAGAGAGTGAGGTGGGATGGAGGGGAGTTGCCTGCTAAATATGCAGATGATAAATACACGCCTTCTGGATCTTCCCTGCAAGTTACCCACGCCAGCCCTACACTTACCACGACCACAACTACGACGGAGCAGGATGAATATAACGGCCAGGAGCAGGACAGGACAGAAGGACAGGACAGCAGGACAGCGTCGACTCGCGCCGTCACCCTGAGACGCCGTTGATGCTCGCCGGCTGCGTCTACGCGACTTCACGGTGCGACTCAAAAGGTCGGTGAAGCGGGAAACACAACCTGGACGCATCCCAGCTCTTCTCTACGGACAACCCTCTGTGGACAACTGTGGACAACTGCGGGCTAGACGGGTACCTTGATCAGATATCTCCCTGCACCCTTCCCTTGTCGAGATCCAGCCAGCCGTCAGTCGCCGCCATGATACATCGCTTGCTACGACGCGCAACACAACATCCGTCTCCTAGGCTCCAGATGTCTCCAGCCATGTCCAGCCATGTCCAGACCCGTCGGGAGGACGGTGTGACGGTGTATCACCGGCCAGTCGTGTCGTTGAGTTCTCGTCTCACAGCGTCGTCCCGATGCAACGTCCACATGGAAGAGAAACCCGTCCCTGACTGACACCGGGCGAGGCGATCCCGGACGGTTTCATGCTTTTGCGATGGATGTGCAGTCGACGGATCAGGCCACTCCGTGAAGAGAAAAGGAAAAATACGATGCGCTTCCTGCCAGCCAATGAAGCCTCAACCCAGATCAAGCAATCAATTACCTAATTATGGGTAACAGGGCGGGATAGGGTATCCGCACCTAATTCTCCAGGTAGGACTGTTGTAAGGCAGGTAGAGCCCATTTGACCATCCATTCTGATTCCAACACTTGGTCAGCCGTTGCCCTCTCTGCAGGAGTGAATCTCAACATCATCCGCATCAGGTCTAGAATTGCGCGTTTCTCATCGTCCGTAAACTCCCCCATCCCGTCCTTGCGACAACAGGACTGCATCTGATCAAAGGATTCCTCGAGGGATGGCCATATGTCTCTCGAGGTCGGCTGTCTGTTATCGTCAAAGAACTTAGCGCGATTCTCCCATTGCTACCACCAGCTTTCCGGCATATCGAAACCGTCGACTCCAGGACGTAGAACGTCAATATAGTCTGAGATGAGTTCGTCTGGGTAGGGAAAATCGGTTGTGAAAAGTGATTTGAGCCCAATAATTTGCCATATGAGAAGACCTAACGACCAGATATCTCCAGCATACGATAGAGGGCCAAGAGGCTCGAATCTGGCTTCCGGTGGCCGTATACCGAGAGGAGTGTGACTCTCCTGAGCTTGACGAGAGTGAACCGCTGGATCAAACGCCTCGCCAAAGTCACTCAATAGTACTTTGGCATCAGCAAGAGTGAATCGATCTGCTTTTATTCGGCCCATGCATATTGGTGTGACTGCAGTCGATGGAATATTCAATGGAAGCGGTTTCCCATCCCGACGTTCAATAGGAGTGAGATCCGGATCTCCATATTCTCTGTAAAACTTCTCGAGAGAAAGAGAGTCGAGCTCCGGTGAAGCCTTGACGAGAATGTTGCGAATATGCACATCTACATTTTAATTAGTTTTCAATGTAAAAAAATAAGAATCACAGCGTATAACGAACCTCCATGCACATATCCTCGTGAATGTACGTATGCAAGGGCCTGCGTGATTCTAGCAGCCAAAGCTCTCGCAACTTGCAAAGAGAAGATGCGACCACAGGCAACATCTTTAAGATCACATCGTGCAGGGGCGGTTGTATAACATAGGTGCGCCCCATTTGGACCTTCAACCGAAAATTCGTCGAGGATGTTTGGAATTGAAGACCGACCTGGGTGAGAGATGGAGGAAGCTGTACTTGAAAGATCGCGAAGAACTTCAAACTCGTGTCGGGCAAGACCTGCTATACCGACTTTAACGGCGACATATTGTCTATCACGAATATCATGAGCCAGCCAAACAATCGAATAGCCACCGAAACCCAGCTTGTTCACAATCTTATATCTGTCGTGGATAATATCCCCGATCAACAAGGGATGATATCCGCCAGGCTCGTACTTTTCGAGCCTTTCCACCCCTTCAATATACCCATATTCAAAATAACGGGCGTTTTCATCACTTTTGGTGCTCATTGTCGAGGTTGAATAGGCAGGTGTTGTAACGAAACGATTCCTCCAGTGATAACGGATGGTCAATTGCGAAGGTGTCAGATATTGCAAGGACAGTCGTGGAGGACTTATCTTGAAGTAGCGCAACATCATAGAGCAAGACCGTAAGTTTTATGGTATTCTTTTATATTGCGGGAGAGAAAGGCGACATTGCTCTAGGAAGAGCTTCATGACTCATATAAACGGAGTAAATGGCTACGCGCTTGTTTTTAGTTATACAAAACAAATGTTGCAAATAGTCTTAGTAAATTGATTCCAGTCGAAGATGAATTGGGTTCAAGGGCGGCCCGTAACCTTCCCATCTTTTCCACGCAGAGGTTGTCGCTGAGCTATACTACCTTTTATATATATGTCGCTCCATTCCTTGCCAGTCGGAGGTTTAGGGGTTTACGATGAAAAATAATGGACAGATGGACGGTTTTATATACTGCCCGTCTATTTACAAATGCCACAGATATCAACTTTAGAAATATATACCCCAAACGTACGGATGTCAACCTACGCACCGAGAATTGAACAGCGTACATACATCAACACTATCAAAGAATAAACAAGAACATAATTCGGCTCGGCCCAAAGTCATACATTTTATAATTATACGACGATTAGATTGCTGATTGGTATACCCTGCGACTGGACCTCGTATCTTCGGCGGATCCCAACTCCCAAAGCGTGGCTGAAATATTCATACGTCTTATCACCGCCGCCCACCATCACCATGCTTATCGGATGAGGTCGAGGGAATCCCCCGATCACAGTCTGCATTTCATCTAGCAATGGCCGGATGAGGGATGCTTCGTCGTTGTCCTTAGGCGGGGACTTCCGTCGTCTATCTCCCGGCTGCGGATATGAAACGACAATGACTAGCTGTAGAGATGACCGCGACGGGCGAAACGACGGGATGTTCCTCAGCTTCTCGGAGAACGTGCAGCCTCCTCGCTTCACGATTATGATTTGGTGCGTGCGCGGAATAGAGGCTGGGAGGCGTTGTTCGCATAGGTGGCCAGCGAGGTAGATGCTGGACCACGACAGGCGGGTTGCTGAGCGTTTGGAGTTCGGCGTGGGAGGGGTGAAAATTGCATCCTCATCATCTGGTGGGGGGACGGAGCCTATGCCGGTGGAAGAGATGGCAGGTATAGAGAAACGAGCGACTGGGCGGCGGAATATCGGAGGGGTGACGGATGGGAGATGTTGGAGTTCGTCCCGTATCAGGGCCGTTACGTGGCTTAGGAGGGAGGAGAGTGCTGACCTGTGGTTTTCAACGTTGTCTTCCTCGACGGCCTTGGGCGGTGGAGAGTCAAGGATCGGTCCTCCGCTGACAACTGTCCCTTGGTCGGAGAGAGACGCGGCGGATGAAGACGAGTTATTTCGATAAACAACGTCCGGCTTAACATCGATGATGACGTCCATCATTATGCTATCGGGAGTTTGCGTGAAGTTGGGATCCGTCGGACTCAATGTACTGGCCGTCTCGCGGGAAACGTAGACTTTCTCATTCTTGCCCAAAGGTATGTTGCTGACCACTTGTATACGAAATCCTTCCTTGGAAGAAATAGTATTACCGGAATAGAGCGGTGCGTCTTGGATCATGCCTAGTCGAAGGCCCCCAAAGGATTTTATTAAAATTCCGCCCTCGACACGTTCTAATCTCGGAGGACCCTGAACTGTATTCGATAACGGAGGGAAAGTCAGGTCCAACGTTGGTCTGATAGCCATCGGCGAGCTGGTGGCGTTGCGTGGGACTAGCAGAGGGGGGAGTGTCCAAGGGAAATAAGTATAATTTGATGGAGAATTTAGGTCCGAAAGGGTAACACTTGGGTTATCAACCGAAAACTCTATGATGGGAGACTCAAGTTGCCTTTTCGGCGGTTTAAGGCGAAGACGTGCTAAGCTTGCTGCGTGGAAGACGTCTGGCCTGGCAGCGGTAGAAGATACGCCAAAGGGGTTTCGCACCGCCGGCGGCTCACAGATCCCAACGGATGCATTTGCATATTCCTTTAAGTCATTCCTTAAACGAGGTGGTGATGTCTGTTTTGCCTTTGTAGGAAGTATGAGTGGATGGCCTTCTGTACTGTAGACGAAGGAGGAGTCGATTCGATTCAAGGGATGCGATGGTTCAAATAAAAGATAGAGATACTTGGTCGTTTCCCCAAGGAAGAAGCTCTCCATCCTGTCACTTTGATCCCCCTTCTTGACATTCTGAAGGCCCGCCCAGCCGCATTTTGCCCAGCACCGCCGTTTGATGTCACGCAATACCATCTCCCCGGTATAAAGATACCAGGGGTCCTCGGTTGCTCGATAGAGATAGTATGTGGATTCGATGAACTCAGGGCGACCGCCCCACCACTCGAGTCCGCCTTCAATATCTCCTGTTGCCACATTCCAGCGTTCTGGGAGGGCTGAGAATCGAGTCCAGAGGGCGGTATTGAGTAGATGAGTTTCGGCTGCGGCATCAATATTGCCAGCTAGAGTGAGGAGTCCCGGGAAGTATGCACTCAGGCTATCCATCCAAAGAGCACGGGTTGCGCCTGTAGTCATGTCACCTTGTATATAGTGTGGGTACTGGTAGCTGGAACCCCTATATAGATTGTGCTTTATGGCTTCAAATGATTCCTGCCATACCTTGAGGAAGCTATCCGGCGAATGACCTTGGTCCGGGAGCGGTAAGAAGTAGTTATCATATTGATGGAAAGGCCCTGATGCATTGAAGTCTGGGGGATAGCCTTCTGATAGCAGGATATGTGATTTCAATGCATATTCAAAAAAGCTGTCTATGCCTGCGCCAATCTGCAAGATATCACCGTGGTCAGCAGCTTCTTCTTCTATGATGTCTGAACAGTGCTCACAAGCTTACCCCTGTATAAGTCTGAGTCCACTCTCCAGTCTCAGCATTGATTCCAGCTCCAACCAACCCAAGCTCGCTCCTTCTATCCCACACGCTCCAGAAAGCTCTCTTTGCAAACTCTTCATATCGGCCGTCACCAGTCAGCCGGCTGAGGACGGTGAATTCTAAAACTAGGCTTCCAGCGCCAGCGCTGCAATTTTCTGTGATCTCAACTGGGGTATCATCTTCATCATCATAAACCTCGTCGTCGTCATATTCTGCCCACCTCTCGGAGTTCAATGGGGAGTTGGGGTGAAATGGAACTCCATCCCTGAGATTTACTCGAGGATATGGAATTCCTGTTGGCGTATAGAAGGCAGGTAGGAGACGGGTTCCCAGATCCATGGCCAGCCTAAGTAGCTGTCCATCATACACAAAACCGTTTTCCCATTCAATCCCACCCTCGCTGCCTGGTGGTTTATTCCAGAGTTTCGCGAACTCTTTCTCCTTCTCGGGAGGCTCATAGCCACGTATTGGAAGGTCTCCCACAGCAAATAGATGGGCACTCAGAAGTCCGCCTATCAACCGTTGTTATAGACGTCAGCCATCCCTGCAATCTCCAAAAGCACCAGCCAGCAACCAAGAATATATATCTCACCTAGTCCTCGAATGACGCTTTCAAACACTTGGACCTTGCTATCGACTTTGAATCCTTGACTCCGCGACCCTATCCCGCCAGGGCCATTCGAACCATCGCCATATAATTCCACCAGATCCCTCACCCCGTTTTGAAAATATCTCCATGCCTTGCGGCCGTTATGATCGGTCGAGTTCGGGTACGATAGTATTGCCAGCGTCGACAGGCTGTCCACCAGCGTCACGGAATAATTGCCCAAGACATCGTTGAGTTCTATATGCGCCGGGTTTTCTCGATCGCGCGTCAACGGTCGACAGGTTATCGGTCGTAGCTCGTCTTCGGGGAAGGCATATTTCATGTAGTTCTCAAACCCATGGAAGAACATGTGCTCTGTTTCTTTGCTATATCGACAATTAAGTATGAAGCCACAAGGGAATTTTGATACCTCAACGAAGAAAAGAAAGATACTGACCGGAGCTCTCTAATCTGGCTTTCCTGCATGCCCTGTATACCTGTAAGCCATAGCGATATGGCGAGCAAACAGCTTAACCATGATGATCGGAGGTGGAAGGACATATGGGAGCGTCGGTAGATCGAGCGCATCACCAAAGGGGAAATGGTAGCTGCAATGGCATGGAGATGGATTGTCTCCGTGTAGCGGAAACTGTGCCAGAGCCTGGTATAAAAGGACACACAGAGCTGAATTATATTATTTACACTGAGTAGCAAAATGTGCGTAGGACTCCCTGGATCTGTTTAGCCCGTCAACTATGCATGTCATCGCGACGCTAACTTTGGCGTGTGGACAGATGTGCAACTTGTTACATCAGCGGGAGCCAAGACTGCAGATATACGCATCAAACGGCATATCAAACATCTACAGAGTACGAGGATGAGATGGTTGCTTGTAAAATTTGTACTTTTCGGGGTTTGCTTATAATAGGAGGCAAAAAATTTAATCAAGAAACGGAATCCCACCAGGGTCGCTAATCAAACACAGATAAAGTCCAAATAAGAAGACGAGTGAAAGGGGGGTGGTTATATTGGCCAGGTTGACATTGGAGTAGATTACGGCTTCACCGTGCCTCTTTCCGCGGGATGAACCAACGATGCTGCTGGATCGTAGTTGGATGGTGGTTGTGGATGGGCTTGGGGCTGGGAGCTGCCGGTGTATTCAACTCCATCGTCGGATATGTAGCTTGGAGGTCGGTTTGCCGTTGACGGGCGAACTTCATTGACACTTTGAGAGTGGCCGTGGACGAATTTATGCGAATCAACGCGTTGCCAGTAAAGCAGGTTTGGGTCCATTTTCTAATCATCACAGTTAGCATCTCACACATCACTCCGATGAGCGGCCACACTTACCACGCTGCCTCTCCATAAACCATATGCGGGAGGTGGCACTGCAATGGCTTTCGGTTTACTTTCGTCATCTTCCCCTTCAATCCCTACGCCCATCTCTACGTCGCTAGCGACGATGACCGGGATAGGTCTGTCAATTTGTGCAAATCTCTCGACCATGTTGGGAGCAGCAGCCCGCTGGATACGACGTCTTGGGCGCCGGTTTGCAGTCATGAGTAGGCGGATCAGAGAATGACAGAAATATATGGTACAAGCCATCATGGCGAGAATCAAAATGACGTGAAATTCAAACTTCTTCCCTGAAGAAGTGACGGCAAGAACAAGATCTGATAGAGCAGTAAGTAAGAGTGTGGAGGATAGGGCACAAAGAGTAAAAGACATACATGTAGTTAGGACACTGGCCAACAGGATCCCCGATATTGCGCAATCTATGAGCTTTCTTCTCGTTGATCTGGCCTTTCCTCGCCCCCCTAGGCAGAGGAGCTTTCTCATTGTTGAGCTGCCGTTCGATGCGTGTTTAGGTCGAGTCCATGCTCCGTAAGAGCCCTGAACCCAGCGGATATAGGCGTTGCCTCTATTACCTTGGCCCTCGCGACTCGGTTCAACCTCTGGAATTGGCGTAGCCTCGATAGTCTGCGCATTCGAATGCGGGAATGGTGGTATATTATCGTTGGGGGACGCGTTGCGATCTATCACGGAGCCAGTCGATGAGATAGATCTTCTCCCCGGCAGGACGATACGTCCGCCGTGACCATTTCCACCTGGCCTAGGAGCGAATATGCGTATTTCCGATGGAGAGGACGGTGGTTTGGAAGATTCGTCCATGTCGCGGGAGCCAGACGGGGAATCCCCTGAAAATAAGGAGAACAGGCGAGCGCGTAGTTGCTGTACTCGATCCGCCATGGCGGGCACGTCAACGGCGCCGCTCTGAGATGCCATGTCTTGCATGTAAATGTGTTTCAATGAACCGTGTTGTTTGTTTTGCTTGGGCTGGCGTCCTGGCGGTAAATCCCAAGTAGAGCGAATGTAAACACCACGACCGACGCGCGGGAAGTTGTTGATATTATAGAAGGGCGTCTAGAAGCCCATGGCCAGCACTTGTAATACGTGTAGACAAAAAAGAAGTTATGATGCCGGCTATATCGTTCGCATACAATGCCAACAAAGAGGTCACCAACAAGGCCGAACGTCCATCCCAGGCCTGAAAGAGATAATATCCGAGTATTCCACGCCTATATCAGTCTAAAGCAAAGGAAATAGCATTCTCAACCAAGGTATCTGCCTCCGTTCTGACCGTCAACCACTTCACACTCAAAAACAACGAGCCAACAAAAGAACGGACATATCTCTGGGTATATATATATACCTCTGTCAATCAAGGTATATACCACCCCCGCCAAACCTGACTGGACAAGAGAGCCAAAATCAGCTTTCAGTGTCCTCACAGTTCAAGAAGGAAAAAAGCAAGCATGCTGTCTATCCAGGGAACTCAACCTGCCAGACCAAGAAAAAGAAACGAAGGCCGCCTCTCAGCGACTGAGAAGATGCAGAGGGGGCGAGATACGCTCGCCATCAGCCCCTGAGGCTTGCATGGCAAGACTATGCTATGGGCTTCTGCTGGCCATTGAGGCTGCGATGCGAGGGAAATGATGAAGCGCGCGAGGACGTGGTGGTGGGCGAGGATGAGACGGCGCTAGGTTTCGGGTTGGCCGCGACCTTGGCACATCACAGCAAAAAGCAAGCATGAGAATATCCCGAGATCAAGATACATAACTTACGATGGGGAGGATATATAGCAGGATAAAGGCTAAGCGGTGCTGTTAATCCTGTCTTCTTGGCCGCGTCTCACGCCATTCCATGCTGCTTGTGTTTGTAGTACAATTCCAGGGGATGCTACGCTGGAAATCTGTAACCCATGGACAAGCTGCCAGTGGAGTGATTATTGTTGTTATTGTAGTGAGTGTCAGCCAGGCCAGTCAACGGGCAAGTCAAGTAGCGTATACCGTGATACAGGTGAAAGGGTGAGATGAAAGGGTGAGATGGATTATTCAGTAATGTATGTAAATCGTGATAACGTGGATAGCTCATTTCCCCAGCTCCCCTAGCATAACCGTTCGATCAGACGAACCAGACACAACTATTACCACAGAGTTAGCAGAAGCCCCTTATAATCATCTTCAATATGATATATAACTTACTGATCGGCTCGTCGGCCGGCGTAAACCGCACATCATTAACCGTCCCCTTGTGCCCTGGCAGCTTATACAGAAGCTTCCCCGTCTTAACATCCCACACGACAACGCTCCTATCTCCACTGCCCGCAGCGATCTTCTCACCCTTTGCATCCCAGCTGGCGCGGATCAAATTCTTCTCGAGGCCCGTTGGAGCACCGTCAAAGGTCCGGATGTGGCGATCCGCAGGCGCAAAGGGACGGATATCCCAAGTCCGCGCCGTCGAGTCGTGAGAGTTGGACAGCAGCGTCTGAGAGTCCGGTGAGATTTGTAAGGAGGAGATGGTGTCCGTGTGTCCGATCATGGAATATGTGATGGCGCGCTTCCGGATGTCCCAGACGTGTATATCGTTTTCGATACCACCGGCGTATATCTCGTTTCCGGCCTCGGAGAGGGCAACGGCCGTCACGGGCATGGCGGAGGAAGATTCCAGATAATCGATGGCTGTCTTTTGACGAGGATCCCATATACCTATGCTTCCATCATCGCTACCACTAATCAGTAATTCCTGGCCCCGTCGGCTGATGTCTAGACAATTGATGATTTCCGTGTGGTCAATGTATCGCCGTATGCGCGTGCCGGATGCCAGGTCCCAGCTGGCGAGAGTCATGTCTGCAGAGGCAGAGAAGAGAGTCTGTGAGTCGCGGGACCACTGGAGGTCAAGGACCGCGCCTTTGTGGCCGGTCAGGATGCCATAGTTTTCGCAGTTTCCGTATGTTTGCCATAGTACTACGCCAACCAATTGTTAGGACCTAGCTTAGCTTTACTCCTAGGAGAACGTACATATAGACCGATCCATGCCAGCAGAGGCTATATTCTGACCCGTAGAGTCGAATCGAGTAGAGAAGACTTCGCCGGAGTGGCCTGTGAGCTCCATTATGGGGGCGGCGAGACCGCTCGTTCGCGGTACCTAAGCATGCATTAGACGAGAAATAAACCAAGTATATAAGAAATACCATTCACGTACAGACTGTATAAGAGCTCCATTCTTCCCTGTTCCGCTGGATATAGCGACTGCACTCTGGTTTAGATTGCTATCTGATCGTTGACGTTTGACGAGCTGGACGGTCCCGAACGAGTCGTGAGCAGGTCTCTTTTCGGCGGACATCATGGTGTCGTGTGTATGACCAGAAATTCAAGAAGAAGAAGAAGGTGATATTTGTCCTGTTAACTAGAGTGGAAGCCTAGTATCAAGGCTATTGCTGTTGATATTTATGCGACGTACTTTGGCCGTGGATAATTTTTAGACGCGGTGACTTTCCAAGGTTGGAAGCGCGGCTCGGCGGCTGCTGCGCTTAGATAAGTCGAGCTTGACCCCCCATGCCCCGTCATCTTTCAACCACCACAGCTTCGAATAACGCCGTGATCACAGTACGCTTGCAGACACGAGCTGAGAGCTGCAGAGTTGTATGCTAGAGAAGATACTACGTGCGGGTCTGGGCGAATTGACATAGTTACAGCTGCGATGTCGAGCAAGGCAGCTCGGGTTGGGGAAGAGTATAGCCCCGCCTACATAACGAATAGCTTGCTCGAACCTCTGCTAACTGTTCTCTAGGATATGGAAGTACGTGCATGCCGTCAGATCTGCAGCAGCCTATCCCGTCTAACCCGTGTAGAACAAAGGTCGACAAGGTCAACGCCGAGCTGGTGACGCTCACCTATGGCACGGTAGTCGCCCAGCTCTGCACGGACTATGAGAGCGACTATCTGGAAGTCAACCGACAGCTCGACAAGATGGGCTATAACATGGGCATGCGGCTGATAGAGGACTTTCTGGCGCGGTCGGGGATGGGCCGGTGCACAAACTTCCGCGAGACGGCAGACATTATATCCAAGGTGCGTCTATCCATGGCAGTTACAACGGCCTAGCTAATTGTATTTGGATACAGGTCGGGTTTAAAGTATTTCTCAACATCACGCCGATGGTGACCAACTGGACGAGCGATAGCAAGCAGTTCTCGCTGGTGTTTGACGAGAACCCGCTGGCCGACTTTGTGGAGCTGCCGGACGACGGGCGGGCGCAGGACGAGCTGTGGTATTCGAACATCCTCTGCGGCGTGCTGCGGGGGGCCTTGGAGATGGTATTTTCGACTTGACTTACTGGCTAGGCTCTGCTAATGCTGTCTAGGTGCAAGTGCAGGTCGAGGCACACTTTGTCAGCGACGTCCTACGGGGGAACGACACCACCGAGATGCGGGTCACCCTCGTGCGCTACCTCGAAGACGAGCTTCCTCCAGAAGAGTAGTCTCTCTCTCTCTCGTCCTTCTTCTTTCTCTCTCTCTCGTCCTTTCTCTCGTCCCTTCCTCTTCTCGTCTCTTCCTTCTACGTGTCATACTCTACTTGGGAGTCGGTTAGCTAGACATGTCGGCATCACACTTGGTATTCTTATGTTGGTATCTATGATCTTATATTGGTATCTTATTATCTATTGGTATATATTGTCTATTGGTATATTGTATATTGGTATCTTGTATGGTGGTCGAGTTAGGCTGTCCACGTGACCCCGGATAAACGTATATCCCGTGACCAAAAGTGCGTCCGCTGCGCGTTCTGCCGGTCCCTAGCAGCCACCGCCCGCGAAAGTGCAAGTTCGAACTTCCAGCGAGACGAACTTCACGGCTCTTTGAGATACGCAGTTTTATATCCAACACGACACGGAGACGGCCCTCGACAGCACGACGGAACCGCCGCTGGACAGCCCACCGCACCATCGTGGAGTGGCGTGCCTGACAATCGTCCCTTCGTCTCGCCTCTCTCCGCCCTCCGCCCCCCCAGCCCAGCCGACCGACCAAGCGATCGCCCAGGAGCCACTCTGGCGCCCGACGGACGAAGGCCTCTTCCTCCCATCGACGACCGCCCTTTTCGCACCTCGCTACTGCCGCCGCGAGGATCCAATTCCCTCGCAAGGACCGCTTGTTCGCTGCCAGAGCGGCTGCTGAGGTCTGTTTTGTTCCTGTCCTGCTGCGTCAAACACTCGAAACTAACGCGCTCCAGGAAAGAGATCCGTCAAACAGCCAACGGCCTCGTTCGTTCGCGAAACAACACAACCTGCACTCGCAGACGCATCCTCTATCTGTTGGATATCCCATATATGAGACACGCTCCCGCGGAACAGACCTCTTTAGCCCTGTAGACGGAGTCCGTCCTGTCGTCTTTTCTCGATCTTGACTCCCTCCCCCGACTTGATAGAAAGCGACTTGAACGGCTACCCGGTGAGCAGGTCCGATCGTCTTGGGACGACAGCACCTCCACCTCCTCCCGCCCACAATGAACCAGATGAACATGCAAGCCATGAACCCGGGCGTCGCCATGCCCGGCAACGTCGTCCCCGTAGGCGTGCCGGGCGTAGGCGTCCCCGGCGGCGGTATGCCCATGGGCGGCATCCCCATGATGAATAGCGCATCAGGCTCCGCTCCGCGCAGCGAACCAAACCAGAACATGCAGGATACCATGGCCACCCAGCTCAACACCTACATCTACGACTACTTCCTCAAACGCGGGTACCATGACTGCGCGCGCGCGCTCGTCCAGGACGAGAGCGTCACCCTCAACACCACCACTGCGCCGCACAAGGGCACACCACACCGTAGGGACGGAGAAGTCAACGGCGTCGACTCGGATGAAGGTAAAGAGGATATCAAGTCGCGCATTCCAGATGACTTGCCAAGACCCAACTTGGGCGATTCGCAGCAGACCAGTTTCCTGTTCGACTGGTTCAACATTTTCTGGGATGTCTTCTCCGCCCAGAGAAAGAAACCACGAAGTAACGATGCCATGCAGTATCTACAGCACACCCAGGTAGGACCCTTGATCGCTACGATAATGAGACACGCTAACAGTCATTTTTCTAAGAACATGCTGCGATTACGGGACCAGCAGCAAAACCAGCTCATGCGCCAGGGACAGATGATGCCTAACCAGTTCGCTGCCATGCGTGGAGTCCGCGGTAACATGGTTCCTGCCAATCTCCAAAAATCTGTCCTCCAGAATCCCCAGAACATGTATGTTCACTCTCTAACATGTATATATAAGTCCAAGCTAACTATAGTAGGACCCCACAACAAATTGCCCAGCTACGCAACCAGCAGGCCCAGATGATGCACCACCAAATGCAGCGTGAACATTCCGACATGGAAATGAACGGCCATCGCCCTGGATCACCGTCCTCCGTTGAAAACGCCCCATCTCCATCTAAGCGCCAGCGCATCGATGGCCCCCAAGTTAACGGGCCCCAAATGACCCCCAACGGCCGCGCCCAACCACAAGGCATGCCCGGCCAGCAGAACCAACAACAAGCCAACTCCCTTCTCATGCAGCACGGCATCAACCCACGAAATCTTACCGCTGCACAACTCCAGTCCTTCCAGGCCCAAAACCCCGCCGTCCAAGCGAAATCTATCCAGGTCTATAACCAAAACCTTATCCACCACACCCGCTCTGCAATGAACAACCAGGGCATCGCTAATGGCCTGATCAACCCGGGTGTTATGCCTAACCAACCAGACATGATGCAGCCCATGCACGACGCCCAGGGAATGATACCCCAGGAATACTACAGCAACGGCCAGATGGCCGCTCAGATGCGCCAGGGCGGCATGCAGACCCCCGGAGGACAGAATGGTAACCACGCGCTACAGGACTATCAGATGCAACTAATGTTGCTCGAGCAGCAGAACAAGAAACGTCTCTTGATCGCCCGCCAGGAGCAGGACAGCATGGCCCGTGACGGCCAGCCACCACAGCCAGGTCAAGGCGGACCCGGTCAGCCAGGTGCCGGACAGCCCCAGCCGAGCCAGATACACGGCAGCCTCCCGCCAGGCACATCCCCACAGGGCAGCCGCGCGGGAGCTTCGCCTAACCCCAGTGAACAAATGAAGCGCGGCACCCCTAAGATGCCACAAACCGGTCTTCCCAGCTCGCCCAACGTTGGCGATGCAATGCAGCAAGGCCGTGGCTCTCCGGCCTCCATGAACTTTGGCGGTCAAATCCCCCAGGACATGGGTGGCCCTACCTTCTTCAACACCATGAAGAACATGCAGGAAGCCGGTGGTGTTGTCGGACCTAACGGCATGCGCCCACCTAGCTCTAACCCAGCTTACTCCGGCGCACAAATGACACAACCTATGGACGCAATGGCGCGTCAGCAACAAGCACAAGCTCAGGCACAAGCTCAAGCCCATCAAGCTCAAGCTCAGGCCCAGGCTCAAGCCCAAGCACAGGCTGGCGCACGCATGCCAAGTGGTAATTGGCAAACGCAGCCTCCCCAGGCACAGCAGATGATCCCACCACAACAGCAGCAGCAGCAGTCAGGCCAACCGGGACAGGCTGTGGGAACACCACAGGAGCGAAATGCCATGCCTCCTCCCCTGGCACCACCCACGGCTACGGCTCCGAATAACGGACGCCAGTCCCCCCAGCCTGGTAGTGCTGCACCTCCCACACCCCAGCAAAGCGCGAAACCTGCACCGAAGAAGAAGGATACCAAGGATAACAACAGAAAGGTATGTTTCACGTTCTTATACTTACAGCCTTGCTTAATATTAACATATACAGCGCCCTGCAAAGCGCGTTCCAACCACCAACGCACCAACGACAGCCACTTCAGCCTCAGAAACAGAACCTCCACCAACCCCGACGCCCTCTACGCCCATCACCCCCGTTCATCCAAATTCGTTCAACAAGACTGCCCCTACAAACAATACCCAACCGACATCTGCGCCCGCCACACAGGGCCAAGCGGTGGGCCAGCCGCCACCACCACCACAGGCACAGCAGCAACAGCAGCAGCAACAGCAGCAGCCTCAAATGCTGTCCATGCAACCAGGTCAAGGCCAACCGCCTGCTGGTGGACAACAGCAACAGGGACAGGCCCAGGCAGACCCTTCACAAACATTCGGAGATATGAGTTTAGCAGACGTAGGTGCCCTTCAATACGGCATACAGTTGATCAAACAGCTAACACAATTCATAATAGAGCCAAAACTTCAGTCTGGATTTCAGCTCATTAGACAATCCAGATATCCTCGAAAACTTCGACTTCGATACCTTCCTCAATACAGACGACCAGTCAGCGTTCAATTTCGATCCTACAACGCCGTATGTTGATGGTGTCGAGGCTGGTATGGGAGAGAGGATGTAGTTCCTACCCCCCGTCCTACCCCTGTCATCATTGATATGGTGTATGAGTTGTCTTCCTCTTCTTGTTGCTTTCACTACTAATGATGTCTCCCCCGGTCGCATCGTGCTCGCGTATTTCTGTTTCCTGGTTAATGTCCTTTCCTTTCCCTCCGCTCTGCCTCGCTTTTTCTTTACTTTGCTTTACCTCTTCTTGTTTTTGATAATTGGTGTATGCCTCGGTCTCGTTATGTTCCATTGTTTACATTTCTTATTTTTTTTATCTATATCTGGTTCTCTCTTCGTTCCCTTCGTTCACCTCGTCGTGTCTTTCGCCAATAATATCTTGCATTGTTCGCCACGTATACCTCTCGTTTGGCTTCTTGTTTTGATACCTATACCTATCAACTCATTTACTGCTATCCACCTACTTACCTATCCACCTACCCATCTATCTGTGTGTGTGAGGACGAAAGCGACAGGCTGGAACGAGATGCTGGTGTGGAGTAAGGGCCCGGTTGGAGATTCCTTCCTGGCACGTTAACATGAGACGAGGGGGAAACGAAAGGGAGGAAAAGAGTGGAAAAGGGGTGGGTGTTTTCTTTCCGTTTTGTTTTTTGTTTTTTTTCCATTTCGTCCTTCTATCTAAAAACAAAAGCGCAAAAGGAGCTTTTCATAATTCTTTCCCTAACCCCGTTTCTCTACCCCTGGTTCATCGACTACCTTTTGTGATTTCATTCCTGTCACACTCAAACAACGTTACCATTTTCCCTTTTTACCTTTCTTGCTTGCTCGTCTTAAATACCCATTCTGGCTTTAAGCTTGCCTGCTGCTTTGTTCCAATTCTTTTTTTTCCTTTACCCTGTTTACTGGCTGGTTTCCCACTCATACCCAGATCTGCTATATTATTACTATCGGTTCACGTCTGTTATTCCCACCCTCTCTACTACCCCCGTCGAGGGCTGTACTTGCATCCTTGATTTGATAATTGCCCTACCTCGACTAGACTTTGGACAACATGCGTACTTTATATCCTTTCTCCCTTTTCTTTGTCACCCCACTCTTGATTGTCGTTTCCATCTAATGAACTTTCCTACTGTCCATTCGTCTATTCGTCTGGATATCACAACTATGTTGGTTACATTTGCATGCATGCGTTCTGTATTGCATTATACTTCTTATTTTTATTCAATCCATTCAATTACTACCGTTAACCATTAATTTGATTACGTTGTCTCCTTTATATCATCTTCATTTCAACTACTTGTCTTCTTAGTTACCGGGGCAGGTCTATTTCATATGGCACAACTGATACAACTCAACCTAAAACGATGAAAACACCTGGAATACCTACTCACCAGGCCAATACGATAGCATCTAGCCTAAGCCTCTTGGATTGCCTTTCATTGCTTACCTCTCTTTCAATCTATTTTACCTACTCTATCTACTTTACACGGTTCCATTTTCTCCTCCTTATCATCCTTCAAACTGGCTGGTGCTAAATGGATGAAGCTGGAGAATCGGTTCGGCGTGGTCATTCATGTCATGTCTAAGAACGTCTTCCGCTCTACGTCTTTACTCCCAAATGTATGCATTTTTTTTTGTTAGCTTTCCTGTATCCTTAAGGAGTTCCTCTATCAAACGGGATATGAACTCTCGTCCGCCCTTCGAACCGATTTACCCTGTTTACACCAAGTTGATTGTGTGCGTACGTTTGTACGATCTGAGAGCGCAAATTAAATGATCAACTACTCTTTGACTTAACTCTATTCAACTCTGATTTGTTACTCCGTAGTCATTTATTGCAAAGCTGGATATCGTTTTTAGAGGTATTATCATATTCCTGATATCTGAAGGTATGAAAAGCGAGCAGGGCAACACCCATTGAGCTCCCCCGTATGCAATCCATCCATGCCAATCAAATCAATCCACATCTCCCGTTACATTGTACCACCCACCCCTCGAACATATCACAACTTAACCAAGTGTGGAGCTGGGGAAAGCGAGTAAAATGAAACAGCAACAGCAAAAAAAAAAAAAAAAAGAAAGCCCACACATTCACCGATGAAGGCATAAGGGAAAGTAGCTTTTAATCTGGAGAACTATGAAGGCTCAAAAGAGTCGTTTCAACGTCCAGGTCATCAGAGATAAAATCCAGTCTTATCTTGCATAGCTGCATCCTCAATCCAGTTACCGCCCTTTAACCTGTTCACCCCCATCATCACTTCCATGAGAAAGGCAACGGTGTTGCGCCGACAGAGTGCGTCTGCTTGCTGTCTATTCTCACTACTTGCAAAGCCGATGCCCTTGAATTCCTTAAGGCCGACGTCAAGGTAAAAATACGCGTCGATCTCGTGGATCACCGGTTTCTGTCCCATGTTGACGGCCTTTGAACGTAAAATAGGCGGTCTGATAGATAGACGATCGCAGATGCCTAAATATAAAGGATAATATTGAACTATAGTTAGCAATCCGTATGTTTGATAGGAGAAAGGGGAGATGTAGACTGCTTTGCCGTGGACTTGGGAGAAGAAGAGAGTTGGGCAGCAGAGCAGACACGTACTATTTATTTGACGACTCGTATCCTGACAAGCGGCAAGCTTCGACCTGAACTCACTAGCAGTACAGAGCTCAGGTTTGGGGTCAGTGTTCTTTATGCGACACTTGTAAAAAATGGCGCGTGAAAATTCTGCGGCATCGGGGATATCAAAATTGGCTGGAGATTCGTGACTTCCTAGAGAAGGGTCAAAGAACGCAGGGGTTGCAGGTTTAGCTGGAGGTATACAATCTTGAGTGCTCGGCGCGGCCTTGAGCTTGACAGTATTCGCTCGTGTAGTGCGTGCGGCTGGCAGAGGTACACATCTGGCTTTAGGTAGTTGCTGTAGTTTAGATCCGCTGTCAACTTTAGACTGACGCTGAAGTGCTGCATTGTAAAACTTCTGATTTCTCCTACGTCGTTCCGATGGGGTAACATTGCCTCCAGCTGGCACAAATGGGAATTTTGACTAGAACTGACGTTAGCATGCACGTTAAATGTATATACGTATATATATACGGGGATAGAAAAAAAGATAACAATAAGAGTATCTTACCTGACCCTGTTTAGTTACTAAACCTGTGCTCATAGGTGTGGGCGTTTCTGGCTTCAGTAAAAAACCCGAACCTGGATTGGCACTATCCATAAAATCTCCCCCTGAGAGGATTAGAAAGTGTAAGGCCTGATGCGCACAGCCAATTCTGGCCTCCTCGATAGTCGGGTATTGCTTCTCGATACCAAAAAATGTATGTCCAGCCACTTCGACTTCATAGCGATATCCATCGAAGTTTGAATATTGTGTATAAACAGGATGATCAATCCCTTGTTGCTCGGTGTATACTATAAGCAAGAAATTGTACTGTTAGCTAAGTCGGTTGATATTGGGTTGGATAATGCGAGACTTACATTCCAAAGAACATCCCAACGCAGCATATTGGATTGAACCCCTAATCCAGGGGTATTGGGAAGGGCCCAAAGTGGCATTGCCTCCTTCAGTATTTCCAAACCGCCACCACACGCATTTGCCGCAGCAGCTGCCTTGGTATTGTAACCTTGCATTATCGAAATTTCGTGTCCTGTAAATTTAAGCTTGGCCACCCACGTATTATCAAAATATTCACAAAATTCAAGAGACGGAGCAAGATGTTCTTGAACACAGATCACACCGAAGTAAAACACAGCATCGCCAGGCTTCAGGTTGGAAATATCTATATCCCCTAAGACTTTAATTTGAGGTGAAATCGCGTTACTGGCCGGATCAGAGAGTTGGCCGTAGCTGGCAGGTGCTGAAATCCCTTGAAGATCATAAGTCATTTCTCCCGTCTGGATAGGCACGGAATTTGCAAATGAAGGGAAACCTCGAGGGACCATTGCGCCTTGGCCAGGCGAGGGAGTTGCTGCTACACCAGTAAAACCAGGCTGGGATAACTGAGGGTTTGTTACAGTAGGTCGGTGCGAGTATGAAGGGGAAGACGAGTCTGCTGGAGAAGCAAAACTGCATTTGGTAGTTGATGGTGCCGCGGGGCCACATGGCATTGTTGACTGCCCAAACACCATCTGTGGCGCCTGGCTGGTCGTTGGCGTCGACGGCAATTCTGGCTGCTGCGAGGTAGGTAATGCGTGCTTCCTAATGTACTCGAACGCGATCGCGCCAGGATGGGTGGATAAGGGGGCTGCAGTAGATGGAGCGGATGGAGGCGCGGTAGTACACGCAGGTTTCGACAAGCCAGACGATATAGTAGCTGAGAACGGAGTAGGTGCAGTACGAGCTGTATCAGGAGGAGTGATACTAGATACATCACCATCCGAAGACGCGTTCGATTCACTTCGCTTGACCACGTTCGCCTCCATAGCCTCGATGCTCGGAAGAACTTTCGTAGGCAACGGAGCTGACATGGTCAAACTAGGAAAGCCTGTAGTCTCAGATGCTGGTTTAGCAGCCACTGTAGACGCGTTATTTGCTACGGCTGCTGGAGCCGGCGCCGATGCCATGACTGAATCCGCTGCGGGCGGAGCAGAAGTTTTAACCGTCATCGGGTTACGGCGGGAACAGATGAGATCTTCAATTAGATCTTTGAAATCCTTGGGGGTTATTGTATATCTTGAAAGTGGTCGTATCGGCCTCATGGGTTCCGGCCGGGGAGGAACGTTTTCTGGTCGGGTATCTTCACGCGTAGGACGCGGAGCTAACGGGGTGATGTTATCTTCACTGGCGGTTTCACCTGTACTATCAGTGTCACTTATGCTCATACATTCACTGACACTATCGCCTGTACCAGTTTTGGATACCATGGCTGAGTTAGGTGGTGTCTTGGTATGGAAGAAAGAGAGACGCGTTGGGCATTGGATGTTGAGAAGGAAGGGGAGACGAGGACAGGTTGCCAGGACAGCAGAACCGCAACATCAAGCTCATCAAGCTAGTACAAATAAATATTGTACTAGCAAGGACGAGAAGGGATATTCCGACTAAATATTTGGAAGATTGATATGGGTAGAAGTAGTTCAACCTGTCGGGTTGATATAGCCTGCACCGGTATGTTCCTCCAGCCGAGTGACAACGCCATCTTTCCTCGAGTTCATCAGAGATGAAAAGAGAGGAGAGAAATGGAATGAATGACACCATGATACCTCTATCACGCATTCCAGTGTCTGATATTGGATGTTCAAGTGGATAGTCTGCTCGTGGACAATACTTGAAGAGTTTATGATATCGTGAGATATAACAGCAACCGCATTCCCAAGTACTCTGTGATCACATTAGAATAATGACACTGGCTAGAACGTCGTAACCATGTAATCCATCATTCAGTGTATTTATCTATGCTGATGTTGACGTTGACGTTGGAAGAAGCAAAACGCCATTCTCCCTGCTTACATAAGCTATATATATAAAAACACTAACAATGCGCGTACAAAATGAAAATGCTCCCGTAATAGTAACTGGTAATTCATAACGCGAACCATAACGCTGTCCGATGTCATTAGCTCCGGTGTCCTTGATCATGAAACAGCCTACTCCAGCTCGGCTTCCGAAAGAAGGGCGTCAGTCTTAGCTGTTGCGGACAGGAAATCGTCAAACTCTGCCTGCAGCTGCTCATCACGTTTACGACGAGATACCTTCCTCGACGAGGAAGGGGATCCGGCCTCTGTTGCTCCTCGTGAATGAGTTGAGCTTACGGACCTTTTCCTCTTGCTTTCCGTCGAGGTCACCGCGGCCTCTACGGTCAGAGATGCCTTTCGACCCGAACTGTGGGCCGGGGAGGCATCGCCACTACTATTTTCTTTGTCGTCTTCATAGACACTAAGGCTTCCTTCCTTTCGGCTCCTAATATTAGGACTTGGACTAAGAAGGACCGTCTGGGGTTGTGGGGGTGCTTCATTGAGCGAGTTTCTAGACCTGAGGCTGGTACCAGATGTTGGTTTGGTGTCGTCTCCAGGCCGGGCAAGTTCCTTGAGAGCACTGGGCCGGGTCTTGGTAGTGGAGGCCGCTGGTACATCATGTGTCTCTGCTTGCACTGTAATGGATGGTGGAGCCGCCGTCGGAGTGTTCGTAGGAGGACTGGTACCTCCTGCGGCCTTCCTGGGGCTCATGGCCTCGATCAGTTGGTTGTACTGCTCGTCGTCCATTGCGGCCATTCGTGCAGGTTCCCTATTACGAGAAAAGTTAACGCCTGTCGTATTGGAGATTACACGGCTGCTCGAGGAGCTGGACGCAATGTAATCTGGCATCGAGATGTCGTCCAAGGTTGAATGGCGGCGTCTGATGGGCGGCCACATCGGCCAAGTATTCTTCGAAGGGTCGACGAACGGATCCGAAACCGGAGGAGGAGGTGCGATCCAAGGTCCATCCCGTTCCAGCCAAGGGTTGTTGCTATATTGCGGCGGGATAGGGTTAGGCTGCAGTCTATAAGGCATGGCAGGGAACACGGTCCCAAACTGGGCACTCTGGTTGTTGAGTTGTCGTATCTCATGGCGTGTTGGCGAATGGGAATGTGCATCGTCATCCTTTTCGGCATTGTAAAGAGGTCCGACGGAGTGTTTGAGAGTGTGTCGAGGTGCAAATATAGGCTGTTGTTGCTGCTGCCACATTCCCGGATTCGGCCAGGCAATATTCGATGACTCCAGGACCGCTACCCAATAACAGCACATGTCAGTGACGTGACAGGTTACTCAAACTGTGAATCGATTGACTTACGGAGAGGAGCGTGCTGGTAAGAAAAGGCAATGATATCCCTCACTCGCTCGAACGGCGGAGTGCGAAGAGGTCGAGTAAAGCCTTCTGCTATAACAACGCGGATCCTTCCATACATGTCTCCGGCATCCCAATGTGTCTGATGGAGGAGATCTTCATGGAACACTGGAAACCGTAGATTGTCCTGGTTCCCATTCCTATCGAGCTCTGCAAGTAGTTAATATTGCCTCCAACAGCTTAATATAAAGGCCAACTTACGAGAACTGAGGTCTATACCACTCATTAGCATTCCTACCATGTACTTATTGAACGGAAGCTGACTTACCGATAACATGAGGCCAGAGAGCCCGCTGATTGAACAAACTTGCCCTATCGACCCGTCAGCACCAACGTATCTAACTAGAAGATATAAACGTACGAAGCACAGATCCCGTCGATGAATATCCTGACTTCAAACATCACAGCGTCATCCGGCTGCATGAGTCCCTCCATAACTCTAGTCGGACGTGGTCTATCCCAGCTATGAACAGATACTCTGAAGGGAGTATCTCTAGCCAAACTAGCCACAAAGCAAGTCAACACTGGCATCTGGCCTGGACTTCCCTGTATGCTGTTCGCGTTATAGTATGGTCCCGGGTTAAGAACGGTTTGGGCTTGTAGATATGGTGATTCTAGACGGCGAGCTGTTAGTATTTGTAGGCAAGTAAAGGGTGAAAGAACATGCCATTGTCTCTCGTAACGAAGCAATTCGTCTTGAACTCCTGTAGAGGCACTTTTGATCCCTCTGGGAAGAGCAGGACGTCCCAGCTTTCGAACCTCATGGTGGAGGGTATGTAGCGAGGGCGAGACAACGAGGGTCAAGAGGGAGATGAAGACTGTAGACGATATAGCTGTCTGTAAGGATAGAAGACAGCAGAGAAGAAGAGACGTCGAGTCTCGTTCTTCAGGGGAGTTTCCATGTTTTCTGCCTGTAGGCCAGAAGGCGCGGAGTGTGATGTTTTCCTTCCTCACCTCAGGAAAGAATATCCCACTGCTTCTCTCTTCCTCAGTATAGTCTCAGTATCGTCCTCAGTATAGTCTTAGTATAGTATTATTACTATGATCTGGGTCTCGGTCTAGCCGCACGTTAAATAGTTATAGTTTCCCCAGATTCGCATCTCGCCTGGTCCTGCATACGCTCGCCTTCTAGAACGCTTAGCACTCAGGCACAGCTTCAAAGTTGACGTCACTGAAGGAACAGATATAGCATCCTTGTCTCTATAGTGCGACCTTATCTATCTCTAACCGCCGTGTCGGAGCCTTATACCCAGGCCAGTGTGATCGGTATAGCCTTATACGCTTCTTCGGCTAGTGATACCCATGTTATACCATACTATATCCACCGGTCTAGCATCATGATTAAAGATTAAACGGCCCTTGCCAGCCTGATCGCAGACGCAGAAAGATACTAAACAAGAGAAGACGTACAAGTACAGGTACAGGTTACAGTACACGACGGAAAAGAACAACATTAAACGCACGAGCAGGAGCAGGAGCAAGAGTGGAATACTATAGCATGCATGCGAGAACAAAGATACAGATACAGACGCAGACGCAGAAGGCAGACAGGCAGATTTCATCTTTTCATCTCTTTTGCTCGTGGGCTCGTTGGCTGCATCACGCTCACAAGCAGGGGAAGGCAGGGAAGGGGAATGGGAAAGGCAAGGGGGGACAAAAGAAACTATTATAGTAAGGAAAGGGAAAGAAAGGAACGAATGGACGAGGCTAAAGGTACGAGTACAAATGAACGCACACACGCAAATCGAGTATCATCAATCGGTATCAGGTACAGCAGTTGGAGCCGTCGCGCAAAGAGAGAGGACAAAGGAGAACAAATATCATGACGATGTTGTACATGTAATATGACGTGACGGGACGGTGAACGAATCTAGACGATCAAAAAGGAACAGAAGAAGAAGAAAAAAAGGGAGACCACTCGACCGACCGAGCAATAGCTGGACGGGAAGGGGTAAACAAACCGCAATTCTTCCTTCTCGCTTGCAAAGACAAGATGAAGAGAAAGGGGGGAAAGTTACATGTTCAGCTGTTCCTTGTCAGTTTCACTGCACTGGTTGGACGGACGGACGAGACGGAAATAGAATAGAATAGAAAGAAAATAAAATAGAATAAGATATGATAGGCATGGACGTTGGAACGTGGAAACTTTTTAGCAGACAGCCAACCCATACAAGTAAGTAAGTAAGCAAGTATCAGGCAGGCAGGCAAAAAAAGGGCAAGGCAGGGAATCAGGGAAGCAAGGCAGGACAGGGAATTGGGAAGGAAAGGAAATGGGATTGAAACGATGGCTGGGGCATGGAGCGGCGTAAGAGAGGGTAACTAGCATGTCAACTCCATGCTTCTCATAGGCAAGGAAAGGGAAAGGAAGGGAACGGAAGGGGAATGACTTGGGAGACGAATGAAATTCAGTAGCAAAGAAAAAGGAAAAAGGTAAGGGGAAGTTGAATACCGTATGCTCCAGTCTGAGTGAGAAGTGAAGTAAAACAATGCACATCAACGACGTCAGCAGCAGAATAGGATCGGAATAGGATGCGACAGACAAAGGCACGAAGAAAGAAAGGAAAAAAGAAAGCAGCATTCGTTCCAGTTGTACATACGATGCCAAGCACATGACAAGAAAAGGAACAGAACGATAAAAGAAGAAGAACCGCCCTTCAAGAGCAAACGTAAACGCAAACGCAAACGTAAGGAAGTTAAGCCGTGATACCGTTGTCGTTTCGTGGAATCGGAAGAAGTTGAAGTTGGAAGCAAAAAACAACGAAAAAACGAAAGGAGGTCGCATATTTTAACTCCCGCTGTGGCCGTGGTGGTAGATTAAGCTCAACTCTTTTCTCTTTTTACGGAGAGGTTATCTTCACTGGATGAGAAAGGTTAGTTCTCGTCGGCCTAGGAGGGTAGAATAGGTAAGAAAGAGGATGGTAAAAGAGAAAGGGAGAAGAGAGAGAGAGAGAGAGAGAGACATACCTTCATTGGCGCGAAGCCACCGCCATACTGGTGGGCTGGTGGCATGCCCATTGCTGGGTAGATTGGCGGCGGGGGAGCTGGTCGGTAGGGGGTGCCAGCTGGACCAGAGTTGTTCTGCGATCGCCCCCAGCTCAGTCGGACGCGCGAGTTGCCGATGGGGTAGCCCTGCATCTGGTTGATGGCCATCTCAGCGGCGTGGCGCTGGACGAACTGGACGAAGCCGCAGCCCTTGCCTGGCGGGATCTTGACGTAGGTGATTTCGCCGAAGCCCTGGAAGAAGGAGCGGAGCTCGTCCTCGGTCACGTAGCCGGAGAGACCACCGACGAAGACGGTGGTGTTGTTTGGGTCGGTGAACTGGTTCATGGGCTGGGGAGCAGCGCCGTAGTAGCCCATCTGGGGCCCGCCGGGGCCGGGAGGGCCGCCAGCACCGCCCATGGAGGGAGGGTACATGCCGGCTGGGGGGCCGCCGGGGACGCCGCCCATGTGAGCAGGGCCGCCGGGCCCAGCAGGGCCTTTGTTCTTTGGCGTGGCGGTGGAGATGCGCATGGGACGGTTGCCGCAGTAGACGCCCTGCATTTCAGAAAGAGCGCGCTGCTGGTCGGTCTCGTCGGAGAAGCGCACGAAGCCGTAGCCGCGGGAGAGGCCGGTGATGGGGTCGGTCATGATTTTGGCGGACTTGCAGGACGGGAAGCGCGACTGGAAGAGGGAGACGAGCACGTATTCGTTGACTTCGGGGCCGAGGTCGCCGACGAAGATGGAGAACTCGGGTCCACGTTCCTCGCGGCTGACCGGTTAGCATGAGCAGTATAAACACAGACGATGGACGTACCTGCGGTCGGCGAGGCCACCACCGGAGGCCCAGTTGAGCTTGAAGGGACGCTGGGTGTTGGGCATGAGGGTGCCGTTGACCGTGAGCGCCTTGGCGGCTGCGGCGGGAGACGAAAAGTCGACGAAGCAGTACCCAGCGTTGGTTCTATCCTGTTAGCTTGCATTATAAAAGAAGATAGAAGAGACGTACCCAGAGAACTTGTCGCGAATCATCTTGACGTTGACCTGCTCGCCCATCTGGTACCAGACGTTGCGGACAAAATTTTCATCGATCCACGGCTCGAGCTCGCCCATCCTAGCCGAGTTAGCGTCGCATAGAGTATATATGGAGAGAGAGCGCACCAGAGGGTCGTCTTGCCGTCGGGCTGCTGGCTGCCAGGCGAGCCGGACGGGTCACCGGCGGCGGCCTGGAACTGGGCAGCGTTTGCGTCGGTTCCGGTCATGGAGGCGTCGCCGGCGGGAGCAGCGGCCGGGTTAGCAGCGCCGTCGGGGGCGGGATGCTGGTTCTGAAAGGAATCGAAGGGTTGGAAGGACATCGCGGAGGCTGTTGTCGTTAGTCTGGTAGAAGGACAGTAGAGTGGACGCGGTAGAGATGCGCCGACGGACCGTAAAGCGAACAGGAACTCCAAGGCGTTGCGACTGAATCTCGTATCTCGTAGACCGCGTCTGCGCTGGTTAGTCGATGTGGAGAGAAGTTGATAAGAAGTGATGTGATGAGGAAGAAGAAGAGAAGGTGAAGAGAGACGTGAAGAGGACGTGAAGACGTGAAGGGAAGAGGACGGGGACAGACAGACCAGGACGCACAAACAGACAAGAGACAAGAACAAGAAGAAGAAGCGAGAAGAGGAAGAGGAAGAGAAGAAGGAAGAGAAGAGGCGATGGATGAAGGTGGTGGGAGGGGGAGGGGAGGAAGAGAAAAGGAGGGAGAAAAGCAGGCGAGTGCCAAGCAGCTAACAGGACGTAGATAGAGAAGAGAACAGGAAGAGGATGGGAAGAGAGTATATGAAGACAGGATAGGGATAGGAAGAAGAGAAGACGTACACTCCTACAGACAGAAAGCAGAGAGACGAAGAAGAAGACACTGTTACTGTTACTCTCTACTGTTACTATCCCACTTCCCTTCTCTTCCACTTCCACTTCTCTTCACTAGCGAGTTTATGCAAGTCATCTTCTAGCCTCTTCTAGACCGCACATACAGATATATATATATATATAGATAGATGGATATACTATTAAGAAGATATAGATATAGATAGATATAGATATAGAAGAGAGATATTAAGAAGATATGGCATCACCAAGCAACTGGACTGTCCGCTCATACACCCGCGCCGCCTCCATCTCCCACCGTCCAACATCCGCCTCGACATCTTCATCATCATCTTCATCCCCATCATCTTCGTCCTCGGCAAGCTGGTCTCGCACGGCAAAGACAGTCACCCGCGTCCCCTCGACCAGCGACCGGATCCTCACCTTCTCCGTGGCGCTGACATGGCCTTCGACCAGCGTGCGCCCGCTCAGCACGTTGACACCCTGCAGCAGCGAGGCGAAGACGGCGTCCATCTTGGCCAGCAGGGCAAAGGTACGGCGGGCCTGCCATGGATACGCGGGCAGGAAGTCATTCACCACGCCTGCTATGCTGATCATATACGGTACTTGTATAGACGCTACTCTATTAACATACACACACATAGATATAGATGTAGGGGGACGCACGAGTGGCGGAGACCCAGAGGACGTCGAGGACGCGGTCGACGTCGTGCGCGACCTCGGCGAAGGACTCGTAGCCAGGCACATCCTCCTCCTCAGAGTAGGACTTGCTGAACTTCTTTGCGTGGCGGCGGTTGATGCGCAGGAGGGCTGCGTCGATGTAGTTGAGCACCGTCGTCTCCTTGGTCGAGCCGGGGCGGAGAGGGTGCTCGCGCTGGGTCGGCAGGGTTGACGATGACGACGGTGTAGGAGGGATAGAGGGCGCGGGGGACGGGAGGAAGCCTCCGCTCATGTCTACTATATATATACTGTTACTGTGTGTATTCTGTAGGTGAAGAGAAGATGAAGATGAGATGATGCAATGATGACTAAGTTTATGTATGATATAGAGGATGGCTGATATAGATCATGACTCGGGCTGGACAGTTAGCAGTGTAGATATAGAAGATATGGATAGACATACCAGGACCCTCCCACGGCGCTTCTTCATCTCCTCCACGCGCCTCTTGTCCTCTTCAAACTTCCTGAGCAGCTCCCCCTGCCTCTCCTTGCGCTTCTCCCTCATCTGGAACCGATAGAAGTCGCCCAGCCCCTTGTTCTTCTCCCGCTGCCTCTCCGCCAGCGCCCGCAGTTCTTCCTCCTTGCTCTCGTCCCCGCTCCGTTTGGGGTTCCGAGTGACGGTGATGAAGCCATCTTCGTCCGGCATCTGCGTCTGTCTAGCTGCTTCTGCCGCCTGCGCTTCCTCCAGCCGAGTGAAGACGGTCATGTACTCGTTGACGGAACGCAGTAGGTCAGACCGGCTTGGATACCGATGGTTGAGGTGGTTGGTATACCGTGCCGTGCCTAGTGATGGTACTTTATGATCTATCCCTTCGCCCCATGTTATTGTAGAAGACGGTCTTGATGCCCGCTTGATCGCCTTTAGACTTGCTTCCATCGCAGGACGGTCGACGAAGGTGATCACCGCGTGAGAGCCGCTGGGTCGTAGCTCTCTGTCCCATGCTGGCGGTAGGTGGATGGTCTCCAGCGTCCTCTCGCACTCCTCGGCCGTCTCTCGTTTCCGTTTCTTGCCCTTGCCTACTTCCTTAGCTTGAGTTGGTGTCGCGCCGTAGTGGAAGTCGACTCGCTCGACGCGGCCGGAGGCGAGTTGGGCGCCGAACAGGTGGCGGAAGTGTGTCTCTGTAGAGGTCGTGGGGATGTTGACCACGAAGAGCGATCGGGGGGCGTCTGCGTCGGGTATACGGGGGGTATGAGGCTGTATGTAGAAGTAGTGCGTTGCTGCTTCAAAGGATGGTGTAGGTGGTAGCTGTACCGGGAGTACGCTGTAGCCAGCAATGCTAGATACTGGTTTCGACGGCATGGCTTCTATTTGTTATCTGTATTTGCTCGTGGTTGGTCTTTCGCTTGGATTTTTTTGATATCGACGCTTGACACTTGGCAATTTTACGCGACCAACTTCGGTTAGACTTTCTATTTATTCCTCAACTATCAACTTCACATCACTACGATACATGATATGAACTTGAGATATGCACATCTTCTTTCCTACACCTTCTCGGGGTCGTTGATGCCGCCGTTGGTGATGACATAGGTGGCCTCGCGCTCAGGACAGTCTACTTGATATCAGCAACAAGTTTCTCCTCGTATGGATGATACCCACCTGGTGAATCCTGGATCTTTGCAACTCGTTCGTCCCCCCTGCCTTTGCGCAGTAATACCCGGGTCGTCGAGGCGTGGGCAAGGATATGTCCGCCCACTGGCTTGCGACCGTCAGCACCGGCAAACAGGGCACTCGCGCCTGGATCACTCTGCACTTGATTCGTCTGATGCCATGCAGTTAGGACGTTGCAACGGTCAGGTATAGTTAGCGGAGAGTGCTTACCATCAGCACACAAACGTTGAACTCTATACATAGAGTTAGCACGTTTCGGCAGACGTATCTATCGTGTTGTGACGTACCTTCTGCCATGTGAGCCAGCTTCATGAGAAACTGGTTCAGCTTCTGCTGCCGATCCGCAAGCTCTCCACGGCCGCAGTAATCCACGCGGAAACAGTTCATGATACTATCGATGATAAGCAGACGGTACTCTCCGCTTGCAAACTCCTTTGCCAGCGTGTTGAGCAGCTCGAGCTGGTGCTCACTGTTCAATGCGCGAGCATATGCGATATTCTCCAGAGTAGAGTCTGGGTCAACGCCGAACCTTTCTGCAATCTGTGCAATTCGTTCAGGACGAAAGGTGCCCTCGGTGTCGATGTAGGCCGCTTTCCCTTCGGCACCGCCCATGTCCTTGGGTAGTTGGGCGATCACGGACATCGTATGCGAGAGTTGCGTTTTACCACAACGGAACTCGCCGTATACCTCGCTGATGCTCATGCTCTGAAATCCTCTATTCAAGTGTTTAGCTACTACTCTTCCATTCTTGTGACTGTCCATGTCAGGAAATACGCACCCGCCAAGGATTGAATCAAACTGCTTACTACCCGTTGATACCTTCACTACCCTCTTGCGTTGATGCCCAAGCTCCATGGCAGTTATGAAACCCGAAGCAGAAAGCTGGCATTGTTAGTACGAATCTAAACGCAGTCAGTGGATGAATTACACACCTGGCATTTCTGAATTGCTTCTTTGATCTTCTCAACCTTTACTTCGCTGAAGCCCTTGATTTTCAGTAAGGTCTTGCGAGTGGCTCCGTGGACAGACTAGATACTCCATAACCTGTATTTAGTTTGGAAATATATTACAGCTGAAAAGGCCGAGGAATTGTACCGCCACGGTATAGAAGCCATTGATCTTCAGCTTTGTGATGTCGGCGGCCCCAACGCCTTGATAAATCATCGTGTTAGCCAGGCTCAAACCACGGTTGGTCAGGGCATATCCGTACCATGAGCTTGAATGCCGTCGATATCAACGATGAAGTCCTATGACGAGAGTACGAGTCTAGCGATTAGCGATATCTGCCAACGGGGGACGCGGAAAAGTCATGATGCTACTCACATCCTCGTCAGCGTTATCACTGGTTGTCGATGCTGGCATCTTGCTTGCTATAGACACGTTTGACAAGATTGATATCCTCGTGGAAGCTGTTTGTCTCTGGTAAGAAGAAGAAGCTACTCTCTACAGGCAGAGGTGAAAGTCTTTCCAGAAGGGGAAAAGACGCGACCCCTCCATCACCGCCCTCCCGATCGGGTAATCTGGACCTCGACCCTTAAATACGCTATACACTATGAATATGAAGAAGGATATGATACGATTAAAGGCAATGCTTCAATTGTTAGTCTGCAGTTGACTGAGTAGCAAAACGAAGTTCCCATCCGGCAACGAGTCCGGGATAGATAGTATACATTCGTGGCAGAAAAGAACATGGCATGGCAGATAGGAGAAGAAAGGGAAAACTTCCAATATATGACCGGGAATACCGCGATAAGATGATGAGAATACGGAGATGAGAGTAGATGTGAGATGGGAGATGGGAAAAATGAGAAAGAAAATGAAATGAATGAGCTAGCCGCGCCAGGTAACCTTTTTGTTTGCTTTTCCAAAATGTGAAGAATCTCAGCTCAACCACCCAGCAACCTTCAGAACGTCCTCCAAGCCTAACTGACACTCAGCTTCGCACGCCCTTCTTTGCTTGCTGACCTCTCTCGCCGCCTTTTTCTGTTTCTGGTCTGGCCCGGCCCTTTGTAATTGCCCGCTTCCGCTCCCGCCATCCTTCACAAAGGAGCGTACTCCTTTTCCAAGCCCATTCTTCTCCTGCCCAATAGCATGAAACATGAAACCGCGAATACCTTGACAGACAAATCGACGCCGTTCATTAAGGGGGGGTGTTTTTTTTTCCTGGTGAGCATGCTGGATGATATGGTAAATCCAAGTCGTAGAATCTAGGACGTCGTGAAACTTTTGCTCGGTCGTATACATGATAGAAAGGAAACGAGTGGAATAAAAATGAAGGGAAAAATAAGATGCTCGCCCTGCATCACGTTGATGCTTATAGTAATTGCAAAGTGTAATCCAAATGCAAAAAAGGATGAAATAATAATAAAAAAAGGGAAAAGGAGTAGGAATAGGTTGAAGGGTAGGAAATAATTAGACGAGGAATGATATAACCAAAACGTAAGACATATAAGGAAGTTGATGGAGAGACTTCCCGAGTCAGCTCAACTTGGTAGTGTGCCGCAGTGTGCCGCAGTGTGCCTTAGACAACAGTCGCGGCAGGGCCTGCTCCGGTTGCGACAGGTGGAGCTTCCGTGGGGGTTTCCGTAGGTGGGTTAACTGCTGCGGCAGTTTCAGCGCTAGCAGGTTGCGCCTTCGTATCCGCGTTATTGGTAGGACAATCGCGGGAGATGTGGCCAGCCTGAGAGCACTTGTAACAGACCTTTCCGACAGAACTCAACGGTCCGCCGTTGGGGGCAGTGCAGTCGCGGGAGATATGGCCCTGTTATGGCACCCAGTTAGACAAATGAAAATGCCATATGTAAAAGGGGAATGTTATTGAGATCCAGACGTACCAATTTTCCGCAGGCGTAGCACTTCATAGCCTGGGCTTGGCAATCTCGTGCGAAATGGTTCGGGCCACCGCATTTGTAGCATGTCGCTGCTCTGGGATATCCCGCGGGGCCTCCACGGAAACCGGCATTAAACCCTCCACGAGGCGGCCCTGCATTTCGGGGGCCTGGGGGAGTTTGCTGCATACCGCCGGATGGACAATTTCGCTAATGCGGGGAAGAGAAAGTCGTTTAGAACAGTTTCTATACACATATACGGATTCATAACTTACAGCCAAATGTCCGGGGAGGTTGCAGTTATAGCAACGGGCGTTAGAGGCGCCACCGCTCAAGCGGAGGGTAGGACAGTCAGCCTGGACATGACCTAGACCCTGGCAATGGTAGCATTGTTTCGCTACAGCGTGTTAGGCGCTGGTCTGGTATATATTGTATATCGCTAGAGTACTTAATGCTTACTTTCAGTCGTTCGGGGTCGCGGGCAACCGTTGGACTCGTGTCCTAGAGACACCTTGTCAGATCAAAATTAAATGACGAGGAGCCACAGAGGTTCTGAACCAACCGGGTTGCTTGCCTACGGGGAGAGATTTGACCAATTAGCCACATGGGGATGCACGCAGGAATGGTGGGTGTATTTAACCGCACGAAACTCACAGTTGTAGCAAAGTCGCTCGGAGGAAGAGCAAACCTCTATCGATTGCCGAATTAATTATGCGTACTTCTTTTTTTTTTTTCTTGTAGAAAAAGCTGGTTTGATTTAAGCGGTGGACGAACCAGCGTAGTGCCCAATATTGCCACATTTGTAGCATGCACGTCGAGACAACAACATCCTATAAGCACAACCCGTTAGAGCTCCGGAAAAGGCTAGGGTTCAAGTCTTGGGACGCAGAAGTCGATTGTAATTTATACAGTGGAACAGGCTGTTGGCTGTTGTAGCTAGAGGTAGGGGTAGATGCAAGGTTGGTTGGGCGTGAAGAACGATAGGCCTGTTGCGAAACCGCGAGAGCCCATGGAGAATTGTTGTATCTGGAAACTTGGAAGCGCACTCACTTTCCAGAAACTAGTAATAATAGACCCTAGGGAATCCGTATTCACCTGCACACGTCCTAGAGAATCTTGTATCGACAATATAAACAGTCAGACCATTTGTCCATGGAGCAAAATCCTGCAAAACTGCCAGACCGCAAAGGCCGCCGACCGACCCCCCGAGCTTGGACTAAAAAGAAACAACCAAGAATTCAAGACAGGAAAAGGTTCAAGGATGCTCACAGCTCGTCTCTTATTCCTGCCCAAGATCCTGACACACGCTCCTCAGCTCTTCTTCGTCTGCTGCTTCAAACCCGCCGGACCACAATTGATATACCCGTCTTTGTTCTCGAGAGCGTTTGCGTTCCAGTTTCGCCAAAAGGGCAAGGGGAGAAAAGAAGCAAAAGGCGAAGAACTTGGGCAAAGGTCGTCACGCCTTGCCTCATCGGGTTAGTGTGTATAAAGCTTGGCATAGGTCATGTGATGTGACTTTCTTACGTCATGCTCTACTGATGATACTGATAGACGATACTAGATGGATATATGTATGTGTGTGTTATACGGAATATGTGTGTAGGTATATTCTTGTCTCTAAGATGAGTGTACTTTTAGACGGATCCGTCAGGACAGGTAAGTAGACATGAAGTATGGTCAGTGTGCTATGCCTTCTTCTCCTCAATCTCAATCAGGGCTGGGGCGTTGACGGTACGGCCCTTCAGGAACTCGAGACCCTCACCTCCCTAGTATCCAGTTAGCTCGGCACGCGGATAAAAGTGAGAATAGTAACTTACGTAGCTGATGGAAGGAGACACCTCGACGCCGACAGCACCGGCCTCCTTGCTGACGATACCTCCAGCGGCCTCGATCCAGCGGAGACCCTGCTGCATGATATCCTGCTTGCTGGTGTCTGGGTTATCGTCCTTGGTGCCCCTGGCGTTCTTGAGAGGGGAGAATTCCTCCTCTCGCTTCACCTCAATGGCAGCAAACTTCTCAAGTGGGGTGAGGGGGAAGACGTCGAAGACGAACTGTTCAAGCTTGATCCCGTTGGGAGATTCTGGCTTGACGGTGGCGCCGGTCTTGGTGTCGAAGAAGGGAATCTTCTTGCGGGCGATGTGGTGTGGTAGGTCGGAGGCCCAGCTTTCGATCGACTCGAAGAAGCTGAAGGAGTAGTAGTGGTTGACGATGTTGGCGGCTCTGAACTTGAGGACGCCAGCTTGTTTGGGGTCGACGGCGTTGGCGGTGTCTTGGTCAATCTCAGAGTATTCGACGACGCCTGGCTTTCCGCCATTGAGGACGATGAGACCAACGGACTCGGTAGCGTTACGCTTTCGTACAACCTTGGTGGCAATGTCGACTTTCTTGGAGGCAGCAAAGCCGATGAAGGTAGGATCAGCCACCTTGACGAGGCAGTTGTCTACACAGTAGGCGTGGATGTGCTCGATTCCGCGCTTCTTCATGTCATCTCGGACACCGGAGGTGATGAGAGCTTGGTAGATGCCTCCATTTCCATCGGGGGCAACGGCAACCTATATCGTACAAGTAAGCATGTGGTTTAACCCTTTGGCTATATCCGTAGACATACCTTTGAAGCACTCTCAAGCAAGATCTCGCCGTCATTGGAGATACAAGGCAGAACTCCTTGGTTGAAGATGGTCACATTCTCCTTGGCGAGGCCGAAGAAGTTGTTGTCTGTGAAGAACTTCTCTGTTGCTTGTCTGGTCGGTCCACTGGTCATGGTGTACCATGGAACCACGACTTTCTTGTTGCCAGACACATCCGTAGCCAACGACTGCAGCTTTGCAATTCGCTCAGCCTGTATCTGGAACAACGACTTCTTACTTGGAAGACCGATGTCGAAGCATCCCTTGGGGTCAGAGCTACCCAGTCTGGTACCCTGGCCACCAGCCATGAGCACGACGGCAACCTTGTTCTCAGCGATGAGCTTCAACCCCTCATCGTACCATCTCCTCAGGTCATCTGGGTTAGAGTCGAGTATCGACGCAGTAGCGTTCTCTGGAAGGGGCTCAAGGGACTTGGGGGTGTCGGTCTTCAACGCAGCGGCGGCATCAGCATTGGCACGCTTGACGAGCTTGTTGATGTGTTCGGGGTCGAAGGTAGAGAGCTGGTGGAAGAGCTGGGCCTGATCGTTGGAGCTCAGAGTGTCGAAGCGAGCAAAGACCTGTCCTTGGTTTGCCTGTTCGTACTTCTTCTTGAGCTCTGCGACCTCTTCAGCTGATGGCTGGCGGAGCGGGGTGTCCTGGACTCCCATGCCCGATATCTTGCCAATTAGGTTGGAGACGGTATCTCGCACGGCGGCAGCCATTGTGATATGTGTAGAATGCGTAGATGTGTATATCCGGGTGTCTGGTCTTAAGAGAGTTACTATCGATGGTGGGATGACGAGGGGGCCAGGCTGGTATATGTACCGCTATGATGTCTTAGATGCCAGAGACTAAGTGGGCGTCGACGTCCAGAGCTACTTCTTACCCGCTATGAGCATCCACAGCTTCGTTTGCAGGCTGTGTCTGATCCTCCGTAGAAGATTGGTAGATGGAGATAGCCCCCCTTGCGAAGCTCACTTCCACCCCCCGCCATAAAGGTAAGTATCTTTCTTGCAGGTGGGCACACGTGATATGCCACCCATACGTGGCAGCGCATTCTCCCTGGATACATTTGATTCTAGAGCGAGAGAGCTACAGGAGTGCTCGTCTACTGCATCTGACACGTCAGGAGCCAGGCCTTTAGTTGCAAAGCAAGGGTGACTCAAATTCAAGTGCAGGCTAAGCGCAATCCCAGTAGAGAAAGTTAATAATACAGATATATTTCAAAATGGCAGCTCTGTGTCGATGCTCTTCACCGCCGCCTCTGTGAACGGTGGTGAGTCCGTTCGTCGTATCTGGGGCGAGGACTCCTGCGTCTCTCATGTCTCCCTTCCCTGTCATACCCATCATGTCGCCTAGGAGGTGATCTATCACGAATCTTACCCCGCGGAGGGCTTCGACTTCGACTTCGACTTCGACTCCGACTTCGAGAGCGATCCCTTCGGCGAGGCTCGGACGAGCTTGGCCCTTTATTGCGTATATCGTCCTTGTCAAAGACCATTCCGTACTTGCTTCGACGGTCTCCCGTGTCTGCTGCACGATACTGACGTCGCTTCTCCAAGGTAGATATACCTCCAAACCCGCCCCTCTGACCTGATCTTTTCGCATTCGTGGCTGTTCTCCATGTGTCTGATAATTTCGACACACTCTGTGAAAAGTCCACGTGAATGCGGTGGTCGTCAATTAAGACTCCCTGCATCTTAAAGTAGGCCTGCTCGCAGTCTTTTTGATTTTCAAACTCGATGAATGCATATTGTAGGCTGTCGCCCGTTTTCTTATCTCGTATTACCTCGCATGACAGAATTTTGCCAAAACGGCTGAATATAAGATTTAAATCGTCGTCTAAACATTGGGGAGTTAGTAAATGGACGACTGATAATGGGAGGGGTTTGTTCGAGATAGATACCTTGTGTGACGGGGTTGAGTTTGCAAACAAATAGCACGTTTTCCGGTGGCTTTACTTCTGCGAAAGGAAGGTCCCCAACCATTTCAAGAGTCAAAGCTTGTGCCTGCGCCTCGCGTTCTCGTCGCATCTTTTCCAACGCTTCTTCATCTATCTCTTGGTCTAAATCTTCATCGTCCGCAATTATGACAGTAGCTAGCTGGGCCTTGGAAGGGAGAGGGCTTTCTGGGGGTTCTTGCAGACCCGGTGGGTCATCGTAAGGGTCATCCAGCACAACTGTATGTCGAATACGGATGTCTTTCAGCGGTCGTCCCTTGTCGTCAATAAAAGCCGTGTTGACCTTTTCGAGGACATCGAACCCCTCGACCACCTTCCCGAATATCACCGCCCTGTCGTTTAAATAGTCAAGGTTGTCACCGAGCGTTATGATAAACTGGCTCCCTGCCAACCGTTCATCTGGATTGCTCGGAGATCGAAGTGTCACCATGCTCACGGTTCCGAGCTCGGAATGCTTTAATTTGGGGGGGAATCCTATCGAGTAGTACTTCTGCGATGGTCCGTTGAGGATCCCCCATATTGAGCTCCCGCCATCGCTCTCCGACGAATCAGGGCCGATCGGGTCGCCCGTCTGAAGGGAGAAGCCTTTTTGGACGCTATGGACAGGCGAGAAATTGTAGTACTTGATTTTGCATAGCTTCAGGAAGCTAAGCTAAGACTCTTAGTTTCCAATTCTCAGCTATTTTGGTATCCAACGAGGATGGGAACGGAGAACTTACTTTTCACATGCCTTCGGAGAGGACTCGGTCAACAGGTCGATGACGATATCTCCCAGAGAGGTTTCGAGGAGAACACTCATACTGAATCGAGGTGCTTGCCCGTCTATCGCAAACCAACGCGGCTTTACCTACTTTGCTGTAAGAAAGCGAGATCGCGAAGGTTGCTTCGACCAATTACGTAATTTCTGCAGCGATCTCGGAATTATATTAATGCGATCCCGTGATATGCTTTTATTTTTTTAATATACGCCGCTTCAGGGGTTCATCCTACATACGGAGTACACCAACCGGGCTGAGAAGCAATATGCCTTCCAACCGGATGCTAGGGCGTCTCCGTTTGAACAGCCATGAACGCAGCCACTCCCGCAGTCTCTGTCTGATCGTCGTCCAGCGATTCCAGCCTGCTGCTTCGCCAGATTATTCTATTTCTAACTGCCTGACAAAGCCTGGTGTAAATTATCTGTGGATGTATTCGCCATGACTGTTGGTCCTCTGCCGTGCAGGAAGAAACAATGTTTAGTTTCACGCCGAAGCGCTGCCACACCTTCTCGGTGAAACCATACACGTGAATCGTGGCCTTGGGGGCTCTATGGCTGCGGGTATCGTAATTTTACCCTTGTCTCGCTTCATTGAACATGCTAACTTGCACAACCAGCGGAACCCTTATATCCTGTGTCCCAATCAACTATTTGTGGGATAGCAGCCAAATAATCTCTCCCTCCCGGGGTTGGACAACCTACATGACTCGCATGCAGGTTTCTTCCTTGATGTACATATACGGGGATGGGATTCGTCACGGAGTCAAATGGGACAGGGCTTCATGCACGATACAGGATGCAAGATATGCAGACATCATACAGATGCCTTATTCCGTTTCTGTGAGTAGCCTGTGGCGTACTAGGCGGGGCATGGCCTTTGACACATCTCTACAATTTTCTAGAAGATTAGAATTATGACTGACATGCAACCTTAGCTGGGCCCTACACATGGTGGCTTCCAAAAAAGCAGCCCACTTGAATCACTGCCATTTTCATTCGAGCGCGGGCCTCCTTTGGAAGGGTTTGGGTTGAACCCGCTTCATTCGTGGGCCATGTGGACTCAACTTAGGGTTACAGTGTGCTATCAACGTATCGGGGTACGAGCTGCTTGTGAACCCTTCTCCACATCCTGTACACGTCCAAGGAAAGCATCTACCCTTTTCTAGAAGCTCTTGTTGGACTTAGGCCCTTACATATCTCCGTCCTACCTGCTAGAGCTGGATGCCGGAGAGGGCGTATACTCTCCCGTTCAGCGGGGTGACAATGGTAGCCCATTCCAAAGCGTCCGACCCCAGAGCACATACGTCGGTTTGTTGGATAACAGATACAGCCCTGTGATGGCAACGGCCGCCGACGTGACGCTATTCCCTAAATCATGGCTGAACATCAACCCCAACGACCCTGAAACGGCTAAAATGGCTCACTAGCAAGGCTGAGAAGCGTCTATACGAGATCTGGTTTGTCTACCCCGTATAGTATGGAAGGGGACTATCAAATTTGATTGGAGATGATGATAATTTATCAGAGGGGAACGGCAATCGAACAGAATAATAAACGCCACGCATCCATTTAAGGGTTGACAAGGAGTACTTGTCACCCTTTTACGCGAAAATCCGAGGATGTTTGCTTGCATCACGAATGTTGACGCCGCGCTGTACCTGGCAGCCGGCCAATCAGAAAAAGGGTCATGCAGCTAGCAAACATCCCTCACCCAAGTCCCAAACCACTTCATCTTAGTTTCTAAGAGACCCATACATATATCTCTCGATGGCAAACGCCCTGGCCGGTTGCTTGCTCAAACCACATCGTCCCTTTTCAGACGAGAGGAGCTCATATGCATTCTTTTTCTCCTTTGTTTGTCGTTCGACTTTCAAGGGCAAAATGAGCTCCTTAGTATCCCTGCCTACAGTACGTAAGGGGGTACATAAGATAGCATCTCCCCGAGCGAAGTTCCAAAACTTCCTCTATATCTTTTTTTCTATATGTATACCATGGTTATTTTTCAGCTATGCTATATACAAAATCGTTTTTTCCTTCGGTACTTAGAAGGTAATTTGACAACGTGTGACATCTCTCTGTGACACACCATCCCACACTGCCTTTATTTTTCAATCATCAAGTTCTTAACGGATTCCTGCGCACACGTTACTTCATATCCACTGAGACCCTGCAGCTTAGTACAACCGGGCACCCACAGTGTTTTGGTGGAACATAATAAAGAAGTCAGGCACTATCAAACCGACATACTACTTCAACTCGTTAGTTGAATTACAAAGTTTCAAAACAATTTCTGGAGCGCTAGGCAAACTTCGGTAAGCCAACTTTACTGTCTATCAAGAGGTTCTGGAACAAGGGTGTCTGGCCAAGTACATCACCACGACTATCAAGAGCACACGGCGTGCTGCCTTTGCTTTAAAACACACTTGCTCCCTGGACTTCTTGGATGTATGAATGGCTCCAGAATAGCCAGCATACCCTCGCCTTCACCAACTTCACTCTTTTCCTTTCAATCACTACCATAAATTTTGACACTATTAGACCCTGCCTATCCTTACTTGAGAACAACTTTACTTGCCACATCCAGTGGAATGTTACACATGCCGAGCGTTCACTGATTTATACAAGCATTCCTCTACAGCATTGATAGCTCTAGATATTGCAGGAGGATGGACAGCCCATATTACGACCACGAAGAAGACACCAAGGATTTGCGGCAAACACATCCAATCGCCGGCCAGGCTATGCAGCTTAAGAGAGAAGAGAGCGAAGATACCAAGGAGGCATGCCTTGCCCAAATCCGTTCAGGCGCGGAGTGCGAATCAAAGACGAACGGGCCCAGCCAAAGGCGCCGTACCCAAGTTGCTGTATGATACATTTCCTTTCTTATCACATATATAGACAGGAACTGACTGGCCACTATAGTGCGCAAGATGCCGCAGGAGAAAGATCAAGTGCAGCGGCGATCTCGGAAATGGCGAAGCATGCTCGAACTGTAAAAGTTCCGGGACAACTAATTGCATATTTTTAAGAGTTGGTCTATCCATCAGGCTGCGTGATCTTGTACCTACCATGCACGAGAACATGATTTTGACTCGCATGCAGGTCAACTCTTCACTACTCCAGACGAAGGGGAGCTACTCTCCATGGACATATCAATACTCAGGTTCAGCATCACCGGGGACTTGCGGACAGCAACAGGCAGCATATGACGCTCATCTCCTCAGGGCAAACTCTCTATCGATACACGCTGGGCCGCCCAGGTTGCCAGGGTACTCAGTAGCTCAGTCCGGGGTCGAGTATGGAACTACTTCAGAGTCCATACTCCCCAACAGATCATATTATGCCCCGAACTATGCCCTTGGGTATGATGAAGAGTCAGTGTACAATGTTCCTATCTCATCCTACGTGCTGCCGAGCTCTACCAGCGCCGGGGCCAGTCATCTCTGTGGGACTTCTCCTCCAACGAGAAGCTGGCGATTGCCAACCACGCTAGATCCTGCCAATGGAGGTGTATATCCTGACCCTGACGGAAGCGGCTCACTATCGCCGAGTTTTCCATTTCTCGGACGGTCGTCTCAAAAATATACGTCCAGTGATACAGTTACGCCCTTCTCGGCCATGAGCTCACTGTCTTCGGGGCAAGATAGAACATTGCCTAATCCGACCACTGGTCGAAATAATGCTGCTCTCGCGTCTTCTGCAGAAGGTGGTAGTGGCACCGGTCCAACAACTCTGTGCGCAAGCATTACCTCTGCATACAAGCAGGCATACCAGTTGGCGGTAGACAATGATGGCGAGCATTGCACGCGTCCAATACCCGGCACCTATTCCACTTCAGCTCTACCAAGCAGCACCAAATCTTCCTCAGGCTCCCCAGATTATGGTTTCGGGTACATTCCACTATCTGGCTGCCTTCAAACATGCGCTTCCTCTGCCCCTTTCCTGGTTACTGTGCCAGCTGATTCTCCTCTCGATGCCCATCAGAATTCAGGCGACCGGCGGGCCAATAAAAGGCCAACAAAGAGCAAAAGTCCCACAGATACATGTGTGTCGGAATATGGCCATTCCACAAGCCGCAGCAGCCACCGCCTGGGGTCATCTAGGCCATCAGGGGGTATGCTGGTCAGTGGTGAGGTGTATGAAAGACCGCAGTATACGAAGCCAGCACGAAACCCTTACGCAGGGGAGCAAGTCACTGTCGCTCCTCATCTGTCGGCGGGTACCTCAAGCTGTTACTAAGTTGGTGGCCACGCTGGTAGCACTTGTTTGACCATGACCTGTTCCTCGTAACAACCTGTATACATCATACGCTCCACCCTTGTCCTCTCGATGCCCGTAAGGGCTATTGCGCTCTACCCCCGGAACTCCTTTGTGTTCCTACTTTTGATTTGCTTTCCTTATTCCTTGTGTCTTGTGCTCCGTGGGAAAAAAAGACCCTAAACAAAGGCCGCCTCCTGCACTCAACCCCATAGCAATATGTTCTGGGGGAGGTGGTTGCGGGTATATTGTTTGATGGTGGTGCGGTCCTCGCCTTGTTCTCTACAGAGCAGGCGTTCCCACCATCTATTCCCCCGTTATTTTATATCTACCATTTTTTTTTTCTTCCCAATTATATCTGTTTTACATCTATTATCGCATCTACGCCATGCGTCGGAGCTTCTTTTCGGGGACCTGGATGGGATAGGAGGCGACGGCGACGGTTAAGGTGTATGTCATGTTTTTGTATTAATGAAACGATTCATTTTTTTTTCTTCTCCAAGCTGTCTGGTACTGGTCAAAATGGATACATGAAGAGTTTCTGATGGTAATTCCCTGATTGCCCACTCGAATAGATGATTCGAATAAAAAAGAGATTTGCATCACATGTTCGGCCAGGAGAAACAGAGATGAGTTCCAAAGGGAAGAAAGGGAAACGTTTTTGAATTTAATTATCCATCTGGTGACGCCACACAAGTAAGCCCACCCGTTGGTTTTGATTCATAGCTAGCGTACACCATTGATTGTCCTGAGACACGTAATGTAGAGCAACTCTGTAGAAGCGCTGTTCATCAAGGCAATTTTCAAGGTGCAAGTCTCCAACCCAACCGCCAAACCAGCAACAGTCATTAAGCCGCTCATTTCTTGGCCTTCTTGACACCCTTGACCTTCGCCGTTCCTCGGAGCTTGTTGGCTCTGATCTTGCTGCTCTTGCCTATAATTAGAGATATAACATGTCAGTCCTGTACTCGTTTCCTCCAAAGTGCCAAAAAGAGATGCATAATGCCATGACATACGTTGTTTTCTGCTTGGCCTCTCGAGCTTCTCGGCGGCACCGTAGCGGACGAGTCTGTAACGGGGCTCGAATTTCTTCAAGGCTTCGGTAGAGTCGTAGACGAGAGCAAAGCCGGTGGTCTTTCCACCACCGTAGTGGGTGCGGAGGCCGAATACCGATATTTGATCCTTGCTGGCCTTGTAGAGTTCACCGAGCTTCGTCCTGAGGTCCTCCTTGGAGATGTTTGCGCGGTTAGGGTGGAGGATGTCACTGTTTCCCAGAAGATGGCACCCAGGTTAGCTGATTCAGTCCAGTAAACGCCCCAAATGCGCAATGCTGCGTCTTGACCCCTCCACCACCGTTCGAATTTTCCTCATCACTTCAAGCTGCTCCGAGCTGCTTCTGCTTCTTCCGACTGCATCGGGGGAGATGCGAGGAGAGGGTTCTGGATCCGGAGAGCAAAGCACTTACACAACCATCTGCTTCCTGCCCAAGAGAGGGTTGCGGATGAACTTGCGAGTCCGCAGGGTAACGGGAGTGTCAGCCATGATGTCGGAGCGTGGTGCGAGAGATGTAAAGGCCTCCGATGGACGTGATGAGAATCTTCCGTCGAGCGAAGAAGATTCGTGCAGCGGTGGTCGATGGGAGGCGTGTCGTGGCTGCGGTGGTCGAACGTTTGTCGCTGTCGTCGAACTTTCAATGTCAATTTCCATTTTGCTGGTGTGGGTTTTCGGTTAGGGCCAAGAGCGTCGCTAGTCTGTTTATGTAAGCAGCCGACCACCTCAACTTCAACTTCAACTACACTACAACTATGACAACGACAACGACATGACACGATAATAGTTGAGAGGGATACACGCTGTACAGAGGCTGTGTAAGATGGAGACGGTCTCTGCCGATGAAGCGACCGGTCTCAGCACCCTCGCAGCGCAGTACTTCCAAGGCGTTGATGTGCAGAGCCTGCGGTTTCTACCTGGCCCCATCCTGCTCAAGCCCCAGGTGCAACGCTGGATCGATCGGAACATGTTCTGTGAAGACACTGTCTGGCCTCTGCCGCCGTTGAACTACCGTGGCCGGGTCCTCAAACTGCTACTGTCAAAACTTGAGGAGTCGTTCTCCGACCCCGAGGAGGATGTACGAAGTCCACACCCCCCAACCACCCCCTCGCCCCTGTCTGTCCACGCATGATTGCACACGTTTAGTTTTGATTGTATTTGCACCCTTTTGCAATTCAAGATCCTGACAAGCGCCGTTTCTTTTTCTGCCCCCTAGGAGATCTCAGACGATCTCATGGCGAGCTGGACCGTTCTCATTTCTCGCCCCAAGCCGTCTCCGCTGGAGCAGATCCAACAGTTGTCCTACGTTAGGTACACACCGCCTACGCTACGAGATGTCCGAGATAAGGATTATGTCGTCACGTTAGAAAATCGTGATTTGATCCTGGCTTCAGGAACAACCGGTTTCCGAACCTGGGATGCTTCCCTACATCTCGGGACATTCCTGTCCACAGAGGCTGGCAGAGAACACGTCAATGGCAAAAACGTGCTTGAACTAGGATCGGGAACCGGGCTGGTCTCCTTGTATTGTCTAAAGTGCCTTGGTGCCAACAGAGTACTGGCGACAGACCGGGACCCAGCACTAATTGCGAATATCCAGAAGTGTATCTTGCAGAACAAGCTCGATCCTAAAAGGATCAGTGCTGGTATCTGGGAGTGGGGTACTCCGCTAGAGTTCCATGACAATACGCAGGAAAATGGACAATGTTTCCCCATCGACACTGCATTGGGGTCAGACCTGGTATGCATGCCCGAAGCACGCTACGATACCCGTTGACTAGAGCGCTAATTATAACGGCGTGGGTACAATGCTCGTCGCTGTTTATCCACTGGACTTGTAGCTCTATGACATGGATATGATCCCACTGCTTTTATCAACCGTCCAGGACTTGTTTGATAATTATTCGCTCAAAGAGTTCATCATATCTGTTACTATTCGTAATCAGGAGACCTTCGAGGTGTTTCTCAACGCCTGCGGTACGAGCTGACCCTTGTCTGCTGTTGATTTTCCGTATATAGGTACGCATATTACACCTGCTGACCATGTCTGCTGTTTCCAGAAACGAGTGGCCTGGTGGCATGTCGAGTAGACTTTGAATCACCTTGCATCGAAGACCAGGACGGGTTTTTTCATAGCACCGACACCCCATTACTAACATACAGGGTAACATCTACACGCCCAACAATATTAGGATGAGGCCTGCAGATACATACATAGCCAGACTAAATACTTGAATGTAACACTTTGTTAGCTATCCCCTAGCTGTGTTTTTATCTCCAACAATGATTATTTTCGGCTACGGTCTGCATCAATAAAACATTGACATTGTCGATCTCCAACCTCAGCTTCGCCAGCTTATTTGTATCAGAGTTGCACAAGGACGTTTATTGTGCACTCATTTCGCCTCGCATGCTCAAGAGCTATACCTAGTTCAACAATGGGGCGTTTAGGAGAATTTAATGCAGGGGTACGGAGTACTATTCTAAATCAAACTTGTTTTCCATTCCCTTAGACGCATGGAGATTATAATATATATTTTTTTACTATGTTGTGTATACTTTGCGTTGTAACTCACCCCCAATGTCATAAGACTTCTACAACCTTGCTCTTCATGGCCTTGACTAATGTTGGGAGTTCTCATACCTTGCTCAACGGCTACCTGCATACCCCCCCCCACGCTCCCTCTATGCAGCGCAAGCATGCGGTGAACAATAGAGCTATCAGCGCCTAGGACATTATGGAGGCAAGGCTGTTCTGTACAACTAACCAATCAGCTCTTTACTCACGCCTTGGAGACGATGTTGAACCACATCCCTACCCCTATTATGCACATGTACTCCATACCATATGTCACGACTGGCATAGCATGACCGAGAAGACAATAGCTTGGCTAGTTTTGCCCGAGTGTCAATATGCCTCTTTCGGTAGATGCTCGACTTGCTATTTACAGGCAGCGAGGAGCGTAATGTACAAGGTAGCACTGATAAGACCTTTGGACAGGGCGACACTGAATAATATCCAGGTTGTCCTTCGATGAACGAACAGTCATGAAAGCAGCTCTGTTTAAATACTATGAGCCCTAGAAAAAGTTTGCTTCCCGTAAATTAACTCCGTCATGTCGATTGGAGGCGACGGGGATGTCAAACTACCCCGACTAGCGACTCCCAAATATAGCCGCCCAGTGTGAACGAGATAACTATTAGAAGTTCCTCACCGCTTAGTATATGATTATTGGATGGAGCTCGGTTTGCTACCCTGTGAGGAGGGTACTATAATGTTTTTAGTGGCTAAACGATGAAACATGCCAGTAAATTCATACAGCAATCAAAAGGGCCTACTATCAGTCGCAAACACCTATTCTTATTTTAGTTAGGACCGTCGTCGATACCCAGGCTATAATATTCGCTATAAATAAATATATTCATTATTGATGACAGCCTAGTCGCTGTCGTTTTATTCGCCGCAGTCCTCTAGAAGCCACTGACCCCGTAACAACCACATTGGTTTTATTCATAAAGGTAAGAGGTGTATAAGGGGAAAGCTGAAGCGCAGTTTATAAAATCATTGATAGGTCTTGATATCGTTCATGCAAAGAAGTATTCACACAAAGCCATAAATCATATGTGCAGTATTCGTAACGAATGTACCAAAATTGAAGCAAATTTTTTCTAGGTTTGCGCCGTTCCACTTAAAGCGACGCTTCCCTAATGCAACATGGCCGAGTAGATCGTATCTACCAGGGAATTTCCACGCCATTTTGGGTGACAAACTTCCCAGAAACATTATCACGCGTCGCCTCGTCGACGACTTTGACAACGCCTTTAACGCTACCGTCAATAGTGTCTGGAGGACCCGCTGAATAGCTCCATGCCTTCGCCATGAAATTTCCCATCGCTGTCTGAACCCATCCAGGGTGAAGTGCCACGCTAACAAGCCCGGTGCCAGCCATTTGGTGGTGAATCGATTTGACTATGTGGTTAACGGCAGCTTTGCTAGGACCGTAGGCGCCGCCTGGGAAAGGCTCCATGCCTCCAATGGAACCCACAGATGAAGAAAGAACAACGAACTTTGAGGGTAGGCCCGTCGCTTCGTTGCCCTTCTCCAGCAGGTCTCGGATAGCCTGGAGAACCATTAGGGGCCCGATAGTGTTGACTTCGAAGCACTCGCGAAGCTGCTCTGCCGTCATTTCAATTGACGGAACTACAGTAGTAATGTAGCCCGCTGCGCATATCACTGTATTGACATGCCCCAAGTCGCCAGTAGCGGCAGTGAAACGCTCGCGAATGCTTTTAGGCGTGGTTGGGATTGAAAAATCGACCTGGACAACATAGAGAATGCTATTCTCTCCTTTGGTAGTTTTGTCCATGGCATCTTTGAGTGCTGCAGCACTAGCACCGTTCCGAACAATGGCAACCACGGTAGTAAAAGGGCGGGTAATGTAAGTCTGAGCAAGGCCAAGGCCAATACCTCGATTGGCACCCGTGATGACATAGACAGTGTTTGGAGCCATAGCAGATATGGGGAGTAACAAAGTATTTGTATTTGTTGACTATGGGGCAGATAGAAAGACACAACCGTGTATTTCAAGGAAGATAATTGAAGCGGTAGCTTGCTTCGCTTTGTGGGTGGAAAAGAGGAACGGAAAAGGGGGAAAGGAAAAAGGGGAATAAAGGTGGGGGAAAGCTGGTACTTATAGTAATCATGTGCCTCGTGGCGGGTAAGTGATATTGCATAGCCATTGCCATGACCGGGATAACAGGCTCTAAGCGATATCTGGACATGCCGTAAGGATTGGATGCATAATGCGTGATATCATGATATGTGTTGAACGGAGATTCGGTGTAATACTGCCTGATCGTACGAAACACGTTAGTCAACTACGCCGTTTCATTAAATATCAGTGTCAGCTCTCCATCATCGAACAAATGCTACGCCCGGCGTTTTAACGCCTGTTTCAGCTGTAGCTGGCATCTCCGCGATGGCAAGATACATGGCCGTATGAGGAACATAAATAGGAGCTCAATATCGTGTATTTAGATGATCAGTGCTTGATAGATTGAAATCTCATAGATTGCTCCAGACCCACCTGACCAATCAAATCAATCAAATATCTCGTATCTCAGAATATGCCTTGAGGCTAGTTTTGTCCCTGAAGGATTGAAGATCAATCGATATCACGTGAGTTTATGTCAGCCTGTGCCAAGCCAAGTCAAAGTTCCCGTTTTAACCTTAAAGCTTACTGTATTTGACCACACTTCACCCTTCTGTAGATGGTGAGTTGACACTTGAGAATGGCTTAGATTGGTGTCTATCACAGTATATTGCTCAGTGATCAACCCATCAAAACGTATTAATGCAAAGTACGCGCAAGCATCTTATGAGGATCTAGTACTTTGTCATGAGTATGACCATTTTCCCTCCAGAGAGACCAAGTCTCTTTTAAGAATCAATGTACCCTCTTCCACGGAGCTGAAAGGAACTCAATAAGCCATTCCTAGAGCCCTCGCATCTAGGAATGTGTCGCATAGCGCGGAACTAACCAGTTATGGTACAGGGGAGGCCAACGAGCGGGGTTTCGTACGAGTGATTCAGGATATTTTCTTCTGCGCTCTCTCCTGTGCCACAATCACAACTGGCACTTGCTGTGAATTCGAGGTGTCTTTTTTTTCACAAGCTGTCACAACGGAAGAACCCCTCGTTTCTACCGCTTTATATAAAGGATACTCCACCCCCGTTGTGCCCTGAGTCTAATAATATCAACGGATTCAGCCTTCCCCAGTCAGCGTCGGAGTGTCTTGGGTTTAACTCCGTTCCGTTTGTTTGAGTGTTCTAATTGATTACAACAATTATGGCGTCACTTTTTGGCACGCGGATCCTTGCACTTCTCTTTCTCAGTGTGAACGTATTTGTTGCAGCCTTGCCTACTGGTTATCATACGGTAGAGGAACTCCATTCCGTGCCTGAAGGATGGGTTCAAGGGGGAGTCCCATGCCCTAGAACCTCCCTCCGTATGCGCTTGGCTCTTTTTCAAGAGAAAGCTCATTTACTTGAGCAAATGGTTCTCGATATTTCGACGCCGGAACACGAAAAATATGGCAAACACATGTCGCGCAGGGATTTGAAGGAACTCCTTCAACCACGCAAAGAAGTCTCGGATTCAATTGTCTCGTGGCTAGAAGAAGAGGGCGTCGCCAAACGGTCGATACAAGACGACGGAGACTGGATTCAGTTCGTCGTTTCAGTTTCTCAGGCTGAAAAAATGCTAAAGACGCGGTTCTATTACTATCACGACTCAGCAGACCCTAGAATCTCGATGATCCGCACCTTGAAATACTCAGTTCCAGCCCATCTGGCGCCGAGCATTCATATGATCCAGCCAACTACAAAATTTGGAAAGCCCAGGAAGCATGGCAATTCAATCGCTAGGCTGGAGGCTATCAACCTAGCCAATATCACAGCCGTCAATTGCAACTCGAGCATAACCCCAAAATGTCTAAGGGACCTTTACAAAATGGGAAATGCGTTGGCTAAGCCAGACTCTAGGAACGTTCTTGGTATTTCCGGATACCTTGACCAGTATGCGAGATACGGCGACTTTTACAAATTTATCAAGCTCTATGCACCCGAGTTGAAAGGCGCCAACTTCTCCGTGGAGCATATAGGAAACGGCCTAAATTTACAGAATTCCACAAGAAGTAGTATCGAAGCTAGCCTCGATATTGACTATGCACTTGGCCTGTCCAACGCTACGGGTGTATTCTATACAACGGCCGGTAGAGGGCCGTTAGTTCCAGAATTGGAGCAGCCTGACCAAGAGCATAACTCTAATGAGCCATATTTAGATCAGCTTCATTATCTTTTAAGCCTACCGTCGGAGAAACTGCCAGCCATTCTTTCAACCTCTTACGGAGAAAACGAACAAAGTGTCCCTGAGAAATTCTCCAACGCGACTTGCAGCTTATTTGCTCAGCTTGGAGCCCGCGGCGTCTCGGTCATCTTCAGTAGTGGTGATAGTGGAGTTGGCTCGTCATGCTTGACGAACGGTAAAAAGAAAATTACTAGATTTAACCCGACATTCCCGGCCAGTTGCCCTTTTGTTACGTCTGTTGGGGCGACTTATAGAATAAACCCCGAACGAGCCATCTCATTCTCGTCCGGCGGATTTTCGGATCGACATGCCCGTCCTAAGTACCAAAATGATGCCGTTCAGGATTACCTCGATGAGCTTAGCGATCGGTGGAAGGGACTATACAATCCTAGCGGGCGTGGAATTCCAGACATCTCTGCTCAAGGAGCCAATTTTGCGATCCATGACCATGGCAAAGTCACCCTGGCATCTGGTACGAGGTTAGTATATCATACATCCTTCTCCTTCATGAACAAGCGCTTACTGACTTCTGCAGTGCATCTGCACCCGCATTTGCGGCCATAGTTGCAAATCTCAATACCATCCGCCTGGAAGCCAACAAATCGGTTCTTGGCTATCTAAATCCCTTCATATACGGGCGGGGTAGGCGAGGCTTTACTGATATTATCCACGGAGGTTCCACAGGCTGCCTAGGCGACAATACAACAAATGTGACTGCGCCTGCTGTGCCATATGCCAGCTGGAATGCCACTGAAGGATGGGACCCAGTTACCGGGGTCGGAACCCCAAATTTTGAGATTCTGGCCAAGATAGTCCGAACTATGTCGTAGTTTGATGTGGATATACAATAAGAACCAATCTATCTACAGTTGGTGGACTCGTATTGGTTATTATACATTAATCCTAAAACCACCAAAGTACCCCTCGCTCGTAGTCTGGTATCCTTCGCTCAAAGCTTACAAAACAATAATGTTCAGAATCAAGACGGAATAACATTAAAAAGAATGTAAGCATAATTTCCTTTCCGAGAAAAGGTTGTATATGGACTTGGCACAATACGTACGTAGTTCACAAAGAAAATTCATTAAATTTTTTGTTCATCTAAAGGCTTAAAAAGAAAAATAAAACAAAGACGCCACACCCTCCTGCCTTCGCTATACATGAAAACAGATTAGAATATCTAGTAAAGATAAGGAAATGTCTAAATGGGACCCTTCCATGGATCAGCATCCCCTAGTTTTTCAACAACTAATCCTGCGCTGCCAGGATTTTTATAGCCGGCTGCTAGTTGACGCTCATAACTGATTGCACGGAGGCGTGCTGCTTCCTTTGGAGTAAGACGGAGGTAGATCTCAACGCCAAGGGCATGGAGCATAAACGATATCCAGATTGCTGGACCAAAGCTGAGGTTGAACGCCGCACCAGCTGAAACAGGGTTGCTCAGGGTAAGGGAAGCGGGAACTGCGACCATTATATCCGTTGAGTTGGGAGCGGTGCATTGTGGGAATAGTTTTGCTAATTTTGCGGCGGCGGTAACGGCATCAGCGGCGCCATCGATGAACGTGAATTGGACCTGATCGCACGACCAGACATCATAACGCAGATTGGGGAGAGCGCCAAGAATTGAAGCCGAGATGATGAGACAGATTCGAATGGTGATAATGCAGCCCATGTAAAACATAGTGCGGAGCATCCAGGCGCGGTGCTGCTCGAGTTGCTTGCAGCGAATGTTGTAAAGTGCGAGCGAGAAGCTGACTGTACATGCGATGACAACCGTGATGACCGCAGATTGAATGTCAACCCCGCCGCCGAAGGAGTGTTCCATGATCATGAGAGCGCCCGCATGCGAGATAAGAAGCAGGACGAAGATGATGTAGCCGTTGATACGATGGATCAGGATCCATTTGTGTCGAATTATCGGAATAAACTGGAATATCACAAGGATGCCGCATGGAAGCACGGCGGCTAAATGCATGAGGAGGCCAACTCGATCACGGCCCATGCGCGTGAAGTACCATTGTCCGGGGACTGCATCAGCCTCAAAGATAGCGAAGTTCAGGAAAGAAAATCGGGCAAGAGTAAAGCCAAAGAGGGCACCAGCGAAGATGAACCATAGGATAAAATTATACCCCTTCTTGTATCCTATCGAGTTATGCACGGTTGAGAAACCGGAAAGGAAAGAGTCTGCGAAAGTCATTGTGGGTGAATATGATTGTGAATATCAAGTGAGATGAGTGTGATGGATTGCTTTGTGAGCACCATCCTCCCACGGCCGGGGGGAGCGAGATTTATATCTCTCTTTTCTCTTGGTGCTCAAATGAAACTAAGGCTCATGCCCTTGGCCCAGCCCAACTCATCACAAAATGAATAACGACAGGCAGGAAGGCTGAGCTCATGGCATTGGCGTTGTACCACAATCGAAAACATGCCAAGGGTGGCCTGGCGTCTTGGGAGACCGGGTGTGAATCCTCCAGACGGAATTTGCTTACTTTTCCTGTAGCAGGGCGGGTGTGAGTGGTTGGAGCGTAGACATGATCGTCCCAGCCGCATAAACACGAGAAGGGGATCGACGATCACGGAACGCTGTTTGACGTAAACTAGGGTTTCTAAAACATCTTAACTGTTGTCTCTGGCGTATAATCACAGCAGAATTTGTCAAGTCCACGGACGAAAGAATGTTGGTGGAGGTGAGGGAAAAGGCTCTATAATCCGTTTGCAGAGTGTCTCCAATTGTATAGGCAGGGCTCGAAGCTGAAACTGTTGGTTAGTGGGCCATATACGTGGAATAAGCCGGAAACCGTCTAGCGATGTGACCAGCGACTCGGTAAACGGGCTTGGACGTATAAAAGCCGCCATGGCAACAGGGACAAGGGCTTGCGTGCTACGTCCGAAGCAAAGACGCCGAGCACGGAGATTAGAGGCCACCTTCTTGTCGATTATATCAGTGATGTGCGCTGTGGTTGGAAGAAGTTGGCGCTGGGCCACCCCGGAAGTTATTTTAAGCAGTTGGCCCAAGCCACATATTACTCAGCCTCTTACACGTGACTGAGACGCGCGGCACGGGAAAACTTTTAGCCGCAGATAGCTTGCTCCGTGTTCCAGCATGCTTCATCTCGGTCTCATCTGCCACACGACACGACGACGCCAGCGAGAGAAAACCTGTCGCTGCTGATTCTGCTGCTGAACATATTCCGGACGACCTGCCATCACCAGATATCCCTATTTTGACCCGCTGCTCACTCTCTGTTCCCCGTCATCATGGCCTACGAAGAGCTCCAAGCTCTTATCAGAGACCTACACCAGACTCTAGACCAGAAACATGTGGATAAAACAGCTGCGCTGTTAAGTCGTGCGAAGCGTGCTCTTCTGCAGCTCAACGCCCTCATCCCGTCCAGCTCAACTCCCCATCCCCTCATCTCCCTTGCCCGCGAGATCCTGGAGTTGGGTGCTATCACATCTATACGCCAGACTGATGCCCCGTCCTTTACCCGATTCTACCAACAACTACAGCCCTTCTACGACACTGAGAGACACCTGCAGGCAGCCTACGCAGAGGAGGCGGAGATAAACTTAAAAACCAGCCAGCGGAGCAAGATAACAGGTCTTTATTTGCTGCTGCTTCTGAGCATGGGGAACAACACGGAGTTTCACACTGTGTTGGAGGGATTGGTGGTGGAAGCGTCCTTGAAGGGCCACCCCGTTGAAACCGATCCGTATATCAAGTATCCAGTTGAGCTGGAGCGCAGCTTGATGGAGGGCAGTTATGATAAAGTCTGGCGTGAAACCAAGTCGGAAAGAGTTCCGTCAGAGGACTTTGGTCTATTCTCATCTGTATGCAGCCCGTCTCACAGCACCCCATCGAAAAAGCAAGCTAATCTAAACAAACGTATAGATCCTGGTTGGTACCATCCGAAGTGAGATCGCCGACTGCTCTGAGAAGGCATACCCGTCACTCCCCGTCTCTAACGCCAAGAACTTGCTATTCCTCGATTCTGAAGGCGCCGTTGTAGAGTTTGCCAAGGAGCGAGGATGGACGTTGAGGGATGGACGAGTATATTTCCCCAGCCAACAGGAACAGGAGGAACAGAACGCGCCCCAGAAGTCTGGCAAGGAAATTACGTTAACAACTGGTTCCGTGATCGAGAATACCATTGGGTATGCAAGGGATCTGGAAACTATTGTTTAAAGCTCGAGCTCTGCTTTGTTCTGAGGTCCACATGTTGTTTACTCAGGCTGTGCCCTCATGTATAGCTTCATATTTTATTTCAGCGACAATTCTGACTAACGATATTCTTTGCGATGGCCTGTCTTCTGTCACTCCTGCAAAGTAACTTAACGACAACTTTTAGTATACTAGATATACGTATAACCTTAGCCCCAACGTGATCGGTATCAACCCTTTTCACTTAGACTGTATGCTATACACTCTAGTTTTTCCTCAACATGCAACGCCTCCTCAGGCAAAATGTAGTCGTCTACCCAAATAGAATATATGTAGATTGTGGTCCGAGTGCTCGCTCAATATTAATGCCAAAGAGAGTTATATGCTTGCCCGCCAAAGACAGACCCTCTTATCATAGAAGCTACTTGACACACAGAGCAATTGGGATTGTGTAGAGTCAGCTACCATTTGGCCCTGTTTATCATAATTCATCCATACGTCCGAAGCATAATTCATGCTCTTGTGTTCCGTAAACTGAGCGACAATCTTGATATCCCACACGGTGCCCGCACTTGCGCTTTTCGAGGACGTAACATGGATTACACGCGCACCGGCATGCATGCAGCTAGCAAGGATAAGATAGCTTTTGATAATTCCATCTTCTTGCCTTGGCGATGATAGTTCGGCGGATTGATCATCAACTTTGATAATCTTCAGTCTCCAGACTCCTCCGCCGAGATCCATACTCGCGAGGACTTGTCGACGCATCCCAAATTGATAGACGCGAACATGCTGATCATAGCTTCCTGTAAGGAGAATGGATCCTCCATCATCGTTGCACAGTGGTAGGATAGCGGTAACACCTCCTTCATGGTTCTTGCCCCGATCGTTCAATGGCGGAGATCCAACATCGAGATCTGAATCGTTGTTAAATGTGAATTCCCGGACCTGGTTAAAGTCATCTCCACTAAATAAGGCAAGTTGGCCATCGCCTCGTCTGTGAAATGCCAGATACCATACTTCAATGAGCATCCCTTCCAGACATATCTCACTCATAGCTTCTTGCTGTATTGAGGGGGAGGATTCATCTTTTCGAAAAACGGACACTTGACCATCAGAGTATGAGATAGCAAAGCCAACAGTAGGAGAACTTGCATGATCCTCCTCCCGGGGACGTGGTGGAAGCCAGGCTAGATATAGTCCGAGTTTTGTATCATCGTCTCGCACAGTGAGGGTATTTAAGAAGCAGATAGAAACCCCAGCGTCTGGGCCCTCAGGGCTAATTTCAATCTTATAGAATGAAACTTCCCCCGCACTTAATGCGATAGCAAAGAGTGACGGGTCATGTAGAGAAAACTGGAGGTCAAATACTGCATGAGGAAGCGGTATTCTTTGTACCTGGGAACTGCATAATGGTATTTGCTTTTAGCAGTTGCTTCAGTATTTCAAGTATTTCAACCAGATAATACAGCAAACTGAAGGTAAAACTTACAGGGTATATGACTGAGGATTTAGCCTAAATAGCTGGAGACTTCCAGAGCGGGATGACGGAGGTGACGAGTCGTTGGCATCAGAATCATCTATACTTAAAAGGTATGTTCCAATCACGAGGAAATCGGGAGCTGTTGGGCAAAACTGGAGGCAGCTGGGAGGTTGATCAAGGAAGCAAGTTGAGAGTGAGTCCGAGGTCCCCATTTGAAAGGATTTCTTAGAGTACAGGCTTGTTGATAATGTCAGATTTAGATATAACGGATATAACCCACAAAGAGTGAAATTTGAGAGGGGTATGCGATTGAGTTTCAGGACTTTTAGATCCCCATGTTCTACGTAAACTAGAAGTATTTATGGAGTTAGGCAATACTACCCAAGTCAATTACATTGTTTAAGAGTTTTAGCTTGGAAGAATGGCAACGAGGTGAAGGACTGTATGAGTGTTATTATTATTCTGAAAAAGAGCTCCAGCTATAAGTCGCTCAAGAGGGTGTTTACACAAGACAAATGTTCAAAATGTTCGTTCATTCCATTCTAAACTATATTAGACGGTGCATGAGATCGAGCAAGTTATTGCTGCGAACCAACAGTTGGGCTTGAACAATATAGGTGGTTGTTCCAAATCTAGAAAACCAGCTATATGCCCCTGAAAACCAGAGCAAGCGGACTAGGCCAGGTTTCATCCCGGAACTTCAGCTAGTAAATTTCGACGGTCTTCAATTGAGTCAGAGCACAAAATAGTGATCTAATGGGTTTGAGGAAGATTTATCTAAAATAAACGAGGTTAGCACTAGTAGCTTTCTATAGCGACAAATTCTGCGTACTATTATCAAATTGGATGTCCCAGAGGTCTGCAGCCAAGTGTTCGGGTGGGTGGCTATTTTTGTGTCCTCGACGATGCACCAACACTTCCATGGTGAGGGTGGAAGTCGAGGGTGTTTCCTTGAATAGGAGCATCAGCCGTAGCATGTATGCTACAGATGTAATATACATGATGTGTGAGGTGCCATGTGGAATGGAACAGCTGTCTCCTGTTGCCTGACACCAGCGCTTTGCACTTTGCTTTGTGAATGAAGTCTATGACACCCTAGTCTGCCACCTGGTTGTAGGTTGTTGGTCGGAGGGGTCCCATAATCACATTATATTACTCTGTCTCCCCATCATCTCCCATAAGTATTTCGCATTCCGCGCGAAGTTCATTAACTCCTTTAACGCCGTCCCACTTTGAAAGAAGTGACTGTATCTCACTCCAATCACTTTCCGCTTCTGTTCTCTTCCCAGCATCTAGCAACCGCTTCAATCTCTTTGGGGTATCTAGCGCCCAAAGTACTGTTGCTTTTTCAGCACTGACATTGTTGACCTGTTTCTCTTTCGTTTGAGTCGGCTCCTGCCCGGTTGGCCCTGATTCTTCTTGCTCTCTGATAAGTGCCATAGCCGTCTCCGCGACAAACCCAACAGCAGGAGCTAGAGTTTTCGTCATTAATACGGGAGTCCCTTCCTCCTCTAGTATTGACCTCATTTTGCCGATAGTTTCCACGGCTTTTATAAGCTTCGAGTAATTGTCATAGACCAACGCCTTACGCTCTCCATCTAGGGTTTTTATATCGCTGACAAGGGAATTTTCGGCACGCAATATAGTAGCTAGTGATGATGTAGCGAGCAGATGGGAGACATATGCATCTGGGTCGAAATTGGGGCTATCGAGTTCACTGTTCGAGATCTGGTTTGCTGGCCGTGAGGACCCATCTGGGGTAGGTGGAACGCTTCTCGGCCTTGTTTGACTCGAGGAAGAGTCGGTTCTATTTGGATGCAAGTTATAGTAGTCCCGTAAGGCAGCTCTGTTTCGTCGTAGGGCATTATTGGGCGGTTCTGTTCGAGGTGTGAATGTTGCGCTCTCCACTGATGGACGACGAGACGAGGCTGGAATTGGGGATCGAGCAGACGCTATTGACGGACGGGGAGAGGATACGGTTGACATTTTATAGCTAGAGCACAATAATATATCAGAAGAAGAGACCGTTGATTAGCTCGCACACCCGTATTCAATATGGGTTCTTGTCAACTTTTGGTGTTGGAGTAGTGAATTGGTTCAGGGAGCTGAAGGTATTAACATGATTCACCACTAAATGCTCATCACCACTAAATGCACACCCAATCTCAACGCCCAATTCGTTCAAACAGGCTTGTAAATATTGAGATATCTCAACGCAGCGTAAATAACAAATTAAATTAGCTATTGAATAACGATAGTAGGGTTCTAGTTTATATATTAATTAGATAGATTAGGAAAATAAAATGAGTGTTAGGCTTAATAGCTCGCCTAGAATAAGTTTCTCTACTATAGGATAAGAAATTAGGTAAGGAAGGAATAAGATTAATAAAAGCTACCTTCCTAGATAACTTTATCTTCTTTTCTAATTTAGAAGGTAAGATAGGGCTTGGGGTATTAATTTAGGCCTTTTTAGCCTTTTTAGCTATTTACTAAGCCTTTTATTTACTAGTTTTATATTTTCTCTTTATTACTACTTATTTATAATAAGTAGTAGCCTCCTTTTAAGCCTTCTTACGGGCCTCTTTTTATTACTATTAATCTCTAAGTCTTTAAGCCTTCTATTCTATAGCCTTTTATACCTTTATATCGCGATATATTAGCCTTTAGAGCTTTATGTCACAAGCTGACGGCGCTCCTTGATTACCTAAAGGTGATTAGAGGTTCACACCTGCCGTAAGACAGAAGGTACGAAGGTCTTAAGGAAAGCTTGAGTTAGAAGTGAGTTATTATAGGAGACGGCTCAGTACTAGGGTAAGATAGAATACTATAGTGAGACTATCCTTTAGTTCCAAGTGTGGCTTTAGTCAGTGCCTAGGTTAGATGAAGGCTAAAGGTTCTTATAAGTAGTGAAGACAAAGTTGACCTGCGTCAATGGGCAAAGGGGTATTCAGTGAATATAGTATAAGATAACTGGAATGGTGCTTTGTATTAAGCAGTATAGTAAAACTATAGCTGGTTTAATCGCGAGTATAAGACTCTTAATCCTAAGGTAATAAGTGTCTTTATATATATAGTATATATCTAGTGATAGATACGATAGTTCTCCGCCAAGGGGTTCCTATCACCCCTATTAGTTGTTGTGATAGTATTGATAGGAAGCTGCCAAGCCTGTCCTATCGGTCCTATCGCTATTGGTCACGTGACTAGTGCCCTCAAGGTCTGGCCCGTGATCCTCCCGTCCAATGAGTGTATATCCTGGGGCTGCGCCGCAGGTGGTCTGTAACACTAAGTCACTAATAATATCTAGAAGGCTATCCTTAGAATAATTATAGAGCTTAATAGGGGAATCTTTAACATAGAGGGTAATAAGGATAAAGAAGTCGATCTTAGTAATTAGGCTATATATATTAAAATAAAGAATATTATCTAGATTAAGGAGAGTGTTAAGTTAGGTAAAGGCTACCGTATTTTTAACTCCGGCCCCTTTATTAAGTATATTATTAACAGTATATATGAAGAAGAGCCTATTATTAAGTTACTTATTCCTAACTGGATAGTAGTAGTAGTAAAACCCTATTAATAAAGCTATTTTATCTATACTTTATCTTTGCCTATATATAGTATACTAAAAGACCCTTTACTTAGCTATATATTTATATAAAAATAGAATTAATATTGATTTAACCCTATTCCTTAGTGATTAAATAGGCTATCTAAGAATATTATCTATAGGGTACTTTAATTCTATTGCACTAAGGACTTACTAACTATATTTTAATTTATTTACTATATATAGGGTCTATATATAATTTTAATTTAGTATAAAAGTATATATATTAAATTTAGAATCAAATATAATATTATTAAGAGACCTAATATAAAAAAGAGATATATATTTGAAGCTTATATAGAACTCTAAATAGCTAATATTAAGGATAGTAGTATTAAGTGTTATACTTTAGCTTTTATAAATTATAATTATATATATAGGCGTTATAGTGTCACAAGCTGACGGCGCTCCTTGATTACCTAAAGGTGATCAGAGGTTCACACCTGCCGTAAGACAGAAGGTACGAAGGTCTTAGGGAAAGCTTAGGTTAGAGGTGAGTCGTTATAGAAGACGGCTTGGTACTAGGGTGAGATAGAATACTATAGCGAGACTATCCCTCAGTTCTAAGTGTGGCTTTAGTCAGTGCCTTGGTCGGATGAAGGCTAAAGGTCCTTATGAGTAGTAAAGACAAAGTTGACCTGCGTCAATGGGCAAAGGGGTATTTAGTGAATATAGTATAAGACAACTGGAATGGTGCTTTGTATTAAGCAGTATAGTAAAACTGTAGCTGGTTTGATCGCGAGTATAAGACTCTTAATCCTGAGGAAATGAGTGTCTTTATATATATGGTATATTTGGTCCCTTCCTCCTGATTCTTCTCAGGTCCCGTCGTGGACCTGATGTCCCGGTCCCTTCGTGGACCTTTCATGTTTGGTCCCATAGGGACCTGTCCCTGGTCTTGGCATCTGGGACCTGTCCTTATGGTCACGTGATGTGTAGTTATTCCGTCCTGGAATCTTGTTGTCCAATGAGTGTATATCCTGGGGCTGTGCCGCAGGTGGTCTATAACATCATCCCCTCCTTTCTTATTAAGTCGTCTCGATAAGTATATAAGTAGTAAGTATATTTCCCTCCTTTTTATCAGGTAAGTCTTCTTTCTTCCTTCATCATGGCTCCCCGTTCTATTATAAAGAAATCTTCCCGTCTTCCCTATAATCAGGCTACTAAGCGTATGATTCTGGCGGCAGCCATTGATTGTTCTGGTTCCTTATCGCGTTCTTGTTGTGATAACTATTTTTGGTCTCTTTAGCCTTATATTGTGATGGATTCTCGCAGTAAATATTGTTCCTCTTGTGTTCATAAGGATTGTCCTTGCGTCAGCCTTCTTATGGATGACTCTCCTTGGGCTGAAGAATTAGCCTGGCTTCCTTACCATCTTGGCAATTCTGACATGGATGTTGCTGGCAACATCCAAATGGTCCGTCGGGCCCAGGAAAAGCTCACTAAGGCTTAAGACAAGCTTTTAGTTATAATAGCTTGCAATCTTGAGCTCCGTCGGCGTTAGGTTGAGTTGTCTAATAAAGCCGCTTCTTTTAATACTACTGGTGAACTCCTCGTCGGTCCTCTGTCCTCCAGTGGTGTTTCTATTGATCAACTTCTTGAAGCGTCTTCTCCTGCTTCTAAACCTTCTAGTAAAAGTCTTTAACTGGTCCTGGCAAGTTCTTAAGATATCGTACTAGCTTATAAGTGTTTTCTGAAAAGTTGTATCCCTTCTATTTGACTAAGTAGTAGATTCGTCCACTGATCACTTTCTTGTCTAGGATTTTTTCAACTTCATATTCTTTTTCTTGATTTTCTGGTTGTATTTCTGGTTCGTATGGTTTAGTGTTTTGGAGTGCTTTTTCAAGTAATGAAACGTGGAACGTTGGGTATATTTGCATATATTCTAGGAGTTGGAGTTTGTAATTGAGTTGTCCAATCTTTTCCAAGATCTTGAATGGTCCCAGTTTCTTGTGGTCCAATTTGTCGCTTGGTCTCAATGTTTTGATATTTCGTTGGAGTAGAAATACTTTTTCCCCCTTCTTAAAGTCTAGCGCTTCCATATGCCGTTGATCATAGTAGTGTTTCATTCTGTAGTTCAAGAATTTGAGATCTAACTATAGGTGTTTATAGAGTTCGCGCATCTGTTCTGCTGAAACCTCTGCTTCTAAGGCGTGCGTCTTGCCTTCTTTTAGTGTTTTTATTATTTCTATTTCTCTTCTATAGTTTGCAAAGAAAGGTGTCATGCCTGTTAAGGCGTTCTTTGCTCCATTATAGGCGAGCTGTGCCATTGGTAGTAGTGAAACCCAGTTATCCTATTCGTAGTTAATATAGCATCTCAGGTACTGTTCCACTGTTTGGTTCATTCATTCACTTTGTCCGTCTATTTGTGGGTGATATGCCGTCGAGGCCTTCTATTCAATCCCTATTTTTTCAGTGAGTGTTGTCTAGAATTTATATATAAATCTTGTGTCTCTATCTGATATAATTTCGTTCAGTAATCCTTTGTCTGCGAAGACATGTTGTAATAGGATGTAGGCTGTCTCCAGTGATGTGGTCTTTTTAATAAATGGTATGAAATAAGTATACTTTGTCAATCTGTCCGTGACTGTAAGTATTGAATCATATTAAATGCCCATTCGTGGCTCTATTAACTTCGGTAGCTTGACTATAAAGTCCATAGCTATTGACTTCCATGGTGTTTCTCTGTATGGTATAGGCTGTAAGAGTCTATATAGCGCGTGTCATTCTGATTTATTCTGTTAACAAACTTCACACTCCTGGATGTATTGTCTGATCTCTCTCTATATTCCTGGCTAATAGTAGTTTTGCGTAATCCGGTCCATGGTTTTTTTAATTCCGAAATGTCCTGCAACTTTTGCGTCGTGGTTGTCTCTTAGTATTCATGGTCGTACTTCTCTGGGTATATATATTAATCCTTAATATAGAAGTATTCCGTTTTCCTTTTTATATTTTTCGTCGTTGTCCTTGATTCGTTCAAATAAGGGATCTTTTATTATTGCTTTTTGTATTTTGTTTATCAGAGTGTCTTCCTCGGTCATAACCGTTCGAGTAGCTCTCAATACTTACTGATCTAAGATCATACCCTTAGTATCTGGATCTAGATGTAATATTGCTCTGGATTCTCTTTTCTTTATTATTAAATCTGGTCTTCTGCTTAATGCGTCCGCGAAGGCATTCTCTATTTCTTTACAGTGTTATATTTTGAAGTTGTAGTAGGCTAGTACCTCAGTATACCATCTTGACTGTTGACGTGTGAGTTCCTTGGTTATCATAAAGTATATCAGATTCTGGTAGTCGCTGATAACTATGGTCAGATGCCTTACTCCTTGGAGTTCTTGTTTCCATCTCTTAAATGCTGTAACAATTGCTAGTA